TCCCTCCCTCCTCTCTCTCTCTCTCTCTCTAGTCGTAGTGGCGGTGAAACGCGACATTAAAGTACCTACTAAGTACAGCTAAAGTACCATGCAACATCCAACATGCCATACACACATACACACATTCTCCCGTCTCTTTGTGTAGGGACTTCCCAACCTCCGTAAGGTACCATATCCTCGTGTCCGGCACATGGCAATCATAAGGTATGTACCTTACCTTATGTACCTTGAGGTAATGTTAGGTAGGCATGGACCTTCCTTTAATGGAATACATGTGTAAGGTAGGTAGTGCGAGTGTAAGGTACAGGTACCTGATTGTAACGGTGATTTGTGACTTGTGACTATAACTGTGATTTGACGTGGGGGGTACAACGATGCGCTTTTTCCGCGGTGTGACCATGTGAGCTGTAGGGGAGGTATGGAGGTAAGGTAAAGGTAGGTAGAAGTACATGTACTCTTAGTCTTAGTTACTCGAGAGGAGGTATGTGTATAGGTGATTAATCCCTCGGCTCATCCACAGATGGTGTGTTTTGTACTTTTGATATCTGAAGCGTCGTCGTCGTCGTTGTTATGGGCTCTGCTCGGCTAGAGCGAACTAATAGACCTAACTGTACCTATGAGGTACCTACACCGACCGATTATTCAAAGATTCCCACTGATGAGATAATCCAGAAGAAGCGGCTCGCCGGCATCGGTCTGTATGTGTGAGTGTATGTGTTTGTAAGAAAGGTTTTTGTGTGTGGGTCTCTTCTCTCGCTTTTTCAAGCCACCCGCCGAGAATAGGGCCCTGCATGGATGATGTAGAAGAAGGAAAAAAAGGCTTCGATTTGCTTGCGTGGCCTGTGTGGCTCTTGGAAGATGCTTGATGGGCTGCCAAGCATGGCCCGGCAGAGAACATCGTTACATCAGTCGGTGGCGTCGAACCAGGGGGCCAGGGTGATTGTTTTTTGTTGTTGGTCACACCACACACGACGAGTGAAGGGAGTACACAATTCCCAATCCCAAGCGAAGAAGAAGAAGAAAATGGTAGTGAAAAAGAGAGTTGCAACGGCGGTGGAGAAAGACACTAGAATTATCAGATCCGCGATTACCGGGAAACGAGGGTGAATAGTCTAGTATAGAGGAAGTCGGGTCGGCCAGATTCGAGAGCGCAAAAAGCGGATCCAAGTCTACCTTTAGGAGGTATGAGTTATGGACCCATTGGCTGCGGGCATGAGCAGGTTTAAAAAAGCAAGTCGCAAGGAGCGTATTCCCGGCCAGAAATCGTCAAGCTCCCGAAAAGCGGGACCTTCTGCGTCTTCTGGTCGAAGTAAGTCGCTCCGGTAGTAGGAGGTGGAGGCAGGAGTGGAGGAAAGTCTGGATAAGGGACAGACCGAGCAGGATCTTATCAATCGCTCGCCCTTCATCATCATCGGATCATCTCCCCCCTCGCTCAATCTCCGTCTGTCCGTTTGTCTGCCTGTCTGTCGCTACAACACCTCGACAACCCAACACCACCAACAACATGGGTGTCTTCGACCAGATTCGCGGTCGAAAGACTCTCAACCACACTGCAGAGACCTTGGCTCAACCCGAGCCTCTCACCGATGAAAAACAAGCAACCGACCAGGCGACGTCGGCTTCCGCTTCGGAATCTGACAACGACAATTTGTCGCTCGAGGCACAAAACGAAAAAGAAATTCAGCGTCACCCCGACCAAGTCACTGCCGATGCCCACAAGGGTATCCAGAAGGCTGAAGCAGCCGCACTCGTATGGACCAAGCCAGTTCTCTACGCTACCTTTGCATGGTGAGTTGCTGTCTTTCTTCACTTTCACCTACCATCTTATCTGATGGCACTAATACGACGCCAAGGATCTGGGTGTGCTTCTTCATGCTGGCTTTCCAGTCGTCAGTCATGTCGTATGCCTCCGTCGCCGCCTACTCGAGCTTCCAAACCGCTCCTGCCTACACCACTGCCCAGATTCTGGCCACCATCATCGGCGGTGTGTTGAAGCTGCCCATTGCGAAACTGCTCAATATCTGGGGTCGCACAGAAGCGTACATGACCTTTTTCGGCGTCTATCTCTTGGGCATCATCATCATTGCTGCGAGTAATGGCCCCAATAGCTACGCTGCGGGCTACGTCCTGTACTGGATTGGCTACGATGCCGTCTACCTCATCCTGGACATCTTCGTCGCGGATACTACGGGTCTGCGCAACCGAGCCTTTGCCTGGGGCTTCGTTTCTACGCCTTTCATCTGCACTGCCTTTACCGGACCTCTCTGTGCCAATGCCTTCCTGTCCGTCACCACGTGGAGGTGGGCGGTGGGTGCGTTTTGCATCATCCAGCCCGTTGTCTTCGTCCCGCTTGCTGTGGTTTTCAAATTCTATCAGAAAAAGGCGGAGAAGATGGGTCTGCTCCAGACTAGTGATGCTGGTCGTACGAAACTGCAGTCGCTGGTGCACTACTTTCACGAGTTTGATAGTGAGTTGTTTACCAACATCAACCTTTTTCCTTTACCATTCACTGCTCATTCAACTGACACACAACTTCTCTTTTACAGTCATCGGTTGCATCCTGCTCATGCTTGCCTTCATTCTCTTCCTCCTCCCATTCTCCCTCCAATCATACGGTCGCGCCGACTTCAAATCCGCTACCTTCATCGCCATGGTAGTCGTCGGAGCCTGCCTCTTCCCCGTCTTCTACATCTGGGAACGCTACTTCGCCCGCGTCCATTTCGTCCGCTGGGAACTCGTCCGCGAACGCACCGTCCTCGGAGCCTGCAGTCTCGCCGCCGTCCTCTACTTCAGTTTCTATTCCTGGGATCTCCAATACTACAACTACGTCAAAGTCACCTACGCCCTCAGCGTCACCTACGCAGGCTACATGGGACAAATCTACAACGTCGGATCATGCTTCTGGTCCGTCGTCTTTGGCGCTTGGGTCTACTATACCAAACATTTCAAATATACCTGTCTCTGCTTCGGTCTCCCTCTCATGTTTCTCGGAGCAGGTCTCATGGTACATTTCCGCGGCGGAGACTACGGCATCGGCTACGTCGTCATGTGTCAAATTTTCATCGCGTTCGCCGGCGGAACTCTCGTGATTGGCGAAGACATGGCCGTCATGACTGCCGCGGATCGCGAAGGTGTTCCTATGATGTTATCCATCATCTATCTCGCCTCTAACATTGGCGGATCCATCGGAACTGCCGTTTCGACTTCTATTTACGGCAATACCTTTCCCTCTGCTCTCTCTCGTGCTCTACCTGCCGATTTGCAAGGCAAAGTACAAGAACTCTATCTGGGAGGGTATTTGACTCAAGAACTATTTGTGCCTGGAACGGTGGAACGCACTGCGATTAATTATGCGTGGGGACAAACGCAGTATTATAGTTGTATTTCTGCGGTGTCGATTCTCGTCTTGGGAATTCCGGCTATTGCCATGTGGAAGAATTATCGCGTGGACAAACAGCAGAATAAGGGTGTTATGATTTGAGAGGCAGAAAAAAGTTTTCTGTATAAGAAAAAGGGCATAGAGACAGACACAGAGTGACAGAGACAGACAAGAGTTGATTTGCTAGAGTGTTTTCTTCTATAAACTTCCATTTCCCGCTCGAGGGTCGGACCGGGCCCGTCTGACCGATGCCGGCTACTGCCAATCAGATCTCGCACGTAATTACAGACATGCGCTAGCCGGCTTGGCACAGCGCGCACAAGACCTTAGGTAGAGCTTGATACGTGAGTCTAAACAAGAAAAGCAACCTCTCGAACTCTACAAGCAAAATGGACGCAGCCAAAGACGCGTTTGAAGCGACACAGCGATCCGTAGGCCATCTCGTCGTTGGACTCCAGGAGCTCAAGTGGGAGGACGTTCCGCAAAAGGCCAAAGAGCATATTAAGAACAATCCCAAGATGAGCGCTTTCCAAGCTCTTTCCGTTCTACTGCTATTGGTCCCTGGGCTTGTCGTTGGGCCTGTGCTTGCTGCTATGGGTTTCGGTAGCGCTGGGCCGCTTGCAGGTAAGTTGCGCTTCCACAGAACACTAACATGGCACTACTGACATCCTAGCAGGGAGTGCTGCTGCCGCCTATCAGTCTGCGAACGGTGCAACGGCCATCTTCAGTACGTTGCAAAGCGCAGCTATGGGTGGTTACGGCGTGGCCGCCGTGAACGGCGTGGTGCAAGGCACTTCCGCCGTGCTTGCTTTTGGGACAGGACTGATGAGGGTCTTTCGCGGTGAAGGTGCTGAAGAAGCTAAGGTAGCAAGACCGGAACAGCAACCTGAGAAGCGCTCTTGATGCATAAAAAAAGACGTGCGAGACCAGGTTTCGGGAATTAGCTCGCGACGTACCTCCTGGCGTTGCTCGCTACATGTCGTTGCGGCTAGAAGCTGCTTTGTCCCGGTAGGAGGTAATAACTCGTGAAAGTAGAAAGCTGCTGCTTCGCTATATCTGACCTCAAGCTTTCCAATCCTAGCCAAACACAAGGTGAGAGTAGGCCGGCAGCACGATCGAACACAAGCTCCTAAGATAGTAGAAGAAGGCTAACTGGGAGAAGGTCGGTGCCCCAACTTTCCAACGTGCACAACACTAACACAGAACACGAACGTCGAGATGGCATCGGTATTGTATCAGTCCGACTTTGACGCCACGACAGACGATCCACAGCTGCTTCCTCACGAAGAGCCAGTTGTGCCGGCCTATGATGAAGCCATCAGCAGCATCGAAGACGCGTGCGCCCACGGTGAGCTGTCCATCGTTAAGACGAAAATCGAGTTTTTGCGACGAAGCTGGGCTGGTGACCTCGCAGTGAGCTATCTCGGCCGAGCTCTCAGGCTTGCCGCAAGTAACCGCATACAATCGCTGTCGCGTACCTCCTCGAGCAAGGCGTTCCTGTGAACTCCTCCCATGTACAGAGCGCCACGGAGGAGAGAAACACGGAAGTGCTCGCCTTATACTTCAATGGTCACTGGGACATCAATAAAGAGATTGAATGGGCGGTGCCTCCTGCACTGGCGTAAGTGGTGCGACAGCTTCGCTGCGCCCATTACCACTAAGCGCCCGCGACAGATACGCTGTGGACGATGCAGCTCTTACGCAGTGGTTCCTCTCTCGCGGAGCCGACCCGAACGCCCAATGCCTCTTGGACATAACGCCACTGTCTGCTGCCGTTCAGTACGCGCCAATGTCCGTCCTCAAACTCCTCTTCGAACACGGCGGATCTATAGCTTTCGGCCAATTGCTCAATTACGCAGCGTGGCGGGAGCTAGACGACCGCGTGGATGTTGTTATGTTCCTTCTCGCGAAAGGCGCTCCGATCAACAATATTATGTACCAGAACCGAATGGACTGTTATCGACAGCGGGAAGCATTCGCACTTGGCACGGCTCTTCATGATGCAGCGGCGATTGGGAGCATCGATGTCGTAAAGACGCTTGTGGATGCTGGTGCCGAGCTACGCATCAAAGACTCTCGTGGTGAGACGCCGTTACAGCGAGCGGAGAGGAACAACCACTTTGACGTGATACAGTATCTACAGCCGCTTGTGGAGAGGGAGCGCTCCACCGTTACGACAGTTCACCGATGAGATGAGATATCCATCAAGCTTACTCACTAGACCGAGTTAGAGCCCTCTTGACGCGACCATACAAGCTGGGCATTTAAGTCGTTCCCCGTTAGCGCAGTCCATCGTACAGTGCTTGGAAGAACACACTCCGCACTGAGGGTTCTTCTTACAGTTCTTCTGCTTGTGTCTATAGGAGTTGCATCGGAAGCATGGCCTTACCTCCTCCTTCCAATGGTAGTCTCCACACCAGCTCTCCAGGACTGTCCTGTGTTCTCACCTCGCTTCACAATCCATATCATAAATACAAGCATACGACCCCATTGTCCAATCATTCCTCCGCCTCCGCCTCCCAATCTACCTTCTCCAACCCCTTCCCATTTGCATCCCCGAAGATCGCCTCATCCGCTCTAGGGATCAGCGGTCGTCCACAGCCCACTACTGGACCCACTGTCCTTCTCGTGAGTGAGTGCTTCAAGGAAGACTAAGTTACATGCAAAACAGTGGGAGATATATTGCATCCGGATTCCAATGTTTCGCCTCGGAGCACTTTCTTCGCTTTAGCGGTGGACAAGCTCGCATAAGCAAAAAGCTATAACCCTTACCTAGGTATCTTCATACCTCTATAGCATCTCAATCGAGCTACAAGTCAATCAAAAAAAATACAAAAAGAATGCGATAAGGCTAACGAACTGGTACCCGACCATTGTTACTCGCGCAGGGGATCGAACCCAGGACCTTGTCCGTGTGAAGGACACGTCATACCACTAGACCACACAAGCGAGGTTGATACCAAACTCTGGTGGTACTTCAATATATATCCTTCATGACTATAAAGCTATATAGACCTACAACTGTAGCAGTAGTGAACTAAGTAGCCTTAATACAATATACTTGTAGCTATTAGTATCGATACCTGAAAAACCTTCTCGAGTTCTGTACTCGGTACTCGATTCTGAGGTCTATTTGCAGCGATAATATACAGATACCTACCTAGGCAGCTTTAGAGATGTAGAGATGTAGAGCTGTACGATGTATCAAAGGTGTTAAGTGACAGATTGGAGAAGGCTGTCCTGCTATAGGGCTTGTCTGGCTTATGACTATTACAGGTACCTACCAGCTAGGTACTAGGAGGTAAGCCAAAGAGTCGCAAGTGGCCGAGACCTCTCCAAGCGGCTTTGGGGATTAGACAAGCCAGGGTAGAATACTACATGTGCCTTCACTTTCAAGACATCAATATGCTTGCTGCCAGCACCACTGCGCTTGAACTTGCAACGGAGAACAGAGAGAATTGTTACTGGTATGTTGTACACATGTTCATTCCCAGGCTTTGCACGTACTCGTGCCATTGCCAGTCACTAGCTGTCCGCATCCTCTTTATGCGTGAACCGGTATCATTTTCTTCTCTTCGCGACATCTAAGGCTTCTGCGTCATGCCAGTGTACTTGTCAGCCCTCTCATGACCGACCCATTGCCCAGGCGCTGGCTTCTCCTCCAAATCCTCCCACACCTTGTTCTCCAGCATAACTTTTACAAGTTCCACCTCTCCTTCCGCAACCTGAATGACCTCCTCAATCAGCCCCGCACCAACTTGCTCCTCAATCTCACCAATCTGGCTCGCAGTCAAAGGTGGCTCAGGTTCGATCTCCGGTATGCTGGCGTGATGTGCTGCCTGGTCGTAACTGAGTTGCCGTGCCTGGTCCTCACGTTCCGAGATGTGTCGTGGTCCTTCGAGCGGCGCTGGTCCCTTATATTCGAGATTGTCCTCTGGGTCTGATTGCCCCAGATATGCGCCTGCTTTCCAGATGATGTTGATCGCTTTCTCGCCATCAGAAGTTGTGACTGGAATGGTGCGGAAAGCGTCCTTGTTGGCCTCAACGACCGGTAGGACGCGCTGCTGCCATTCTAAAAGTCCTTGTGGCTTGACTGATTCGACAATTCGCATGCGGTGTTTGGTCAGCGCTTCTGTGGATTGGCGGTAGACGCTGTGCTCGGGAAACTGTTTAAGCTTCTCCAGAGTGTCATTGTAAAGGTAGAGAAGAGTCGTTCGTGGAGACGAGTGCGTGAGCAGGCCTGCGAGACCTGTTGGCGCGCCAGCCTCGAGATAGTGGGAGCCGCCTTTTTGCACAGAGGCGAGGAGCCGGAGTGCTGATCGCATGGTGAGTGGCAGGAGACGGTGGACTGCCGATGGTGATGTGGGAGAGATGCAAGTGCTTGGAGAGAATAAGGTAAGGTAGGTAGGTAGGTAGTACAGTAGTCGGAAGTTCAATGTCAATGCGACATGGATACTCGAGAGCGTTGATTGGCTGGGTGGCGGCTCATGACATGGCGTGGGCGCGGCATGGCATTTCAACGGGACATTCGTGTTCGTTGGTTCGATTCGTCTTCTGGCCTCTCAATACATTGGTGCCGCGTGGAGACCGACATCGAACTTTCTGTCGTTCCCATCTACATCCACACATCCACCTTGATCGCACTCACCCAGGTACTGACTTCACTGTACCACCGACACTCGCTCCGACTCAGCGTCGTTCTATTCGCTACCTCCCTTGCTGTCCTTGTCATACGCCGCGCCGCGACGTGTCCTTCTCCCGAAACACCACCCTACCTGTACTCTACGACTGGCCTCTCCGACTTGCCATCGCATTTCCTACACCACTACGCCCGCTCGACGACTGCGCCCTGTGGTACTGCATTGGTGCGGCTCACTGTGCACGACTTTGGGTGTGAGGCCCGCTTCTCCTCACCATGCGCGCCTCCGCTCTGCTATCGTGGACGGCGACTGCGCTGCTCGCCGTACCTCCCGTCTCAGCAGGATTGTTCGGTGGCAATGAGGGTAATACATTGGGCGGTCTGATGAAGAAGGATGAAGATACCGCCGGAAAGGAGACGATATTCAACGGGAGGACTGTGCCCCCTATGATCGAGTTTGAGGGCGAGAAAATCGACGAGCAAATAAAGGATGGCTACTGGGTGGTCGAGTATTTCAGCCCGTATTGTCACCACTGCAAAGCGTTTGCGCCAATATTACAAACACTGTACGAGTTCTACTATACTTCAGACCCTCTTCCACAAGCATCGGGATCGGGCGAAACGCAGGATGATATGAACAGCTTCACGAGGTACTACGATTTCAAGTTCGCCAAGGTCGACTGCGTGGCTTATGGAGATGCCTGCGTGAGCCACGAGATTCAGTCGTTTCCTACGCTAGTCTTGTACAAGGATGGAAAGATGATTGAGAAGCAGACCGGGCAAAGGGATCTACCCACAACGAGCAAGTGGGTGGAGCAGATTCTGGAAAAGATCAAGCCTGGAAGCAGACCGCAAGGAGGCCCAAAACTGCCAAAAGTAGGAGCAAAAGAGGCACCCGCTCAGCCGGCGATAGAGGCATCGCTTGCGAAGCAAGGCGATGCCAAAGTTGAAGCTGGAACGGCAAAGGCTACGCTCACTGGCACCAGAATGACGGAACCTTCGAAGCAGACTCCCAATCCTGTTGGCAAGAGCATGCCGTTGACTGTGGATAACTTCCAGCGACTTGTCACGACTACGCGCGATCCATGGTTCATCAAATTTTACGCGCCTTGGTGTCATCACTGCCAGGCCATGGCTCCTAGCTGGCAGGGCATGGCTAAGCAAATGGAAGGCAGACTGAACGTTGGAGAAGTGAACTGTGAGACGGAGAAACGGCTGTGCAAGGATGTCAAGGTTCGAGGCTATCCTACAATCATGTTCTTCCAAGGTGGAGAAAGAATCGAATACGAAGGTCTGCGCGGACTGGGCGACCTCATGAGTTTTGCCAACAAGGCTGTGGGATTGACAGCTGGAATCGCAAATGTGACGGCAGCTGAATTTGAGGAAATGGAGGCCAAGGAGGAGGTCATCTTCGTATACTTCTACGACGATGCCACGACAAGCGAGGACTTCGCTGCGCTGGAGCGTCTCACCTTGAGCCTGATCGGACACGCGAAGCTAGTGAAGACCCGAGACCCTGCAATGGAGGAGCGCTACAAGATCTCTGTCTGGCCTCGTCTTATCGTCTCAAGAGATGGGAAACCGACTTATTACAACGCCCTATCCCCACGCGACATGCGCGACTTCCGTCGCGTACTCAACTGGATGAAGTCGGTATGGCTACCTATTGTGCCTGAGCTGACTGCTTCGAATGCTCGCGAGATCATGGATCATCGTCTAGTTGTGCTGGGTATTCTGTCCCGCGATCGCACGGAGAGTTTCGCACAGTCGAAGCGTGAGATCAAGAATGCTGCCCTTGAATGGATCGACAAGCAGACACAGGCTTTCCAACTTGAACGCCAGGAATTGCGCGATGCAAAACAACTTCGCATCGAGGAAGCCGAAGATCGCAACGACCAACGTGCTCTACGTGCCGCGAAGCAAATCCGGATCAACATGGACGATATCGAGCGTAAGGAGGTTGGCTTTGCGTGGGTCGATGGGGTGTTTTGGGAGAGGTGGATTCGGACTACCTATGGCATCAGTGTCGGCGATGGCGAAAAGGTCATCATCAACGACGAAGACAACCACCGATACTGGGACACGACGATGACTGGTAATCCTATTGTGCCTTCACGTACGAGCATACTGGAGACATTACCTCGAATTGTAGCCAACCCGCCCAAGATCAGCCCGAAGTCGACAACCAACGCGATAGGGCATGTATGGTGGGTGATCAAGGGGAACGTGATCCATCATCCATTCGTGAGTTTGGGACTTTTGGTCTGTGTGCTATTGGTGGGCTCGATATATGGAAGAAAGCACTTTCACGCTCGAGGTGGCTACATCAAACTTGACGAGAAAGCTGGACACATGAATGGTTTGCTCGGTGGGAATAGCGGAGTCGGAAAGACGGATTAATCATGGGATACCAGTCATGTCAGACAGCAAGGCGTTTTGGGGGGTTTTCTTTTTGAAATCAGCTACAGCAGCTGTGCGCTTTTGCGCTCGAAGGAGGGTTGTGCATATAGAGCTCTTCTTCAATTGCATTCCCAACAGGAGACGTTGTTGCGTAAGCCCTTCTCTCTCTCTCTCTCCCTCTCTCCCGGTGGGCTGACCCGGTGCTGGCCAGCTCCATTCTCTACACCTCTCTGCCAACACCATCCGGCTTTGGTGATCGAGCAAGAAGAAAGACTATAGTGAAAATGATCTAGAGCTTCAAATTCTCTTCAGCCTAGCTTATAGCCTTTCATGGGGCAGTGCGACCACTTCATGCCAACAGACAGATAGGTAACACGTTTGACATCGAGCCTCAGGACATATATCTGTATATGAACGAGCTCGCCTCCCTGCTTGCGCTTGAGAAATTGACACCGGCTGGAATTTTCAGAAGCTAGGTACCTTTCTCTTCCCTTCTCTTCCCCTCGCCACGCGTGGAAGGCATCGCGCCGACGCAGCCGGGGAAGTCATATATTATTGCCAAAATGGTCTCTCGGAGGTCATGACCAGGATTTTTTTTTTTTTTCACCTGGGCCAGTTTCGCGCTTTGTATGCATGCGCAGGGCTTTTTTTTTTCTCCTTTCTTTTTTTTTCTCTCATCGGAACCCCCTCGGGCGATAGGCATGATATTTCTGTCCACTCTCCAGCTCACTGCTCGGCTGTACGGGCGCGGAGCCAGGGAGCTCGCAAATTTTCCTCCTTTGATCATATTCATCTGTCACGTAAATGGAAGGTCCGACCAAGTGAGCAGAAGACGAGAAAGTTTTGTTCGATGAGCTAGAGGAAGTGTTCCATGGACGTGATGATGTAACAGGTCTCGAATCTGTTGCGATTGTCAGGACTTTTGGTACATGGAATGAGGCAACTAGGGCTGGATTGCTTACCATTGGTATCTTTCCCAAATGCTACCAAACTGATGACAGAATTTTCGTATGGCTTGCTGGAATGATCTTTTTTCTCATCCGGTGTTTTACGGGGACGTCGCATGAGCCATAGTATGCCAAATACTAGCAGTGCCAGGACAGCTAGACCTCCCACTACTCCCCCTGCTACTGCGCCGGCATTAACAGGTGATGTCTGTGCTGGGCCAGCGGTAGTTGCAGCAGTAGAAGATGGCAGAGTTGAAGAAGTGCTTATCGCAATGGAAGTTGCTGCAGGATCAAAGGTCGTGTGCTGCTCGGTTATCGTTGACGGAATTGATGTTGTCGATGGCGTAGACGAGATCGCAGTCGTGCTGCTCGTCAGTACGCTTGTGCTGGGCGTTGAGTCGATCGCAGAGGCTGTTCGCGCAGTCGCAGAGAGGGACGAATAGGTAGATGTCTCTCGGGCGCCTGTTGACGTTGCGATAGGTGTGTTGATGACATTCTGTGTCTTTGTCTCCTCTGAGACGGGATTAAGTAGGCCTGATAAAAACCCGCCAACCTGACCAAATGGATTGTCGGCCATTATTGCTCAACTTTTGCGATCAGACAATAGATATATCAAACCAAACATGCCAAACGGCTGCAGTGTTCTGTTGCGATCAAGCAATCTCCTCCTCTCGTAGTAAGCTAGACCATATTCGACATCGCTGTACCTTCAGCATAATTTCAGTTGACTTTCGTCACATGTCGATCACTGGGACATCACAGCCTCTGACTCGATCCATTAACATATATAAAGGTGCTGCTGCTGGGCGCGGCATCTTGCTCTATTGGTGGCTGTGTTTCAATTTGTCGTTCATGCGGCAACGGTAGCACGAGGATGCACACTCAACGCTTCGTGAGCTGGTGTCCGCCGAGTGTTATTGTTCGAACAGCAGGCGAACACACGAAACAGGACTGTGGGCATGTATCGTGTTCGATTGAGGCGAATTCAGCAATTGGCTCCCAGGCGTCTTCGCTCACGCTTTGAAACATCTTGCAAGTTGCGACTCTGCGAATGGAGGACTAGTCGGCGCTTAAGCCTGGAGTCGAAGGTTGCGTTGCAGCCGACAAATCTTTACCGTTGCAGAAGTCTTTCCCTAGTCACAGGCGGGTGGGTAACAATTGGATCTGTCTTTCCAACAGCTGGACAGAGCTTGAGATGAACTTACGAAGGCTCCTATATTACAGCTGAGGCTCACTCTGAGGCTCACTCCGCTCATAACATATTTGCAGACCACCAAGCCTGGTAGGCGTCAGGCCCCGCTATTGTTGGAGTCCTCGACTCTCGCACTCGCCCCAGAAAATCATGAGTCGCCAAACCTTTTTAACCATGACTTCCGCCTCGTCTTCCAGAGGTCCTTCGAGATCTTCCTTGATGTCCAAGGCTTTACGCTTCTCGCGAATGCCATCAATGACAGTATCCACAATCAGATCCTCTTGAACTCCAAGATACTCAACTACCTTTCTCTCCACAAACGGACGAATCTGTGCGTCCACGAGCGAAGGCGTGAGGTACTCCCACCTGATAGGATGCGCGAACAGCGCATTCGTATCTGTAGGAATTTCCGAGGCGAGCTGTTTGCGACCAGCGGCCTTGTCCTCGTCAGAGAGATCTTGGCCATGCATGGGAACAGTAGAAGTGTCCTGGAGAGGCTTGAGATCAAGCTTGACGCCAGCTGCCGCAGCATCTTCCTCATCTTCCAGGAGACCTTCCACATCAGCCATAACTCGCTTGGGGGCAACAGCAGGCTGTCGAGACTTTGCGCCTCCGAGAGAGATCTTGAAACCAGCCGGGGCAGCGGCCGCAGGTTGATCCGAACGAGTGTCCATCTCACTGCCAAGTTGACCAAGGAAGTCATTGGCCATCCCACTCGCCTCGTTGTTACGGCGGCGTTCGTCTGCTTGCTCGCGCTCTTCGGCCCTTCGATCAAGTTCATCTTCTTTTCTCTCATAATCGCGCTGATGCTCACGCTCACGCTGCCAAAGGGAACGATCCTTGTAGTACATATCCCTACTCTTGATAGCCTCTTCGTCATCATTCCAATTGGCGAGCTTGCTAAGCATGTCCTCCTTCGCTCTCTCGAGGTTGCGACGTTCGGCCTCTTCACGGTTCTTCTCGCGCTCTTGGGCCATGCCTCGTGTGCGCTCTCTCTTCTGCCATCGCTCCACTTGGTCTCGAAACTCCTTGTCGAGTTCAATGTTGTGACGTGCTACGCGGCGGCGCTCCAACTCCTCGTCGGATTCTTCAGCATCCTCGGCCTCGCGATCCAGCTCAACGCGTGCAGGGCGCCCATAACGACCAGCTCCGGGCACGAAGACAACACCGTTAACGTAGTCGCTTGGCAGCTGGGCCCCACGATATCCTTTGGGTCCTGCAGGCGCTCCTTGCACACCTTGTTGACCTCGAGGTCCAATTGGGACGCCATTCGATCCGCCAGGACCAGAAGGCACCCCATTGGGAGGCGGAGAGGCTAGGCGGTTGGTATGAGTAGGCCCACCATTACGTCGTCGTTCCTCACGCTCCAATTCCTCTTCTCTCCTCGCTCGCTCAACGTCACGCCGACCCGACCGATCTCGAAAAGCCTTGATCTCCTCAGCAACAGTGGCACGCTGTTCTGCTGGTATATCGGCTAGCTCGTCATCCAGGTTCGTAGCCGTGATTGTGATGTGTTCCACGCCGTCGCCGTTTGCATCTCCCATTGAGGTGTCCCCCTCATAGTCTCCATTTGCGCCGTTGGTTCCATTTGTTGCATGAGAAGCTTCATCCGCGAGGCGGGCGAGATGTGTTTTCAGGTATTCTTTCGCGGTGTCCAAACGGAACTGACGACTGTTCTCATCCTCCTTGCGCTTCCCTATCCATTCCTGTATATACTTCTGGCTCTCCTCGTCCACGACTACCAACAGCTTCATTGTCTTCACCTCGCCCTCGTCATCCCTCTGAGCTGCGCCTGCAGCGTCGAACATTGGTACCTCGAGATCACGAAAGCTCTCAAAGGCTGCCTCTAGACTGTCTACGTCCTCGTACTCTGCAAAACCAAACGTGCAGGGCTTGTTGTCTGCATCGTAGGCTCTCGTCCAGCGTCGTAACTTGCCCGCACATTTCAGTATCTCGCAGAGCGCTTTCTCGTTGGGAGCGCCGGCCACGAGACCTCCAACAAAGATGGTTCGGGCGACCTCTTCTCGTGTGGGAGGTTGAGTTGAGACCATATTTTCGCGAACCCTCTCCCTGTCTCTGTCCACATTTCGCGAATCGGCACCCAGTCCCGCTCTGCCTCTGTTGCCAGCAAAGTCGGCATTGCCGCCTCGTGGGCCACGGTCTCCTCGATCACCGCGATCGCCTCCCCTGCCATCTCGCGCCGGTCCATCAACGCCAAGCCGTATCACAGGCGCGTTGAAGTTGATGTTCGGCATGTTGGGAGGAGGTTGGAACTGTCCCTGGTATCCTGCTGGCGACTGTGCCATACCGGGCGCTGCTTCAAAACCAGGCGGTGCCCCCATACCTGGTGCGGCACCATATGATGGCTGCCGCGCCGCTCCAAAGCCAGGCGGGCCATATGGGTTGGCCATGGAGTGTGGATGGTGCTCGATAGCGGTTGTGAAGGATAGTCTCGTCGACTGTCCGAAGTGCGAAAGGCGAGTTGGCGCGTATTACTGTGCTCGAGTCTAGCGGTGAGCGAGCCCGATCGTAGGTACCTTGAGAGATAATGGTAGGCAGAAGTAGGTAAATACATGAACCTCAGGTACCTACCTTAGGGAACTTTTGACGCGGGTCCAAATGTCCGCGGCTTGGCGTTGTAGAGCTAACTAGGTAGGTACGTCGTAGATGGACTCGGAGTCGGAGAGCAGACATCTCCTCCGCATCCATTCACCAACGCTGCCACAGCATATACCAACAACCATGGCGTCTGCCAGGACCGGGGCATTTTTGAAGCCATTGCTCGCATGGCCAGCATACCGAATCACACAAATCCCGCCAGCGTCGGTGCCGATTAAGCAGTACTGCAGAGGCCAGACATTACGGGCCTTCACTACCGCTCGATGCCAGCGAGACGAACAACGGGAGACAGCGAAGAGGACGAGCAGCATCAGCGAGGACATCTCCTCCCTGGTTGATGGCACGCTTGACCCCGCTAAGGGCACTTCCTCAACTCCGGCATCACGAACCTCACGATTCAAGCCACTGGACCCTACCCAGAGCAGTGGTATGCAAGGTGTAGCAAATGAACTCGAGCAAGCGCAAGCCAGCAGAAGGAACAGTGTCGATGAACTCCTCCTACGCATGGCCAATCCAAACGAGCGAAAACGCACGATATCGGGCTACAAGGCCTCCGACATCAACGACATGTTTAGTGGAAACGGCGGCCAGCCCGTTCTCACGAAAGAGGCAGAACCTGTGCGTCTGCCACCGAATGTTGGGAGGCTGGTCGCAGTGGACGAAAAACGTGGCATAGACGTCGCGAGAGCATTTCGCATGATGGAGGTTCAATGCAGTCGGAATCGTGTCAAGAGGTCTTTCGCACTGGGACGGTTCTATGAACGGCCTGGCCTGAAGCGAAAAAGGCTGAAGCACGAGAGATGGATCAAGCGTTTCAAGGAGAACTTCAAAGGCACTGTACAGATGGTACAAAAGATGAAGAAGCAAGGCTGGTAAGCTCTATGGACGAGAGGGGAGGAGGGGAAGTCCACGAATTCCAGTGGCAGAACTACGTGTAACAGCATGCGTCCCGCTGTCAGCCTCAGTTCCCCGCCTACGGTGTGCCTGGGGATCAAGCATGCTCGAGCCGAGGATTTGGTACATAGCATCAGCGTGCAGTGGCGGGCAGAGCAAACGATACTTTTTCAGAGCCTTATAAGCCACGATGGAGAGTCCATAAACGATGAACAAGCTGGTGTGCGAACCGTGGGTGGATCATCGGGAAACGGCCGCTTCAACTTACAGGGGATAGTATGTATCATCGCTGAAGACGAGAAGAGTCTCCGGCGTCGTCAGCGAGAGGCGGCGTATGGTCTGCATATGATGCATCGAGGACCCGCCAACGGTGTCTGAAGTCTGCCACCATCATGCTAGTCGACAATAAAATACTATTCTGAGCGGACAGCAGATATAACACAGATTCTCATGCGACGGAGCTCTGTATAGAGATATAAGTATTAGCTAACAAGTATACAGTGGGGAGGCAGCCAACCTACCACACAACATCTTGCCGAGCGGAATAAAAGCTTTAGTGCAACCATGGCTATTCAACACACTTCCTCCCGCAACCACAACCAGTTGATGCGTCAGAACTCAGAAAAGTGAGGACATCAGAGATTCCATTTGCTATGTTACGAATCATCAGCAACAAAGATGCTACACTTTCCCATCAATACTGCACGTACTTGCAAAATCACTCATCCCGATCAGAACGACGAAAGATACATTCTACCAACCGGCTTTTTGAAGTACGCAACCAGCCACCACAGCAACAGCAACAGCGACAGCATCGTACGAAAGTAGAGTTTTAATTGCCGAACAGTAAGTTAATCTTGACACACACAGAGAGAGAGAGTGTTTGTGTGTGAGAGAGAGAGAAGCAGTTGATCAGTACTGACTGGTCTTTTCAGTCGACTCGATAAAATTAAATGTCTTCCCGGGGTTCATCATCGGACTTTGACACCATGAGCGGAGCAAGCACTCCCGAAGAAGAGTCCTTCACAACCATCGAACTCCCAGGCCCCAGCGGCGACGACAATCACATTGGTCTTCACCTCCCGGCACGCGACAGTTTGGACCTAGATCGCCGCGGGGTTAGACTATGCGACGCGAAGCGCTCTCGAGTCTTCCATGAGACTGCATCTCGTTCGAGTGAAGAAGTCATGACCAGTGCCTGGAATTGCCACCTGGAACATCGGGATAGTCTTGATCTTGATCGCAACGGAAACAGACTGTGCGCCACCCGAGGTTCGGCTCCATGGCGAGTTCCCCAGAAGAATGGAAAGGGTGGATGTCTCACGAGAAAGTGGCTCAAGATGAGATGGCTCAAGGTGAAGGAGCAAGTCTGTCAGAGTTGTGAGTGCGAGGCTATGCGAATGAGGAGCATGGTCAACTTTCTCAAGCCCCTGAGAGCAGACTGTGGTGGCCATGAGATCTAGTGTAGTCAGCTCGAGGCTACTGCATGCACGGGCATTGTTGTTGCACTCTGTGCTTGAGTGGTGCTACCAGGTGTGTGATTATTGACCCAGCCGCATTACTATTCAAGTATCAATTCTATCTGTCGTGTTCTTCTCGTGTAACGTGAGGTCCCAGCTCGACGACATTCGGCTCGTTTCAATGTATTTGTGCCTGACGCAATAGTTTACATGTACCTGTACTCGTGCTCATCCATTTCACTAAATGCACTTCATCACAAAATTATATGTACCTTTTCAGATGGTCTCGTCTCTCTCTTTCGTCGGAACGTCAACGCTGTTCGCACATGTCCAATGAGTGTGCGGCAACGCCACAGTGGCTTGTGAAGTTGACCTAAGAGATTTCTGCCAAGTGAAGGAAGAGGAGTGCTGCGTGCCGCACCTCGGCCATCGTCTTCGTCGCCCACAAGCAACCAATCCCGCCAATACTTCGGCCCAGCGCAAGACATGTTGAAAGATACGACCGGTTTCGCGAGTTCCAGCGTAGGCTCGAGGTATTTGCTGTTACTGCTATAGGTACCACGGCTACGGCTACGGCTACGGCTACGGCTACCGCTCTCGCTACCCACACGCAAGCCATACGCCTCCATGTGTGCGGTCTTGCAACGCAACTGAAGTACCTCCGTAGTCCAGACCAGATATCGCTTAAATACCTTCCTTTGTTATTTGTATTCCATGGCGTTAGGTAGGTTTGCGCTATTACTCAGAGACCTCAAGTCCTTTTCGGAACTTGGAAAAAGACCCTCACCTTGGAAGGGTCGCAATGATGGAACCCATGAACGGCATAGTATCATGGCAGCGGCTAAGCTACATATTGATGACTCTCGTCGGGATCCAATGCTTCTTCTTATACCACAGCATCGGAAGTAGCGAGCCTACTCATCTTCCAAGACCTGCGCGACTCACCGAGATCTCTGCCGAGGCGTCTGGATATGCTGATCTCGAGTCAACGACGCAGTCAAATGCAACAAACGAGTACTTTTTTAACGAATACGTGGATTCACTTACCGCAGAGCAATGCGAGATTGCTTTCCCCGACATCTATTACGAAGCGGAGCGCGCTACGAGATACTGGAAGAAGCGAAATCACATCATATCCGGAGATGACCTCCATATGCCTCCCGATGGGCATGTCAGGTTTCTCATACACCGCAACGAACTTCGTATAATCAACTCCAGCAATGCCTATTCCGCGCTAGGCCGCGGAGAACGCGCTTTGGCAGTGACCAATCTTCTTCACCGAGCCGTTGAAAGCGCGAAGGCTGGTGGCGAGAGGCTTCCCACGATCGAGTTCACGGTGTCTCTGTTAGATATTACTGAGCCACCAACTTTACACGACACGTATACAACCTGGGTCTGGACGCGGGAACTGGCCGATGATACTACAGAGCGCGGGAAAAAGCAGCGCCGCTTCTGGGTTATGCCGAACGTCGAATTCTATGCTTCCATGGACAGGAACTTGGGTGCCTACCATGATGCTCGTCATCGAGCTGCTCAGCACGATTCTTCCCTCGAAGATAAGATACCCGAAGCAGCTTGGCGCGGCACAGCTTGGGTGAATCCAGAGCTTCGTGGTGGACTGGTGAACAAGACCAAAGGCAAGCCCTGGGCTTCTGTTCACACCATCGACGCGAATGACCCAAAACACGCTCATCAACTCAGAATGGACGAGTTCTGCTCCTACCGATTCGCAATTCATACCGAAGGAATCGCATATTCGGGTCGATTGCAGTATTTGCTCAATTGCGACAATCTACCCATCATCCATAAGCTCGCTTGGACGACGCATTGGAATCATCTACTCATTCCCGAAGGCCCTCAACAGAATTACATCCCCGTCAAGCGAGATTGGTCCGACCTTGAGAGTCAAGTGAAGTTCTATACTGAGAACCCATTCAACGCGAATATGATTGTGAAGAATCATCTCAAGACCTTCCGGGACAGGTATCTAACGAGAGCGGCTACGAGTTGTTATATTAGGAGGTTAATGCATGAGTATGCGAGTGTGAGCTGGAGACCTGAAGTGGACGAGAGTGTCTCTAGACGAAATGACACGAAAACGGCAGCTAGTAAAGTTGTGAGGAGGAGAGGGCTGAGTTTTGAGGAGGTGATGTTGAATCCTCATGATTTCAGGAATGCCAGTGACTTTTATGGAAATTGGGACTACGAGTAGTCTGACTCGTTGGAAAGATATCCCCCATCTGTTTTGAAGTCCTTTTGTGCGAGTATGTAGTATATGTCAAGTCAATCGAGCATTTCCCCGGGCAATCAGGCGTCTTCGGTAATGATTCAGTCGTACCTAGTCACATTTCTGCTTCTTCCACGTGCTGCCAGACTTCGAATTCCGCTCGCTCGCGGCAGCCAGTACAACCTCCTGGTTGGTCCACCTTGTCAGAGCTGGCATATCTCGATTCTGTGCCTAATTTGTTTGCAATCCATCTCGAGGCTGAATATTATGGATGAGACTCCTGCAGTCAAAGCATGATCATCGTGCGGGCGATGTGCAAAAGATGAAGCAGGGGATTCCACCAGAAAAATCCATCGCTCTGAGGTTGGTCCAGCGTACCTGGGAAAACGGAGTCGGATGTGGATAGAGACTGTCCATTGCAATGCAGCTTTCTTCCATGAGAGCGCTTGGTCATTGCAGTCGGAGCGGAGCATACCTGAGGCTGCAGATACCTACAGCAGGCTTCTGAGAAACCTTGTTCGGTCGGTGTCGCAAGTTGATGCCGTCGTCGAAGGAAGGTACATTTAATTAGAGAGGTCGTAAGACCTGGGAGACTTTCAGCGCACAACTAAACGTGTTCAGTAAGCCTCTTCCATGACCAGACCTTGCCAGTAGCGTTTCGGCGAAGATGACGGGAGTTGTTACATATGTACCTAGGTAGGTGTACATGTAGAGGTGAAGCTTGAAGTGATGTCGTAAGGGGGGTCTCCGTCCGCCGCCTCCGCCAAGCGAGACCTCTCGTCTGCTTCTAGACTGCATGAACCTGGAGTTGCGCGAGTGATCATCTACATCCACAAAGAACACACCATGGCGAACGGGTATGATATGATAGCAGATGTTGCGCGTGCTCGGTAAAGCTAATGCGCGCTGCAGTTGGAGTCTCATCATCAGCATCATCGTGGTCGCGGCGATTGGCCTAGCAGCCTGGTTTCTAAGTCCCAAAGGCGAGAACCAAACGTATGCAATACCATTCCTCTGCATGGCTGGAGCACGATCTAACGTTCACAAATATAGCGTCTGGCGCTCGACCATTATACTATCGACTGCAAGTTGCTGGCTCATGTGGGGTATGGATGTGCACAAGATGGTGTTCCAATTGACGCTGACATCTAGCCAGCGATCACGTTCCTCGCACAATGGCACCCTCTCATCGTACCCGAACGAAGCGATCTCCGCATGGAAGTTGAGCCGCCGCAGCGTTTCTAAGCAGGATGGCAGCATGAATGGCATGGCACGGCGTTATGAGGCGTTCAGGAGAGTACAGTTTATTGGAGACACGGGAATCAGACCAGGAAGAGCACGAAAAGGGCGCGCATGCTGGACAAGCATATGCCCGGGAAACGCACTGCGAGAACAAGTGTATGAATACTGCTACACTACCCCAAGCCCGCGGTCTCCATGAGTGTGCGCCACACTTCAATGAGGTCCCCAGTCTCGACTACTCCCGCAGCAGCAACGCCTCCCCCAACTCCTACTGCGCGCAAGATTCCCTGTAGTACTGGTCAGCGGTGCCAAAATAAGGAGATTTGTACTACACGTACCCATCCAATACCTGCTCTGCATACCGCTCCCACAGCCGCGAGTCCAGCGGCTCTGACATACCCGCAATCGAGCAAGATCTCAAGCGCCGCCACATTGTTGATGATGACTGCCCACGAGACGGCACTGGCGCTGCTCGGTAGGTCGTAGTTCCATACCAGAAGCATGAGTGGAAACAGCTTAGTAAAGCTTGAAACCAGTAACGCCGTGCTGATAAGTGCTGGATGCGGATAATATGGCACCAGGGAGGGAAGTGGCGGTGGCAATCGTAGTGATAGCAGTGCTCGGATGGGTAGGTGAAAAGAGGCCTGTTCTAGAGTGCAAAGGACTAGAAAGAAGATGTATTGCACCAGGATTGGTTGAGCTGCGAGTGGACTCTGAGCATCGGAACCATTGACGGTGCCGTTCAGAGCCTGGGCAGAGCTGTTCCCTGAGCCAGATAGCAAGGGAGGTAACGGCGGAGGTGGGGATAGCGGCAGAGATGGAGAATCCGAAGTGGCTTTCTCGATGCGTGCCCAGGTCAGATAGACGTCGAATAGCAGTAACAAGATGCCTAGACGAATGATTGATGGCTTTCCGTACATTAGTATATATCGCGCTAGTGCAAGTCCTTCTATGACAACATACATCGAAGCGTCCATCTTCTCTGCCAAGCCGATTGAATAGCAGATGTCTGTAAACCTATACTGCTATCAGCGCACCATCAAGATATATGCAAGAAAAACGAACGGGTGGATCATACCTGGGGCTTGATCAAGACCAGGTCAATGAAGAGGACCACAAAGTCATGCTCGACATATTTATCCGCAAACCGCTTACACTGCGGACATTGTGTCAAGCGCACACCCTTGCCCAGCGCCTTGTCATCAGCTTTGCTGTATGTTGTATACAGGTTGCTCACGGGAAACCGGCATTCGATACATATAGGCATCTTTTCGTTGATGTTGCTATAATACATGCACGTGTATGCCTTTGTTGTTGCACGAGACGTCAAGGCGTGCACGCGCCAAGCCTTAGAACTGGATTGAGACTTCGCCTTCCATCTCAAAGCTACTCTACGCTCTAACAATATTATTCAACTGCGAACCAAAGTTGAGTTCACTGAACTACGCGCTCGCCAAGCTGTCGTCACGATTGTTCGAAAGGGAAACTCCAGATCGGGCGGACGCGCTCTGAAATCTACGGGCACAGCTGCGATCAATTATGTCTACGGCGAAGGAATCCTGCGACAGTACAATCGCGGTTCGCAGTCATGTATAGATGAAGCTGGCAGCAGTTTTTATGAGCATCTCCCTGGGTTTCTAACTCGGACTCACTTGCCATCTATCGCGGCTATATCAAAACCTGCAGACGCGGGATGTCCATCAAGCCTGTACGGGATGCTGCTGCTCGGATCCTCGGAGTGGAAGAGATCAAGATATGCCAATACCAACAGAATTCTGCAAACGAAAGCGGGCCCCGCCTCACGGGCATCTTTTTCGGAAGATGACCAGAAGGTACGATAATGAGCTTGCTTGCGAACTTGGTACGAATGTGAAGCAGCCCACAAGGAATCGCCAGGGGCCTCGAGCCCTCAAGGCACCGTGGACTAGAGAAAACGTACTTGTTATGACAATCCCACCACAACATCTAATGCACCTCTAGACCCGATACCCAGGAACTTCTGATACTGTGAGGCCCTGCGCATGCTGGTGGCGCTGGAAGTGGATCTTGTCGGCTACACGCCAGCTGGCAGCGAGCCTCATTTCGTCACCAACACTCATCTTCATAGATTTCTATTGTATCGCAGCTCCTTCCTTCCCAAGGTTTTCTTCGTCGAAAACAAAGCCCATCACAACCGTATTCTGAATTGCCCCCGGCAACCTTCTAGCATACGCGAGATCGATATGTCTTTCAAGATTCTGGACTTCAAGTGTGCTCTGGTACGAACTCTGTCCAGTCACTCAAGTCATTCACATGAACACAAGCTAATAGTGTAGAGCAGGTCACAGGTGGTGCAGGTGGCATCGGCCGCGCTATCACAGAGTACTTCCTGTCAATCGGCAAGAAGGTTGTCATTGCTGGCAGGACCGAGTCCAAGCTCAAAGATACAGTCAAGGAGATCAACAATCCCAATCTGTCCTACTACACCCTGGACACTGGCGATATCTCCAGCATCCCAACGTTCATCAAGACGATTACCAAGGAGCACCCTGATGTAGATTGTCTAGTTAACAATGCTGGCGTTCAGCGACCCCTAGATGTCAACGAAATGTCGTCGGAAGAATTCCTCAAAAAGGCAGATCAAGAGGTTGCCATCAACATCAACGGACCTATGCACCTCGCCATTGGTCTTCTCCCACACTTCAAGAGCCACAAGTCAGGAGCTGTAATCATGAACGTGTCCTCCGTCCTCGGTTACATGCCTTCCAGTGTCATCAATCCTGTTTACAATGGCACCAAGTCATGGCTACACTTTTGGACTATGAATCTTCGGACGCAATTGCGTACTTCCAAAGATGGAGGTAACAAGATCAGAGTGGTTGAGATTGCTCCACCTACTGTGTCTACGGATTTGCATCGCGAACGTGCGGACCCGAATGACAACAAAAAAGAGCAGAATTCGGCTGCACTTTCGGTTCAAGAGTTTATGGATGAGGTGACGAGTGCCTGGAAGAAGGACGAGGAAGTTATTAGTCCCGGCCCAGCGAAGCAGGTGGTCGAGAAGTGGTACAACGCCTATGGTGGCGACTATGAGAAATCTGCAGGCGATCGAGGCGGTCGTTAAGAAGGCTGTAGTTGTCTCAGGGTACCAAGGACATTTCGTACATGGGCACCACGAGGACCTTTTGCAATATGTAGGAGAGAGGAATCAGGATACCTCACGAGTATTACCTTGGCATTAAATTACATGTACCTCAGCGTAAAGGCCTGCTTAGTCATCCGACTGCGCGTGTGCTCGTTGCCGGGCATATCAGCTCCGTGCATGGGCAAGGCCCGCAATCAACATGGGTTTCACGGTATCCTGATCAAACGTGTAAGGTTCTCCATTGTGATTTGGATTTTGGGGCACTTCCGAAGTTTCAGGGCCGTGCTGCTCACTGAAGGCATGGGTAGATGGAACGATCGAGACCCCATTTAACGTGATAGCTCGAGCACGGTGCCAGTGCTTTGGTGCACATGCCACCACCAGTCAACACTCACTCCACTCAGTAGTAGTTGACCTCATCTATACTTCTAGTCTGCCGTCTCAAGCTTCGATGGCAGTATCCCTCATGAGAGACGTGAAACCGACATTGTGTCTGCCTCGACTGGGATACGCTGAACATTCCATTTTGCGGGCCATGTCGAGCCACGCGCACAAGTCGGAGCTGATGGATTCGTTGTATGATCTTGAAAATCCTTATGAAGCGGTGTGAAACGGTACATGTATACATGTACATGTCGCTCTCCATCAGGCGTGCAGCCGCAGCACAGCGTCAGGCTCACGTGAGCTGTAAACGGCCCGATCAAATTTTGCTGACAAATCGGGTCATGTGACACTCAGCTGCCCGACAGCGGAAGAAGGGAAAAAATAGACAAGAAAGAGAAAGCGTGGTCAGAGAGTGAAGGTGAAGTGAAAGGGTGTGTGCTAGAGAGTCTCAAGAGATGAACAGTAGAACAATATCGCCCGCCCGGCCGAGGTCTCCGATTCCATGATGTTGTGCCAAGGAATCCCTCTCAGTGGTCGCGTTTCAGCCTCGAGCTCGGACGCACTTGCCCTCATCAGTCAGATCTACATCGACCGACGACTTCGCAGTTCGCACCCGCACCCGCACCCTTCTCTCGGCGGAGTATAGCTGTTCTATTTTTGAACAACACCCAACCTCGAAAAACACCATCACCGTCACGGGCGCGTGTTCTGGAGCGAACCAGTATTGTTGCACGCGTGCATTCAGACTGGCAACGACAAGCGCCACCTCCGTCGCGGACTCTGCCTCGCGCACGTTCATCGCCCGCCCACACGCGCACTCACAGCACTCCATACCTACTACAACTGAGCACGACGACCGAAGTCCGCGCTCGGTAGCGAGCCGCTACGAGTTAACTAGCGATGGGGAGAAGGAAGATTGAGATCAAGCCCAGTAAGAGACATCTGCTCATCTTCACACGCGCCCGTCGCCATCCGGGTTCGAACAAGGACCTGCAGGCTAACCACCAGGATGTGCAGTCCGCGATGACCGCAACCGCAGCGTAACCTTCCTCAAGCGCAAAGGCGGCCTCTTCAAGAAGGCTCACGAGCTATCCGTCCTCTGTTCCGTCGATGTCGCCGTGGTCATCTTTGGCCATAACAAGAAGTTGTACGAGTACTCCTCGTCGGATATCAACGAGATCATTGGGCGGTTCCAATATGTACGCGCCTGCTCGTTCCACACTTCCCCGAAAGAGCGATGCACTAACGGACAGCAGTATGGCGGCGCCCATGAACACAAAGGGCCTCAAGACTTTGCGGACAAGACTGGAGGTGGTGACGATGACGACGAGGATGGAGATGGTGGCGAGGATATGGGCGGCGACGAGCACAGAGGAACTCCAGATCCTTCGATGATGCACCCGCAGATGGTGAACCACCCAGGCTTCCAGCACGTTAGACACGGGACACCGCAGGCTTCACCGCCAATGCACAGTGCGGGTATGCCACAGTTCACACGCGGTCCATCGCCTATGCCCCCGGGGATGTCTGTTTCACGGCCCAATTCTCGCAATGCTCCACATCCAGGTGGTGCACAACACATCCGAAGAACAAGTTCAAACCTGGCTCAGCACCCTCCAGGAGCCCAGCCCAGTTATGCCTACCAGCCAAACCCACCATTCTACAATCCACAGGCCGCACCAATGCAGGGCAGACCGCCCCCCGGATCTGTGCCTCCACCAGGCTCGTATCCCGCACCATATCCACCACAACCTCCACAGCACCCTCAGATGCAGCAAGCATTCATGCAGGACCAGCGGCGCACCTCGATGCCTCCAAATTTCCCGCCGCAGCCTCCGCCGCAGCCAAATATGCAGAGAAATCCGTCATCGGAACACCTTGCGCCCCCTGGACAACAAGCACATCCATCTCCTAGACTACGGCAGCAGCAAAGGCCGACGCCCTCTCCACAGCCTCCCCAACACCAGTTCCAGAGCCCACCTATACCGCAACCAAAGCCACTACCAGCACATGCCAAGTCTCACAGCATATTCACGCCCATAGATGATAGCCGATCAATGCTCGCGCAGCACTGGGGAGGTCCCAGCAACTCCGAGGCAGGCTCCGATCCCTCAATCAAGATTGAAGGCGGTGGACCTCGATCGCAATCCATAGATGTGGCACAAATGCACAGAGAGAATCACGCAAGGGCGAATGGATTATCGCCAAGACCGCCGCCTTCTGGACCGTCATCCGCGATGTCATCGCCACAGCCTCCGCAACGGACAACCAGCACTCCGACCATTGTCGGTCCGCCGCGCACGGGATCGGTCCAAAACGAGGCTAAAAGACCTCGACTGAAGGTGCAGATACCGAGTGAACAATCTGGGGATGAAGGCGGTACCGCAGAGTCCGCGCAAGATTTGGACACGAGTGAAGTGCAAACAGCAAACACTGGAAACGGCGGGCCACCTCAGCCACAGGTTCCCCCTCATGGAGTCGTGTTGCCGCCTCCCTCTCCCAGTGCTGGTGCTCTGCTGTCAGCTGGCGCGCAAGGCCCACCCAATCCGTTTGCCAGACCAGCCCCGCCTATGAGTACGAATCCGCACGCTGCCAATCGTGAGGCCAATCATATTGAAACACCCATATCCGCTTTGCCTAGTAGGTTCATGAATAATGAGCTTTTGCCCTCGCCGTCTGCTTTCTATCCGGCCGACTGGGGAAACAATATGCTGCCTTCACCTTTCACATTCCAGACACCAGTAGCCGGGAATGGGCCTAGCTGGCGCACTGAGGATGATCGAAAACGAGCTGGCGAGGAGCAAGAACAGGAGGAGAGCGAGGCAAAACGAAAGAAAACATAATATTTGCTCTTACAGCATCACTGCAGTAATAACAGCCGCTTTTGACGCTTTCTCTGAATTACGAAAATCAGAGAACCGGCGCGCGAAGCAGTACGGACCTATGATCGAGACACAATGAGATTTACTTGGAGGCGACGTTTCACTATTTTAATGGCTGTACGATCTTCAGAGCGACATGAAAGCGAGCGAGGATCAGAAAGACTCTCCTTCACAATGTATTCGGTATGGCGTTGAGCCCATGTATGCAAGCTACAGATTGAGCGTATTTATCGGCGACTGTGTGCGCTGAGAGTCTGAGACATGGGCGGATGCGGACGCGGCGAAAGCAGCTCAGCTTCGAAGCTTCAATAAACATCAAATTTTTTTCGCTACTTTTTGCTACTTTTTCTCTTTCTTAGTTTGATCTCTCGGTCTGCATACACCACGTAAGTCCCAATCCGTTCACAACAAACAAGGCATCATCCGTCGCGAATGATGAGTCGTGAACTCCCAGAGAGAGAGAGAGAGAGAGAGAGAGAGAGAGAGAAGAGCAGGTGGGATCGAGCATGGTCTTCGCGTGCCATGCGAGCCGCTTTGTTGTTATAGGGAAGTGATCTGTGTATAAATTTGACTGCTGAAGCCTGAAGCTTGGCTACCTACTTAGTCCTCGTCCATCGACTCCCATCCGCCTTCACCACCATTCTCCTCTGCTTCGGCTTCTTCCTCTTCAATCTCATCATCCTGCTCGATACCCACCAGTCGTTCTTTGACATCGCCCTCGGGCATTTTGACACGCGTGGCGAACGCTTCGCGAACAGCCCGGTTGGTACTCGTGTCCCAGACCTGTACGGCGCCTTTGCTGCCCGCCACCGCCAATCGAAATGCAATTTCATTGTCGGGCGCGAAGTTTGCGGAGAAGACTTTGCCCACTTCGAGCTCACGCGACACGACCATGCTGGGACCGGTTTCTGTCACGTTCCAGAGTTTGACGGTTTTATCTGTGGATCCCGTGGCGATGAAGCCGGGTACAGCTGGGTTGATGGAGAATGTGGAAAGTTCGCTCTCGTGGGCCTGTAGTCTCCAGATTGGTTTACTCTTTTCGGGAGTGGCGGGCTGTTGTCGTGCGTCGAAGCAGTGTAGTACTCCCGACTCGGTACTGACGTAGAAGTTGTTTTCGTTGTGCGGATCCCATTGTATTTGCTCCACGTCGCTCTCGACTCCCCAGCGTGGGACTTTGCCGTCCTTGACACGCATATCTGCTGCCACGACGGTGCGGTCATATGCACCTGACAGCAGGATTGCGGACTGAGTAGGGTGCCATGCGAGTGCGCATACCTTGTCCGTGTGGTGTTCGTAAGAATGTGCTGCTGTGCAAGTGTTCAAATCCCACAACTTTACCGTCTTGTCTGCAGAAGCGCTGGCAAGCAAGTTGCGGTGGTTCCTGTTCGCGGCCAGCGCGAGAACCGCGTCGACGTGGTATTTCTCATTGGCTTTCTTGCTCTTCTTCTTTTTCTTCTTTGCCGCTGCATCGGGCGCATCGGGTTGCGAGCTCTGACCCAGAACAGCATTGGGGTACATGCAGTCCACAACATCCAGATCCCACAGCTCAATATCCGGATCCATGGTGCCCACTGCTGCGAAATTGCCCCCTTCTCCGACATCTCCCTGGCCCACCTTTGTCCCGACCCATTCTACGCACAATGGGACTGCAGGAAGCATGACATCGTGGTGCACGTAGAGGTTGTCCGCCTCATCTTCGTAGACATAGACTTCCAGATGTGCCACTTCATCCTCTATCCGCGCAGCCAGGACCATGTTGTCCGTGGGCAGAATCTGCAGCTCTTCTCGCTCCTCATCATCCGAGACTTCGCCTTCGGGCAGTGTCAGATATGGATCCTTCTCGCCATCTGCATGATACGCCAATGACTTGATATTACTGAATATTCCTCCTGTTTTTGCATCCTCGTCTTCATCTTCCGGCATATCAGGCTCATCGTCGTAGTGCTCCATATCGTACTCGGCCAGATCATCGTCCTTGGCGAGGTCATCATCGTTATCGTCGTCGTCGTTGTCGTCGTTGTCGCTGTCTTCCTCCTCGGCGCCATTATCAGCATCGTCCACTTCGCCCATGTTGACTTTATTCAACGAGTCCCGCGCCTTCTCCAAATCGTCCTTTGCATCCTCCAATTCAAGCTTCGCCAGCTTTGCGATTCTCGCGTATTCTTCGTCGTCCATGTTGTATTTCGTCGGGTATGCCGCCGCATGACCGCGAGGCACCCATGCTGTGGAAGTGATCATAGACGACATCTTTTCCTCTCTTCTTGTCTCTCTTGCGAAGGTTGTGGTGATGTCCAACAAAAAGATTGGAAACAAAAAGAAAAAAAAGAGGTAATTCGCCAAAAAATTGTCTGTGAGGGAATGGACCCTGCTTGCCCTCGGACTCGGCCAAACTGATCGGAACTTTAAATTCTAAAGTCACGCTAATTAGGCCCCTACGGCATGTGATCTCGAGACGGACAAGGATTTGAGCACATATCCTCCAAAGCACCACCTCTCTTCACCTCTCTCTCTCCCTTTCTTTCTTTCTTTTCCACACCGCCGTCTGGAATTCCTCCAAATTGCACTCACTCACTGACGAGAACAACACAACCTTCCTCCCAAAAAAATCATCACAATCACCACCGTCCACCAAAAGAAACTCCACCAAAACAAAACAAATAATGGACCACTCCCACATGGACCACGGCAACATGGGCCACGGCGATATGGGCCATGGTGATATGGGCCACGACGCTCCCATGTGCAACATGAATATGCTCTTCACTTGGGACACGACGAATCTCTGCATCGTGTTCCAAGGCTGGAGAATCACGAATGCGTGGTCGTTGATTTATTCTCTCGTGCTCGTGGCTCTGCTTACGGCGGGTTATGAAGCGGTTCGAGAAGCAAGTAGGAGATATGATGAGGGACTTGCGTTGAGGTTGCAGAATATGCCTCGTAAGTTTTTCTTTTCTTTTTTCTTTTCTTCTTCCTTCTCTCGGATTCTTCGGTGTAAGCTGGTGTTGGTGTGAGTGTTGATGTTGGTGTTGGTGTTGGTGTTATTCACATCCCTTCCCTCCTTCCCTCCTTTGAGTAATTCCAAGAAGAACTATATGCCCCTCCCCCCTTTCCAAAAGAAAAAAAAAACAACCGAAAAACAAAAACAATATTCAGTGAAGCTTATCATCTTCTCTTGGAGTTGCCCTCCCCACCACAAATTCCACTACCACCACCACATCCCCTGACCATGAAAATGAAAATGAAGAAGAAGCACATGACATCACCGACGAACGAAGCTCACTACTCTGGATATCATCAGGAAACTCGGTCGCGGCAGAGGAGAAAAAGGGCAAAGTCGTGAAAGCGCTCTTCTACGGTCTTCAAGTGTTTTATTCCTTCTTCATCATGTAAGTTTTTTCTTGTTCTTGTCTTGTTCTATCTATCTCCCTAATCTTCTTTATCTTTTCTGTCTTTATCCAATGGAAAAGAAAAAAGAGGGGAAAAACATCGTCGAGGCTGGCGGGGCTAATTCTTGGTAACATAGGCTGCTGTTCATGACATACAATGGCTGGATCATGATCTCTGTCGGTGTGGGCGCTGTGATTGGCTATTTACTGTTTGGAAGCGGGAGTTCGAGCAAGACGGCGGCTTGTCATTGAAAAAACAAAAAAGAAAAGACTGGCAGGTAATGTACCTTACCTCAGGTACGCACGCTACAACTTCCGGCCAGCACAACACAATTTTGTTTTTCGTTCTTCTCTCACGACCTGAATACGAGACACTTACGATATCTCTCCCTTGTTTTTTATTCTCTATTTCCTCTTTTTTCTTCTCTTTACAGACCTCTCCAAGATACCTTGGCGATGTGATCTACCCTCTTTCTCGTACCTTTTACAAGACCCAGATATCGAAGCTCTGCCAGAGCTCTTTGAAACAACGCCATCGTGTTCGATTCGCCGTCATTGTCGTCGTCGTCGTCCTTCGCAATGACAGTCTGGAAAGCTTTCCACAAGTCATGTGCGTTGATGAGGCTCCCAGATTCCAAATACAATTGATACAAGATTGCCGTAGCAGGTTGCGTGCCCGCCAAAGTCGCTGCATCCTCATCGTCGCCCGGATCACAGCACTGACAATCAAGGTAATCGTGCGGTGCAGCAAGAGCGCGTTCGACGGCATGTCGAGGCCGAGGCGTAAAGACTTCGCGATGCGGTGATTTGAGATCGTAGACGAAAATTTCGTTGAGAACGACTTCTTTCGAGCCTACGAGGCGGTCGGCGAAGAAGGCATCGAGCAGATCTGAAAGTCGTCGGACATGTGAGGTGTAAGCTGCGTCTTGCTTGGAAAGATTGGATTTGTGTTTGCTGAGCTCCACTTTCTGTGCAACGATGGTGGTTCGAAGCGTGGAATTCTTGACGTCGTCCTCGCTGCGAAGCGGACGTCCAGATTCCTTGTGCTCGGCTGTCAATGCTATCAGATCCGACTCTATAGCCGTGAGCTGTTCTGCAGTTTCCTCGTCTAGGCTCACGGAGCGAAATCTGTCAAGTACTTTTAACGTGACATCGGACGGCGACTTTCGCATCGTCAATAGTAGATATCGGATCATGGTGGACTTTGCAAGTTGTCCTGACATGGCTTGCATATATAGACTTGCCTGGGAGGACACTGGTGTGTTTGGCAGACATGCTTGTATCTGCCGAATAGATTCTGCAGCTGCAACTGTGGCAGACAATAATTGGCGTCCATGCTCAACACTCTGCCGCACGAAGTCGAATAGCTCCTGATCTGAGTCCAATAGGCCGCGTAGATGCACAGTCTCGCCCTCCTCCAGCAGTTGCCTCGCGTAGACGCGAAAGGAAGGCAAGTTGCGCACAGCCTCGAAGTGATCGCCGGGCACATCCTGAAAATCAAGGTCGGGACACAGGAATAGACTGGTGGCATTCGCGTAAAAGTGTGTCATATACGCATATTTCACGGCTTGAGTCAGGCTGTCGATGCCTTGGATATAATCACTCTGCCGTTCCAGTGCCATGGATGCCAAATTCGGACCTAGCCATAATTCCGAGTCGGCACTTGTGAGAACACTGAACACCTGCTCCACTTCATCTGTAGAGACTGCAGCGTCGAAGAGCCTGCCATCCACACATTTGATGGCCCGGGATGAGAGTCTGTGCTGCAAAAACTCCACTGATGTCGCTACGTTGAGCAAGAATGCGAAGGGTATGCGATCGTGCCAACAGCCCAGCAACTCTAGTAGCTCGGAGAGCAAGTCGCTATCAAATGCTTCAGTATCCTCGAAGGCGATGACGACCTGTTCCAGACTTCGTTCCTGGACATAGTCGTATAATATCTGCAAATCGTAGTTGAGCAGCTTCGGTCCTTTCCGAGAAGTCAAAACCTCCTCCAGCTCATCCTCGTCGTCCACCGCGATGGTCCTCGAAGTAGCTTTCTGATTGATGGATTTGAGAAAAGCCTTCAAATTGGATCCTGAGCCCGACGACAATGAAATGAAAATTCGTCTGGTAGTGGAGTCGCTCCTGCTGGAGACCTGCGATGCAATCGAGTTCCTCAATGCTGAGTTTGGGCCCGCGAGAATGAGGCCAGTCGGAATTCGACCAGTGCAATCTACTGCCACGGATTGGTCTAGAAAGGTCACAACTTCACCGACCGTAGTCGCATTGATGGTGTTTAGCGTTTCTTCGATGCGGCGCTGCTGCGCGCTCCAGGCCTCGTGGTATGCCTTCTTTCTCAAAGCCCAGGTGGTCTGCAGGCCCTGCAATTCTGTACGTTTGCGTTTCGCAGGTCTATCGTCGTCTGGCTGGTAGACGTAGCATTTTTCGTACTCCATCGTTGAGTGCGGAGGAATGGCGGCGGATGCATCTAGTCGAAGTTGAACAACGAGAGTTCGGAGACGCGTCTTAGTCAGCGTGAGGTATGTATGTACGAACTAGGTACAGGGCATGTAACGATTTATGCATTATGCAATTTAAGCAGTACAAACAGACGATCCAGTCACCAGTGTACTGGATACGCTAAGTTCTTCCCCAGGATGCACGATCTAGACGACGCTACAGTACACTAGCCATGCTCGTCTTCTGTCAGGCCCGGGCAATCGTCCTCCAGAGCCTTCTCATCTGCATAGCGGAACTTGCACCAGAAACAATAATGGTACTTCTCACGAAGCCGCGCCAAAAGCATTGCCAAACGCGACTCGGCCGGCAATGCCTCAAACTCATTGAGCTCCGGATCTTCTTCATCCAAGTCTTCCTCCACTTCGTTACCGAAAGCCAGGTTCTCGTCTTCGTCGTCTTCGGTATAGTCCAGCTTCCGGGACAGACTCTGATCGAGATCGTATCGCCTACGCCTCTCCCTCTCCTTTTCTAGTCTCTGCTTGAGGAGTGGTCGCCACAGGACGTTGGCCGAGCGCAATGGGACGTTCTCCGATGACAAGTTCCGGGCATCTTCTACGCCCGCAGATTGCTCAGTTCCAGCGTGGCCCTCGGTCTCAAAGACTTCCAGCGTCCGCATCGCTGACCACATCTGACTCTCGTACCGCTTCTCTTCGACCTCCTGCCGATTGCGCTCTCGGTACTCGTCAGCGGTCAGCTTGACCTTCTTCTCCTGCAGATCCACCGCTTCGGCAGCCTCTCGAAATTTGCGTTTCCTGTCGCTCTCCATGCCAATCCCACCACGGTCTTCCTTGAGTTGCACCTCGATTGGTCGAGTCCTGGCGCCTTCAGTTTTGCCGAGAGCGCCACCTTTAAAACCCATTTTTGCCATCATTTGGGCACCTTTGCTGGAACTGTCAATTTCGGTGGCGAGAGCATGTTCGAGTTTCTGTTTTGCCTCTTCTGCCCGCTCTGCTTTGGACTTGACCTTGCCGCGTTCGAGCGCTTCTTTCTTCCGTCGGGCAGTGATTTGCAGAGAAGTCTCCTTCCGAGCGGGAGCCTCCTCAAAGGTCATGTTGAGGTAGTCATCTTCGTCCTCGTCGGCCATGTTTGCGGGAGCTTGTTGATCTCGCTGTCTTTTTGGGTGGGTGCAAGGTGTGAGACGGAGTTCACTGTGTTCGTGGATCGGCAGCAACTTCCCCATGGCCCGCGCCGCTCAACGGATGTTCCCCGCCTTCCCGCTACAGCATGTTCTGTGCCATCTGCTCCGCGGACCTCTCTTGCCAAGAATCATTATCAATCATCACCTGACACTAAGGTAGCTAGGTATGTACTACCTACATTAGTACATTACCTACCTCCTAGTAACTGTGATAGAACGACGTGGAACGTGAGACCTCGTGGAAGCTCGTGGAAGAAGCGCCATGATGCTTGCATGGTTGTCAGATAGCCTTGTAGGTACATCCTGTATTCCTGTACAGTTGTATGTAGACATGATGCAAGCTGACAGCCGGGACAGTTCCGTGCAGGAAGACATTGGAACCTAAAAGACGACCTAAGAGCTATTAATGGGAATTCTCAATGGCTCACGAGAACATTTTCAGCGATTTCACTGGTTCGATGATTGTTGACCAAGCACAGCATGGGATGATGGGTCCATGTTTCTTCGGCAACGCACACTCTTAAGCTGCATTATTGATCACGATGACTAAGTTAGCGACCGGATGCGGGGCGGAATGGGTGGTCAATCGAGGGCTAAATTGCCATGTTGGGACCGGCCGAAGTCGAGCCTGAAGGAAAGAGCTGACGATGTGCATGGAGCTGTGCAATGGGAGGAAGGAATGTTGACATAGCTATGATATACCTAAATAGAGAGATCAGATATATATATAAGTCCATGTAATCTGCTCCTCTCTCTTGCCTCTCTCTCTCTCTCCTCTCCTCTCCATACCTCTATCAAGAAGAATTACTCCTGACACACTTCTTCCTTCACCCAATACCAATACCAATACCAACACAACACAAACACCCTCCACCATGGCCCCCAAGATCGCCATCCTCTTCGTAAGCCAACCACAGTCTCTCCCACAACCAACCAACCATCCCTCCTCAACCTCCCCAAGAGCTCAACAACTAACTTCCTCATCTCCAACAAACAGTACTCCATGTACGGCCACGTCGCCACTCTCGCCGAGGCCGAAGCCGAAGGCATCCGAGCAGCAGGCGGACAAGTCGACATCTACCAAGTTCCCGAGACTCTCCCTCAGGAAGTCTTGACCAAGATGCACGCACCGGGTCAGGGAACCAAGTATCCCGTCATTGACCACCCCAAGACGTTGGAGCAGTATGATGCGTTTTTGTTTGGAATCCCGACGTGAGTATTCTTTTCTTTTTGTCCCCCTTTTTTTCTTCTTTTTTTCTTTTGTCTGGTCTAATTCTAACATTTCTTGTTTCACAGACGATATGGAAACTTCCCCGCCCAATGGAAAGCCTTCTGGGACTCGACTGGTGGACAATGGCAGACGGGAGCTTTCTGGGGCAAGGTATGTATATCCATCCATCCATTCCCCCAACCCCAACCTCGACCCCAATCCCTAACTTGATAATAGTACGCTGGCCTCTTCGTCTCCACTGGAACCATGGGTGGCGGTCAAGAAAGCACCTGCATCGCCGCCATGAGCACGTTGGCCCACCACGGCTTCATCTACGTTCCCCTGGGCTACAAGACCACCTTCGCACTCCTCGGAGACTTGTCCGAAGTCCGAGGTGGTTCGGCATGGGGAGCAGGAACATTTTCTGCAGGAGATGGATCCCGACAGCCTTCGAAGAAGGAATTGGAGTTGGCGACGGCGCAGGGTAAAGCGTTTTACGAGGCGGTGAAGAAGGTGGATTTTGCTGGTGCAGCGTGACTAGATGGCGGTGATGCTACTGCTACTGCTGCTGTTGCTGGGGGAAAGAAGGAGGAGGATGCTGTTATGACGAGTAATGGACAACAGAATGGGACGACGGCGGCGGCTGCTGCTACGGGAGAGACGAAGCCGAGTACTTCTACTCCCACGCCAAAGGAGAAGGAAGGAGGGGATGATAGCAAAGGGCCTTGCGGTCTACCGTTCAAGTGCACTGTTGCTTGATGCTTGCTGCTGCTACTAACTACCACAAAACAAACAACCAACCACAGTATGACAACCATACATTTAATGATGATCTATACCCAGCCAATCAATGATTTGCTATTTCTGATAGCTTCGCTTGCTCTCCCTCCTCCCTCTTCTCCCTCTCCTCCCTCTCCTCCTTCTCCTCCTTCTCCCCCCCCCCCCCCCCCCCCCCCCCTCTCTCTCTCTTTTTTCTCTCTTTCTCTATACGTTGTGTATTTCTCGAACGAAATGTCTCATCAAAAAAAGAAAAAGAAAAAGAAAACAAAAAGAAAAGAGAAAGAAAAAGAAAGAAAACAACACCAGCAACATGTCATGATTCATTCATTCATTCATCTATCAACCACTCACTCAAACAGTAAGCGTATTAGTATGTATGCTCACTAGACCCATAACTCCCCTCTGCCTCCTCCACCCCCGTAACATTCTCTCCTCCGCCTCCCCCGCCACCATCCAAAGGCCCCGAGTACAACTGCATCTCCGTCGCCGGTGACGCCTCAATCGCCGGTTTTTCAGGCAATGACCGCAAGAGCTGACTGGTCGCCGACAGTGTCTCCAACGCCGTTTCGATCCACGCCGCATTCTTGCTGCTGACCGTCAATGTCCATCGAAACTCATTCAGCCGGCACGCGTAAAAATGCGCTTCCTCTTTTCCCGGACTGGTCGTCATGAGAAGTGCTCCAAACGTGCCGACGAGAGCAAAGTTAGAGGCGGAGCAAAAGTACCAAAAGGCATCGAGATGTTCGGGCTTCAGGCGGTTGACGAAATCCAGAGCGCTAATCAGGCGCGTCTTGGCTGCGGAGCGGCAGATGTAGAGCATGTAGGGATCTGCTGCGGGATTCAAGGACTGGACGATGCGCCGGTGGATGCTGATTTCCGTGGCAAAGTAGGCCAGGTGAAGATAGCCCTGCGAAGACAAGACACCGGGACTGAAACTATCCATTTTGCACTCTGCGGGCAGCTTTGCGATCCAGTCTTTCAACTTGAGCTGCACTGGTTTGGCTCGATTGAGCACCAGTTGAGTGGCGTAGCGACCAGCACGTGCAAACTCGGCCTTGGCGACTTCGCTGTAGAAGGTGTCACATACTTCGGCCATGATGCTGGTCAGGGCAATCATTTGCATAAAGCACATTCTGCCCTTCATCGACTCGGCATCATCGCTGTCCTCGTTGGGGGTGGGAAGGGGGTTAATGGACTCGTCGAAATCGCCCTCGGTCGGCGAGGACACGTTCCAATCAGATGCGTTGATATGTGAGGGCCGACCGTACATGACCGCGCTCCACTTGTCTTGCATGTAGAGTGCCCAGGCCAAACGCTTTCGGAGGAGGCGTTCCCAGTGTGGGATGGACCAGTCGGAGCAATCCAGGTGCAGGCCAATGTCCTGACCCAGAGCCACGAGTTGGACCGTTAGCGTCCACGTACTCGCCTTGGCGCGTTGCAGTAATAACAGTCCTGCTTGCACAGCAGAAATCTTAGGCCGCTGCATGGCAACAGTCAGACTGGTCATGGCAATGTACTCGAGCCTTGCAACATCAGGCTTCGGGTGGGCAGCCAGACTGGGATCATGCTGCCACCAGGCCAATGCCAGCAGGTACATGGCAGCGAGTAATGGTGGATTGAAGTGGCGGTCGCCGTGTCGATGCCGATCCAGAAAGGCTTGCTTTTGCACAATCGGATAGCTAGGATGTACATTACGGAAGTAGATGTTGATCAGGGCAGGACCGTGCGTACCGACGACGTGCTCGATGTCCTTTAAGGCACGCGCCTCGTCGTTGGGAATGGGCACCGTCGCATCGTCGTGGGTGCTAAAGTATTCGGTGCTGGTGACTTGTCGCAGCATGCCCAGCTGCGACTCGGTTTCATTCTTGTCGTTGAAGGTGCCCAATCCAATCAGCGAGGCGTCCAGGGGCGTCGTCTGGCCCAAATATTTGCAATGTCGATGCCGTTGCAAGCTCAACGACTCGTCCACGGCAAACGGCTTCCGCATAGGGGGCTGCGTGGACACGGGCACGGGATGGGATTCGGCGGTGGTGGGTGGTATGGAGACGGGGGCCACGGTCAGAGGGAGGGAGGGTCTTCGTTTGGCGATGGGACTCTTCTTCGCCGGGGGTCCATTCTTCGATGCATCGTCTGGTGCTTTGCGCTTCCTGGGCTGCGCGTTCTCCACAAAGGTGCATTCTTGTTTGTGGAACTCGCATAGCACGCATTTCCGGCCGTCCTGGAGCACGCACTTGGATTTGCGGCGCCGGCAGCCGTCACAGGGCCGTTCTCTCTTGGGCTTGGCGGGCAGCGGCGATTTGTGTAGTTGCTTTACGGGCGGGTTGTGCTCGGTGCGCTCGTTGGGCGGCGGCGGCGGCGGTGGTGGTTGTTGTTGCTGTTGCTGTTGCTGTTGTGGTTGTGGTTGTGGTTGTGGTTGCTGTTGCTGCTGTTGTTGTTTGGGAGGCGACCATGCCGCAATAGGTCTTGGTGAAGCTCGCGGGGCCACGGGCGGCAGTGCCATGGCCGTAGCCATATTTGTTGGTGGCGATCTGGTCCGATGGAGGGAGCTTGCCGTACCTCCTAGAAGAGAGGGCGGGCTGATAAGGAAGGGACGGGACAGTAGCGGTAGCGGTAGCGGTAGGTACAGGTCAGGTAGCTCCTGCCTCGTAGGTGAAGCAACAATAATCAGGCAGGTACCTATCGGCAGATTGCCAGATAGGCTGTGTGACCTTCCAGGTTATTCGGCGGATAAGAAGCAGGTGCACCCGTCGGTTGTAGTGAAGACGGAATAGGGTCCCGTGCAGATATTGTCCTGGGCCGATATGATATCTCAATACTGCTAGGTACTGCTAGGTACTGCTAGGTACAGGTAGTCTGCTACGCGTGCTCAGACGAGGCAGAGAGGGCGGCGAGGAGGATGAGATGGTCGAGCGTCTTGGGGGTCATTGAAGCGGCCACGTGCAACAGGTTGATATCAGTACATGTATCCTTAAGCCTTCAGGTGCAGTAGGTCAGGTACAGGCAGGTATGGATGTAAGGTGAGGTATTTCCGGAATGCCCAGCGCCCACGCCTCTGAGTATTGTCGACGGATGCCAGATGGATATGAGGTGCCAAGATGGGACAAATACCTGGTACCTCAGGTACCTAGCAGCGGCAGATGGATGGGCCAGGGAAGGGGAAGGGGGGAAAGGGCACGCGAGCGATAGTAGGAGGTATAACGAAGTAGGCAAGGTAAGGTAGGTAATGTATACCTATAAAATTCAACACACCTGCACACACAGTGACACACTACAGAAACTCCCTCCTACTCCTACAAATAAGAGCCAAGGGCAAGTAAGTATGTACCTGAGGTACAGTACCTTACCTCCTAATCAAAGTATATCCCATATCTCATTCAGACCAAATCCTGGCCTTCGTGAACACAAGCGTTGCGCTTGTATCAATTTGTTACGTTGTCTTTACGAGAGAGAAAATGCTGTCGAGCCCTCCTTATACCGCTCATCGAGATAAGACCCTTTGCTAGAGCCAATCGGATGTCTTGTACATTCAGTCCCCGTCATCGGCTGAAACGGGGATAGTGTAGACCCGCATTCTCTCAGGTACCTACCTCTTTCTCTCTCTGATTTCTCTCTCTCTTTTTCTGTTTACCACCATCAAGTCTCAGGTCCTGTTTCATGACGGGAGGGTCGACGATATCCGTCTCATCACCTCAGTTGATTGTACATAATCATGTCATATATGATAAGGTAAGAATAAGATACATATAGTATATATAGTTCCATCGTTGTCACGCATACACCGACCATCTATATTAGTAGTATAGTCCCAAAATCCTGATGATCCTGCCCCGATGATCAGGTCCGCATTGGCATTGTCGTGTAGTAACAGTTACTACAGTAGGAGGTACATGAGTTGGGTACCTAGGTTATAGTCTAGGTAGTTCTACCCGTACCACTCCCTTACAGCATACATCAAAATCCTGAGGCAGCAGAGTGAATGAATGGTTAGTGGATCCGGCATTGCATATTTTTCCCGACACGATACGACACGATGCCGATGAGGGGGGGCAGGGCAGGCAGGCATGGCAGGGTGACGGGGTCACACTTGCTGTCTCGTTTGGCTTTTATTACCTCGGCTTCTATTGGTCGGCAGCTGGGATGGGATCTGTGGGATGGCAGATGACTGCCGTGCACCACGACGGATGAGCTGAGGCTGAAGCTGAGCCTGCTGAGCCACGACGCCACGCCCAGAGAACCCTTTTGCCTAAGGCATTCCATTCAGTGTCAGTGGCAGTGTCTTTTACAGCTTCGACGTCCTGGACAACGTCGAGCCCTCATCCCTCACCACAATCCCTCTCACTCTCTTCGCATCCCCATCTCCCGCCTTCAACACGCGCCGCAAAAGCTTCCCCGTCGGTGACTTGGGAATCACCCTCGTAAACTCTACCTCTTTCAACCACTTATACCGACTCTTCCTCTCCCGCACAAACTCCAACAACTCCCTCCCCAATCCTTCACTCGCTTCCACCCCCGCCCGCACCAACACATACGCTTTCGGCTTCTCCCCCGAATAATCATCTGCAATCCCCAACACTGCACAATCCTCCACCGCCGCATGTCCCAATAACGCATCCTCGAGCTCGGCAGGCGCCACTTGTTGACCGCGCACTTTGATCATTTCCTTGATGCGGTCTTGGATGTGGAGGAATCCTTCGTGGTCAATATATCCCACATCGCCCGTGTGGAAGAACCCGTCCGAATCAAATGTCTCTGCTGTCGCGGCAGCATTATCCAAATATCCCATTGCAATCTGTGGTCCTCGAGCACAAATCTCACCCGTTTCGCCCGGCCCCAGTTCTTTCTTCTTGCTCGACCGATCGTCGAGATCGATGATTTTTGCTGTTGTGTTTGCGCAGAGTTTGCCTGCTGTGTTCGCGTACTTGTAATCATAACACTCGGGCGGATGGCAGGAAATACACGCCGTAGACTCCGTCGCTCCATAGCCCTGACGAAAGCCCGTCTGGGGAAATTTCTCGTGTAAGAGTTGAATGATTTCGGCGGGCGTGGGAGCGGAACCAGAACTCCATCTGCGTACCGTCTGTTGGAGGGCCGGGAGATGGTGAGAGACGATGGGGTCTCGTACGAGACGGATGAGGATGGGTGGGACGAGGATGAGTTCGCGGATGCGGTAGGTGATGATGGTGTGGAGCATGGATTCCATGGAGAATGTGGGGAGCAGGAGGGAGATGCCGTTCATGAAGACCGGGTAGTGGATGTAGCGGATGAGGCCAGTGATGTGGAAGAGAGGAGTGACTCCGAGCATTTTGGGCTGTTCGCCCGCGTCGAGTACTTGAAGCTGACGGAGTTGATGACATTGAGCCTGACAGGAATTAGCAGCGAAAATGTCTGGTATATGCTTGGTGCGCCAGAGGGCAACTGCTTCTTACGATGATGTTGTGGTGTGATAGCATGACGGCTTTCGGGAGGCCTGTGGTTCCCGAGGAGAAGTTGAGGTAGCCACATATCTCTTTGTTCGTCTTGCCGGCAGGTATACTGTAATGCCGAGTGGGAGAGTAGCTTGCGCCTAGCTCAATCAACTGTTGAACACTGGTGAATCCTTGCCTCTCTCCTTCTAGCAGGAATACATGATCGGAAGACATGCCTGCCTGCTTTGCAGCAAGCACGGCAACATCCAGTGAGCCGGGAAGAGTAAACAAGAACTTGGTCTTTGCCGTTTTCAACGCATAAGTCATTTCTCCTGAGCAGAGAAAAAAAAGTCAATGCTTAGCAGACGTCCACCCCGACATTACCTGTATGTTTTCTTACCAACGTTATAGCCTGGCGATGCTCCATTGACGCGTCCACCAGCTCGAATCGCTGCCCACAGAGCCACAGGATACCACACGGTGTTAGTGGCCAAAATCGAGATGGTATCTCCCGTCTCGAAGCCATATTTCCGAACGAGGGCAGTGCTGAGCTTGGTCACGACATCCTTCACTTCGGCATAGTCCAGCTGCCCTTTGGTGACGGCATTTTCGTAGCGTCCGAGCGGCTGATTGTTCGTGAGGTGATGTAACGGCGAATGCTCTCGTGACTCAAACAACCACTCCCACGTGGTGACATTGCTTGGAACTGTGCTCCAGGTTAACAACGAGGTCGTCTAATGGTGCTTGGTACAACTAAGTACATACTGTCCAAATCCGGGTGATCAGACTTCCATAGCATTCCGGCGACTGCGAGAAGCGATCTTGGGTGGTATGACACTGAATATGCACGTTATCACGCAGTGCAATGAACTGCGAAGGTCCTGATTGATCGATACTGATTGACTTTGCCAAGCTTGGTGAGCTTTTGGCGGAGTAATGGTGGGGGTCATGCCGAGGTCGCTGAAAAACAATTTGCCGTACCTCCTACCTCCTATGACCGATTCCGATCGAGGAGCACAGTAGTAGTGACTGAATCAATCAGTGAGCACATCCTTGACAAAGAAAAGAAAAGAAAAGTCAGGATGTCCTCACACTCGAACTCATGCTTGCCCTGCCAGACTAACATCATTGCCAAGAGCAATCATTATTCCCTCTCAAGGTAGGATGATACATTGTCATTGAATAAAGTAGGTATCCATACAGCTGGAACTGAGAAGTAAGAGTGGTCAGCTCAATTTGCAGTAAGCCTGGCTAACGCCATGTGCCTCAACCTCTCGATGCTGGAGAGATTCGATGCTGGAGACATTCCAATCGTGAGATTAAGGAGTGAACAAATCGTCTTTCCTGTCAGCTAGAACTACATGCAGCCTTCCGTAAGACAATCGGTCCGAGGCGACAGTCAAGCAAGATCAAGTTGGTTTGACTGGTTCCATATAAGTGCGGTTGCGTGAGTCTTCAACTTCACTAAACCTCTTGGACGCCTGGAAATGGAAGCGGCCTGCAGAAGGGCATGCAAAGCTTCTCTCGCGTTTGAGGATGCTAAGCGGGGTGCTCGCTCAGCGTATGGGATTCCTGTTCTCGATGTCGCATGGACAGATCGCGTCTGTATAAGCTCAGATTCCGCGCGAAATAGCTACGATCAAGGAGCCTCAGCATGTGGCAAGGCCGAATGTGTATGTTTTCGCCGTCATCGTCGTGCCAAGTCCTGTTATGGGCATTGAGCAACTAGGCTATACTTGCCGGGAGTTGGCCTTCAGCCTCTGATCCTCGTTATCACGAAGGCAGCGACAGTTCAAGATTCGAACTGCTCCCTGCTGTCTACGCTCGCAGGCCTACGTTTTGCGCTGCTCCCCGAAGCGTATGAGCCCTGTGGTAATGCCACAGGCAACGTGAAAAGATAAAGCGGGGCACGACCGCAACCTTCGAACCCGGTGCGACTTGCATCCCGGCGAAGCCATGTCTCTAGCAGGAACCTCCACGCCAGCGCTTGCCAGGTGGGTGTGCCATAGGAGAGCCGACTCACATGCAAACGGGGCAGCTGAGAATGTCACAGCCGCGTTGCTGGGGGTGTCTTCGCCTGGATTTTGACAGCCAGTCGCAGGCTACCTTCTCCGTTCGCTCTCTTGCAGCTGTGCGGCACTGCCCACACCAGGACAGTAGCCTCGCTCGCCCAAGGTCAGACGATTGCTGCCTCCTACAAATGCTAGGTGCAGCGCGAGACTTGCGATGCTGGGCTTGATCTCAACATGACAGCCAGTCAGAGGCCGATCTCCCTCTCCTTTGTCCCACGGCATCGCAGCACTGCTCGCATAACGGGAGCAGTCTCGTTCGGGCCATACGATCGCCTGCGTTCCGTAGGGGTCGTCTGGCGTCAGGGCGGGCTCGATGAAGAGGGCGATTGGCGCTCGAGGTCGAGGTCGAGGTCGAGGTCGAGGTCGAGGTCAAGGTCGAGGTCGAGGTCGATGTTGTAGGGTCTTGAATAGATGCGAGCCTGCCTATCTGTCAAATTCAACCAATGCAGACGCATTGCGGGATCGTGAGCTTCGACCGACAAACACATGTCGTGGCCGGAGCAGGCGCAAGATGTGAAGATGTGGAACGATCACCCCACTGGGGGGATGGAGCCAAGCACGGCATATCCCGCTGCGGCGCCAGATCATCAAGTGCTTCCCTGTAGACTAACATATAGTAGAAGTATAGCATTTGTGGGGTACATCCAGATTCCAAGTCCTGTGAGTTAGTTCACAGGTGGTAATGTACCATGTAGTCTCGATCCGATCCATGCAGTCTCACATGCAACACGCAAACCATCCTTCACCTCCCTTGCGAGTTGCGACCATCTCTCTGCCTAGTAGAGCCGCCGCTGCTTGAAGCACCAGGCCATGGGCAGCAGAACAACGCGCCCGTAAGAAGCGGACCCAGACCCGGATCACCACCACGACCACCGTCACCGGCACTGGCGCTGGCACTGCCACTGGAACTGGAACTGGAACTGGAACTGCCACCGCTCCCAAGCCCCGCCATGGCCGAACAGCAGCAGCGTCCTCTTGCCGCCGCGACCTCACTTCCCGATCCGATCAAGCAATCGCCGTCGAGCAGCTCTGGCGCACCTCCAACGTCTTCGAGCGCGCCCAAAGACCAGATTCCCGGTCATCCTTCCTTTCGACGGTGAGCTGCAATAGACGTGATGCGCGGGGAACAGAATCACAGATGGGCACGCGCGCGCATAAGTTGATGGACGCTGACTCCGCATGTCTGACTAGGCAACGTGCATCCCGGGCCTGCGAAGTAAGTGCAATTCAAAGCAGTGCCGCAATGGTTTATATGCTAACAGCCGTCAGACATGTCATGCACGAAAGGTATCTACCACCTCCACTAGCCTTGTGGATGCTTGCCAACTCACATCTACAGGTTCGATGCGACGCCGCCAGCCTCGGTGTGCCATGTACGAACTGCGTAGCATTCTCGATCGAATGCAAGATCCCCACCCCGAAGCGGAAGAAAACAGCAGGAAAGAAAGACAATGAAAGGTGCGGTGCGGTGTGGTGTGGTGCGATACAGTGCGCATGCATAAGGCGCGGGCGATGCCAGTGCTGACCAGGCTAGACACAGTGCACGCGCAGAATCTGTCAAAGATGACCGCTCACCTGGAGTTCAGAGCGGTGGGACTCCGACATTTCCTACACGGGGCGAGGCAGTCCTTTCGCGCGACATGGAACCCGACAAGATTGGCGTGAACACTAATGCTGGCATGCCTGAAGTGGAGGGTTCGGAAGCCTACTATACTAGCCAGCAGACCAACAACGGCACCTACGCCCAGTTCATGAAGCCCAAGTTCGCGCGGGCACCCATCAAGGAGGCTGGGCGCGTGGCGTATTTGGGCGAGTCTTCCAACCTCTCTCTGCTCGTGCAAGATCGCCATGGGACGACAGACGTGGTCCATTATCCTCTGCCGGAAAATGTGCGCGGCACACGTGCCAGAATCAACGAGCTTGACAACGTCGAAATTGACATCCTGCACCAGCGAGGCGCTTTTCTCCTGCCGCCACGACAGCTATGCGATGAACTCGTCGACGCCTTCTTCACGTGGATTGCTCCTGTGGTGCCGGTCATCAACAGGAGTAAATTCATGCGACGCTATCGAGATTCGAAGAACCCGCCATCGCTACTTCTTTTGCAGTCTATTTTGCTTGCCGGATCACGAGTTTGCAATAACCCACAGCTCATGGACGCGAATGGCTCGACGACTCCTGCGGCAATGACATTCTACAAGCGCGCAAAAGCGCTGTACGATGCCAACTACGAGGACGACAGAGTCACCATTGTCCAGGCACTCATTCTTATGGGGTGGTACTGGGAGGGTCCTGAGGGTAAGAACAAGGCTCCATTGGATCTATCTACGCACGCTCGGTCTGATATCGCTGCAGACGTCACGAAGAATGTATTCTACTGGAGCCGAGTGGCCGTCATTGTCGCCCAGGGTTCTGGCATGCACCGAAGGTTCGTCCGAGTCGGCATATCGTAGCTCCTGCCTACTGACGACAGTACTGACGACGCATAGTGTGGAACAATCACAGCTGAGCAAGACCGACAAGCGCCTCTGGAAGCGAATCTGGTGGACTCTGTTCACTCGCGACAGATCCGTCGCTGTCGCTCTAGGGCGTCCAGTGTGCATCAACATTGAAGACTCCGACGTGGAGATGGTCTCACCTGATGACTTCGTCGATGACGAACCAGATCGACCAGCAGAATACCCACCAGATCCGATTCATGTACACTTCTTCCTGAACTACGTCAAACTCTGTGAGATCATGGGTCTGGTGCTTTCTCAACAGTACTCTGTTGCGTCCAAGTTGCGTCGAAACAACGCACTCGATTTGACCCATAGCGATATGGCTCTTGCGGACTGGCTGCAGAACTGTCCCTCGGAGGTGAGATGGGAGCCTCAGCGGCATCATTTCTGGTCCGCGTTATTACATGCAAACTACTAGTAAGCCTGCTTTAGTGTGATTATGTGTTCTAAGCTGAGTGATACCGTGCAGTACAACGTTATGTCTCCTGCACAGGGCTCACATGCCACCAGCTGGCGCACCAGAAGCCCGGCCTATGAATGGCTATCCAGAAGAGACTGCATATCCATCTCGATCGATTGCATATCAAGCAGCGGCCATGATCACCTCCATCATCGAAGCGCTGCAGTCGCATGAGCAGCTCCGATATGCGCCAGCATTCATGTAAGTCGTGTGATGTGAGACACTGTGACACGCATAGCGTACTGACAGCGGATTAGTGTTTACAGCCTGTTCTCTGCATTGATCATGCATGTCTATCAAATGCGATCGTCCAACCAGTCAATTGTATCGGCTACACAGCAGCGCCTGACTGTTTGCATGAACGCGCTCAAGGATGTCTCCAAGACTTGGCTAGTCGCTAAGATGGTCCACACATTATTTGAGTCGATTCTTGGCAACAAGGTTCTCGAGGACAGGCTACAGAAGGCCGCAGGTCGTCGACATGCCAAGAGCAAACACAACGGCGCAAGTAGCAGAGCGAGCAAGAGCACACCAGCCGGGGAGGTTGAGGCACAGAAGCGAAAGTTCGACGAGATGGAGCTAGGCTACACAAACGGCCCACCTGCACCACAAATGTCGTACGAAAGGTCTCGTCCTCAGTCACCAGCCATCACACCTTCGCGAGAGGTACCTCCTGCTGGCCAAGGCACGCAACCACAGCTTCAGATGCCTCAAATGACTGCGACAAGTCCCACGTTACGGCACGGCACTGACACATTCATGGGCGCTTCAAGAAATAACACCAGGCCGACGACCCCTTCGTTTAACACTTTGCCTTGGTCACGGTTGGGGTCGCCCGACGTTTTTCTGCATACCCGGAACTCCCCAAAAATTTCTGAAGATCTCTGGCAGAACTACCAGCCCGAACAACTCTTCCCACCCGAGACGAATGGCCTCTTCCCGATCACGAGTAATAGTCCAAGCCAGATGGTGGACCCCGCGCTCCGTACTCAATCTCATTCGAACTCACAATTCCCACCACAGCATCAATTGGGAACGCCTCAGATACAGCAAGGCCAGCAGATGCCAATCGGCGATGGACATGCTGCTCCAGGAATGCAGTACCAGCAAGACCCGGCTGCGTGGGCGCAGCTCAATACCATGGGCGATCAGACGCGCCCGGACGATGCGTGGAGCGATCGAAGTAGTACTGGTGGGCCTGTAGTGCCTACCACTCTCAATGTCGGCGACTGGTTTGAATTCTTCGGGATCCCGAACGGCAGTGATATCAACGGACTAAATGGTGCTGCTGGATATGGATGAATCCAGTCCCCCAAGCTCAGCAGGCATCATACTTGCCTGTAGTATTCCTATGGATTTCACAAAGAATGGAGTGGCGTTCTGAGCGTATAAGTCAGCTGTCGAGAGATGGACCGAGTGTTTTACTTTGACTACACCTCGCTCCACATGGACTGTCGTCCAGTCGACGCAGCAGGCATCTGAGCGCAACGGCGACACTAGGTATATGTGCTGTCAGGTCGCCGCAGACAATTAGCTAGGCTACCAGCGAGAGCGCTAGATATCGCTGTTGCAAGAAAGCATGCGCTCCGAAGCGTATTTCTATCGAACAATTTTTTCATTTTGATTTTCATTTTGGACTTATACCAATGGGATTGGATTGTCATCATCATGAATAGACTAGGCTAGACTACCAAAATTAAGTCAAACAGCATCATCGGGATGTTTTTTTCTCTTCACGTTCTACCGCAGCTGCAATAGTGTTTGTTAGTTTTGAGGGTTGTGTGGAAGGTTGTTTGGTTGGAGGGTGGTGTTGATGTTGATGTTGATGATGTCGATGATGATAATGATGATGATGGAAATAAGATTGGGGGAGAAAGCAAAAAAAAAGGGGGCGATTTTGAAAAACATGTGAAGAAGCTGGTTGGCTGCATGGAAGCAAGGTGTTTCTAAAAGGAAGGAGCATTCTCGCTTGATGGAATTCTTGAAAGGATTACACGTTCTTTCCTGTGACTGCTTAGTCGTTCGTAATGCTACCTGGTATCTGTCGGTACTGTAGTCTGCGAGCCATCCCTTGGCGCTCACACTCCATGTTCGTTGCAAACAAGAATGCCATGCACGGTCATTTATCCCTCCTTGTCCAGCTACGGCAGTCCATTGAATAAAGAAGAAGAAGAAGGGCACTGGTCCATGAACCGCTTTGCTGTGATCATGTCATACCTACCTGGTACATCGGAACGGCGCCACCGTGATGACACATATCTCGTCGGAAGTGCCAAGTCAGTCCGTGGGCAACCGTGGCGATGAACGCATCTCCAGCTTGCGTGGCTTGCGCCGAGCAGTGAGATGATCAATATCTTCATCCTCGGTGTCCTGGTGACGACTTTCAAAGCTGCTGTCAAAGTCTGAGCTAATCTCGTCGTCGTCGGCCTCGATGCTAGCATGTTGATGCAACACTCTTGACATACTTGATAGAGCATAATCACAATCACTCAACATACGTCCCAACTCGGCTTCGAGTATCTGATCATCGGCCGACTCTGCGAGGACGTCTGGGTGAGGTGGCTGTAAGCTTGGAAAGTCGACTTCAGGTCCTGGCGGTTCATTGCTTGGCTCGCGAGAACGTGAGGATACGCTTGTGCCACTAGCGTGTAATCTGTGTTCAGTCGAGAAGCCTTGACCCAATCTCGGCATGTGTGTATCATCGGCGCTCGCGGGCAGGTACTGAGGCATATCGGTGAAACTATCGTTGTCCGAGAAGCTCGGCCATTGGTTGTTATCTGTTTCGACCGTCGCCAGGCCCAAGCCCTGCTCAAGCGTACTAAAGCTCAAGTCAGGCTGCGACATTGCAGAGGGTGGTGCCGAATATCCACCAACTGCTGGTCTTCCTGGGTCAAGGTCAGGTTCTGTGCTTGACAAACTGGTGCCGCGTGCATGCATGGGCATGGTCTTGTGACTCAGCCGCTTGACCATGCCGCCTTCGGAAGCGTAGGGCTTGTGGTACGAAAATCTGTTTCTGTCGAGCTCCTTCTGTTCTGGGTCGTCTTCCAAGTCAAATGGATTGCCAGAGGTCGCATCCGTCATATGGGAGCTCGCTGTGCCTGGTCGTAGGATTTCGTTGCCAGCACGTACTCGCTCTGCCAAACCGGCGTCAAGATCAATCAGCGATGTCACTGACTCTCTGTTGGGAACTGAGCTACTAGAGAGGCCTCTGAAGTGTCTGATTGGCTCAGTGGCAGTGTGTTGCAGCTGGGGACGGGTTGGTGCTAAGCAAGCATCGTTGCCACCAGATGCAACGTCGTATGAGTCGTCAAGCAATTCTGGAGCGGCCAACCCTGCAGTCTCGAAGGACCAAGATATTGTCTCTCGCTCCGGCTGTCGCGACAACGTTGGCAGAGGAGGCTGCAAAGGTAGAGCAGTCTCGAATGTCCAGTCTCTCGTGTCGCGTTGTGTGCGTGGCTGGGCGCTATCAAAAGTCCAAGCTCTTGTGTCGCGCTTGTCGCTTACACTTAGCCGCCCGTATTGGTATCCGTCGTCGTCGTCGTCGTCGTCATCATCGTGCGCATGCCGACCTGTTGGTCTGATGGTGTCCTCATTGATAGCAGCCATACGCATGGCTAGCGAGGACGTCGCTGGTGTGATCGCGTCGTCAAGATCCAACATCACGACCACGCTCTCTCTGCTCGTCGAGCTTGACTCGTAAGCACGCAATGGAAGATCGGATGGCGCCTCCGGTTCTGGTGGTTGCGGCGGTTCGATTGGGGTGGCGAGCTGGTAGCCTGTGGGATCGTTTGGGTCGAAGACTTTGTTCAGCGACTTCTCACCACGACTTGCGGACTTTTCGCTGTGTTCTTGCTTGATGCGCTCCGCTACCGTGAGAGCTTTGGTCTGCAACGGTTGCGGTTGCAATGGAGGTAAGCTCGAAGTTGCGGGAGAGTCGAAGTTCCAGCCTTCGAGAACAGCACCAGGCGGCAACTGGCTAAGACGACGCCCCAGTTCTTGATCAAAGTCCTCGGATGTACTAAAGTTCCAATCATCTTGCTCTTCTTCGTCATTCTCGACCTCATCATCATCACCCAAGCGGAGATTGCGTGAGTCTGCAGGAGACGCCTGCCACAGTGAGAGACGCGAGCCTCCACCATGCTCCCAGATCTTGAATCTCTCTATCAACCGAACCAGTGTGCGCGTTGGGTAGATTCGGCTGGTATCCTTGATGTATGGGTGGTTGAGAATTGCGCTTGCGCTTGGTCGTGCCTTCTTGTCTGGGTTGAGGCAGAACGCCACAAAGTCGCGTAGTTCCGCGGAGTATTCATTGCCCTCCAGGCGCGGTGGCGACTCTTCCAGCAGCTCAGTGAGGAATTGGATGCCCTTGGTAGCATAAGGTGGTGAGCCCGTGGCCATCTCGTACACAGTGCAACCAAAGGACCAGACGTCAACCTCGTATCCGTACCCTTCTTTGGTCTCTTTGTCCCCCAGGCGCTCAACGATCTCACGAGGCATCCAATGCGGTGTGCCAACGACGGTCTTACGCTTCTCGTGGTCGTGGTCAATGACACCCACGATGCCAAAGTCCCCAAGTTGAATGTCTCCGTCCTCGGTGATGTACACGTTGGCGCACTTGATGTCGCGATGCAAAGTGTTCAAATCATGCATTGACTTCATCGCAATGGCCAGCTCTCGTGCAATAGGAACGATGTACTGCTCTGGAAGTCCGATCGGCCTGCCATTCTTCTCAAACGGACGCATGAGGGTTCTCACACTGCCACCAGTGCAGTAGTCCGCCACAATCCACAGTTGTGAGTGCCAGTCAAAGGCATCGTGGATGAGGTTGATGTTCTTGGCGTTGTTGTCCTTCAACTGCCGTAGGATGCTGACCTCCTTCTTGAAGTCGTTGATGGTCGCGTCGCGCGCGTCTCCTAGCGAGAAGTCCTCCGACCAGTCCTGCTCGTCAATATCGATGATCTTCACTGCGACGAGATTTTTGGTTTGTCTGTCCAGACACTTGTAGACCTTGCCAAAAGCGCCTTTACCGATCAGTTCTAAGAACTCGTACGGCGGGAGAGCTGCGCCTGTTCGCTCGGCATTGCGCGCGATAGTTTGCGCGAGGTCCTGCGCGTCCTTGATGCGTCTGTCGCGGTCTCGCTGGTCGGCAATGCTACGGCCCACCGGGTTGAGGCGTGAGTCGTCCATTGCGCGTGAGAGGGTGAGCGAGAGGGTGAGATTCGGCGTCTTCAGCTGTTCTGAGCCGGAGTCACTTCAACGTCGGCCTCCCGTGTGCGGCACCGGCTGGTCCCGGCGAGGAAAGGTCCCGAGTCTTATGATTGGAACAGCAAGCCTGTCCCTTCGGTCGGAGCAATATGCACGATCCTGAACGGAGGCTCGGAGCTTCTCCGAACGGGCGTCGCGAAGGGCGAAGGCTCACCTCTGCTGGTAGCAGCAGCTCGATTCGCGTCTTCGATGGTGCGGAAGAAGTCTGTGACCTCCTTTGCTCTCTTCTATTTCGTCTCCTTCGTCTCTGGTGCAGGCTTGAGAGCCTTTTGCGCCGCCTCTCTCGCCGCCTAGTCGATACTGTGCCCGAGGGCTAGGAAGTGTCAGCGTGGCCTGGTAGTCTGCAGACGGACGATTTGAGTTGAATGGCCTCTCGCTGCAGCAAAATCGTCACGCTTTGTGCTCCCCAGTCCACATTCTCGTTGCCTTGGTCATTGTACCTGCCGAGGAGCGTCCGAGGAGCAAGCAATACGATCAATTTATAGAGTCTGCGCTTCCTCGATGCCACCGGGGTCTACCCATCCACCGCCTGTAATGCCATCGCTATAGGTTTGATGATCGCTATGTACAACAACAGATACGTCCGTCATCAATACAGATTGCCATTTCCATTTCCATTGCCGCTGCCGCTGCCGCCGCCACCGCCAAGGTAATAGATGGAATTCGGACTTACTTTCTCGTACGCTCGCTGCTCGTGGCCTCTTTGCTATTGAAGACGCGTTAGCGCTCTCTCGCGAGCCAATCACCGCCTTCATGGCCTCCTCTGCCGTTGCTCTCGGTGTCGAACTGTTGAGCAACGGGCGGAGAGTTGCCACTTCGAGACAGATATGGAGCATGTGACATGTTGTAAAACTCACCTGTACACAAGCCCAGCGGTGTAAATGCGCTGGGTGTCCTATCGCGTGAAGCTGCTACACAGCACAGCTCACATTCCAGATGTGGTCACAGACTAAGGAGATGCATGGCTCGTTGGCGTGTTTTCATGTGAATAAAGAATTATTGGAGAACCGCATGCAGCGCTCTCAAGAAAGGGTGATTGTACGCTCCAGACGCCATAGAATAGAATACATGAAGATTTCTCGGGCGCCCCTGTCGTGAAGAGTGGATGAAGTAGCGGTATATACCTGAGTTGTGTGAAGTCGGAAGAGAACATACCTTATCATGTGATCCGCCTGACGCGACTTCCGCGTCCGGAAATAGCAGCGCCGGGACGTAGCCAGCGCCTGCGGCCCGTGCGCGCCGAGCTTGCATGACTTCTCTCTCCTTCTTTCTTTAATTACAACGTTGTACATATACTTCCAGTTGAATATATTGGGTTTCATCGCGCCAAATTTGTTTTCTTTCATTGGAAGAAGAAAAATCTGCCAAAGCTGCTAAGAAGGAGTTGAAAAAGAAGACCACGAAGACGGAGAAGACAGAGCGCCGCCGCCGCCGCCCACTGACTTCCACCACCCTACTCCCCGATGCGACATCTCCTCTGTAACAGTCTGATTGTACAGATGCAATGCGACCAGTTTGGACTGTGCAAAAGTTTGCAAGACCGCTTTGGCTCGATTGCCGACACTCTCATACAACGCGTCAATGCCTCGTCTCTCCCTGGCGATCGTCAGGCAGAGGAATAATGGTACTGTTATGAGAGGGTGGAGGTGGGTGGTCTGGAATGAATATAGTCCTCCCGTCAGTCGTGGGCTTTGTAAGGTAAGAGATAGAGAGAGAGAGTCCTGTGTACGATAACATACTTGAGTTGATTGTACTTCCAAAAGTGACAAAGCCGTGGCGAGACCAGAGAGAGCTTTACGCTCGTACCGACTGATGACAGGTAGAGCGGCGGTGTTGCTCAGAGGTGCTGGACTGCTTGTGCTCGTTCCGACACACAGAGACAATGCTACCACCAAAGCGGTCATATCTTCGAACAAGCCCACTCCGCCCCCTTCACCGGCGGTATCGAGCTCGATGTTACTCAAGAGTTTCGGAATCAGCTGACAGAGAATGCCTTGAATTAACTGGTAGAAAGGTTTCCAAGTATCCTTCCAAGTATCCTGAAGCAGGCCTCCTTTTACTGCTCCTCCTCCTCCATGTTCACAGCGAGTGGCGATGGCTTGACACTGCAGCAAGAAGCATTGCCCAAGCATGGTCGAGAGAACGATTGCTTGCGTGAACAAGGAAGACGGCTCTTCACCGCGAGACGAGATCACTTCGTGCAAAAACCGCTCAGTATAGATCTCTCCTTTCTGGAACGAAGTTTCGGCAACTGGCAATCTGGTTGAGACCTAGCCCACATTTTGGTCAATCGCCCGTGCGAGAAGACTAGTCTCCTTTTACCATACAAGAAAGAAAAGGAACTCCTCCAAAAAAAAAAAAGAAAACAAAAACTGCGTGCATGGCGGCGACGAGGGAGCGAGGGCGAAGTCGCGAACCCTAGGCCTGATGCCGTCGGACCCAAGTTCCTAACAACTAGCCCATGTGAGTCAGTATTTCAGTCCCGCTGTCTCTGTCTCTGAGTCTCTCAGCCTCTCACTCTATTCTCAGAGTCACAGTACAGCGATGTCGATACAGTACATGGGTCAGGGGAGCCATGCAGCCGCAGTCATCTCTGCGCAGGTATGCTAATACACAACTGCACGCCCGCGCTATCAAGACAGATCTCTTGGTCAATATGCTACCTCACGTCCATAGTAGTCTCTTGGTCGATTCGCCCGAGTTGTGCGGAGATACAGTACGGTGGTTAGGCTCGTACTTGAGGGGCGGGAGTGGTGACAAGATCGGTTCGAAAGTGCTCAGCGGGACATGGCGAACCTCGAAGCTCGTGAAGACGAGGTCATCCTCCAAAGCTTGTTCCGATGCTGTATGAAGGTGAAGCAGGAGGTGCAATTAATGTACCTCAGCAAAATAGATTGCGTAAAAGCCTGATGTACGGGCATGTACGCAGATGAGGTCGCGGCTTATGTAACCATGGGTACCCCACATGCACATGTCACATGATCGGAATGTATCCTTGCACTTTTTGACGTAGCTCTGCCTTCTCGAAACAGGAATTCATGGACGCGATGTGCCACAAACACGGTCACAGTACCGTAAGAATGTGGCGAGTCCGCTACAGTAGGAGAGATCTCTCATATCCGGTAAGTAGAACTGACTCTCCTCTCAGAACATCTACAGGCAACTTCACAGCAATGTCAAACCCCCGAGCGAAAGCAGCACCAGCATCCCAAACCAAGCCTCCCGTCTACAAGAATCCTGCAACCAAAGTCCCTGCACCTTCACGAACACCAGCCCGAGCAGCATCAGCACCAGGAAAACCACGACCCGGCGGCCTGAAACCGACTCCAACCAAGAACCCTTCTGCTGCTGCTCGTCCACCTGCACAACCCGCAAAAGCCAACAACTGGATCAACCGTACCGTCCAAAGCTACGTGCAGAGCTATGGCAACTACGTCGGAGGCTACGTCAATTCCATCGGCACGGGAGTGAACAAAGTAGGAGAAGGCATCAGTACAAGTATCTCGAACACGACACGCGGATGGGGTCAGGGAGTGGCAGGATATGGTAACAATATCAAAGATCAAGTGGGCGTGGGAGGTCCGCGTGTGGCCACAGCGGGAAATCCTCTAGGTTTGGCGGGGACGGGCAGTGCCACGAAGAGCTTGCCTGCGCCGAAGAAGAAGCCTGCGGTGAATAAGAGGGCTGGTCCTGGAAATCCGCTGGGCTTGTAGGAGCTCGTAGTGCCCGAGGAAGCACGATGGGGTGAAGGGAAGTAGCATATGAGAGGGTAACCTTCGACAGAGGAAGGCATTGAAGGGAATTACAGTACGATGTGGCAATAAAATGACGGCATCTGGAATTGACATTGGAGAAGGGCGTATTCCAGTTGTGTACAGGTAATCTGGGATGTCATTTAGTGAAGTGCTTAAACTTATATTATTCGTTCAAATCTCAACCATATCAAATTGAACAATCCTGCGCTGATGCTCAAGTCAAGACGCTGCTGCTGTTGTCGTAAAAGCGTCCCGTCATCCCTGAATTCCACGCTGTGCAAGTTGAATCCCCAACTCCATCGCTCGAACGCTACACTTTTTGTTCTGTGATCCATGTCTTCATCCACTTATGAGTGTGACTCCCGGCGAAGAGAGTGGTGGAGCCGCAAAGTTGTCCTCTGGTATCGAATCATCGTCGCTTTCATACGCTTGTGCATCCTTCGCCTCCCCTTCATCATCACTACCATCTTCATCTTCCTCCTCCTCTTCCTCCTCCTCCTCCTCCTCGTCATTTTCCAAGCCTTGGGGAAGCCGCCATTCGTTGAACAATCCCTCAATCCATCGCTTACTCTGTGGCAAGTGATATGGATCGAATGGGAAGTAAGCTTCCAGCTGGTGGTGCGAATCGCCAGTCTTGCGATCCCACGCGGTCTCTCTTCGGCCAAGATCCACTCCTCCTGTGAGACTGTACAACTGAGGAGCTTGCCCAAGTCGTACACGCTTATTTCTCTCAATCAAAGAGAAAACGTAAAGGAATCGCAGGTGCCACGCAATCTTTGCAAACTCACCAACAATTGCTGGCGAGCAGACCTTCAACGGATTGAGAGCTGACATGATGTTGCGATTCAAGGTTTCCTTGACCCCTGCTATCCACGGCAGGTCACGCTGCTCCGCAATTATATCTTCCTCCGTCATGTCACCAAGCTTAGTGGGGTCAACCAGATCGCGCCATCGAAAGCAGAAAATGTAGAGCAGCGCCTGCGCAATCGCGTAGTACATGCCGTACATCTTTCGATCTGGACCGTGACAGTTTGGCTCGTACATATATCGCAAGTCGTCCATGACCCGACCAAGTTCGGCGAAGACCCTTTGCACGAGATGCATCGGCAAATGCGACGCTCGGGCTGTAAAGCTTGCGACATATGCGCATGCTTGCAAACGGAGAGGCGCTGCCACGTCTCGATCAGTTGTCCTTTTGATAAATCGATTGATGAAGTCTTCGGAGTATGCAGATGAGTACTGCGCAAAGTGGAACAGCAAGAACTGTGCATGCCTCGAGCGATGCGGCATGATAAAGTTGTTAAAGTGAGATAGCAATTCCTGATAGGCGTCGTTTGTTCGCGGCGACGACTTGGGTGTGAAGGCTGGTTGATAATGCTCAAACAGCAAGTCTTGAGTTCCGTCCATCTTGGCGACCTTCAGTCGAAGCTCTTTCAATCTCATCTCCTCATTTGTTGTGGTCATCTCTGACTCGGACACCGAGTCATCGTCGCTGTCGTCGTCATCATCTGCTGCACCTCCTGGGGTCCTATGGTCGCGCTGTAGCAATCGCTCTTCCGCGTCGTCTTCCAGGTCCTCAATATCTTGTTGTATCTGTACGTCAATATCAACCAAGCGCTGCATGATCAACGACATGATCTCGCCTTTGATCTCGGGAATTTCTTTGGCCAATCGAAGCATGTGCCGCTGATACTGTAGGTATCCTTTGGCACTTGACATGTCGTTGGGAAACTGATTCTTGAGCATGCGAAGCAGAGCACTGCTTGTCGAGGGCACACGTAAGATTATGGTTCCGATGACTTCGTGCAGTCTCTCAAACATGGTCGTCCGATCGATTAGGTCTTCGCCCGGAAGTCTACCCATTGATGCTGGGAGCCTCTCGAAATTTGAGACCAGTCTCTCCATCATGGGCATTGTGAATTTGCCGTGAGTGTTGGCCAGTACACGTAGAAACTCCTCGTAGATCCGCGCAAACTCCGCGTCCCGTCCAAGCCATGAGAGGTCGAGCACAGCCAGGACCAGCTTGCTGCACTGGCCCAGAACGCTAATATGAGAGCCCATGGCCAGTATGTACTTCTTGAGCAGGTTCGTGGTTGGCGCATCACTCGAGTAAGCGTCCTCACCGAGAACTTGCAGCAGCTTGGCGTACTCCGCATCATCGTGTGCCTCACCAGGTGCGAGATGACTGTGAAGAGCTGCTCGCACCTTTTCCTTGACCCATGCGAAGCTCTTGTCCGTGTCGTCGCCGATGATCCTTATCTCTACATCGTCACTAAACTCGACCTTCAGCCGTTTGGTTGTGTGTGAGAGGGCAGCCTCATCGTCGGTGTCTAGATGGGAAGAATCGCGCTTCAAGCCCATCGTGGGACGCTTCGGAAGTGGTGTTGGAGGCGGCAGCATCGTGCCGCCAACGGGAGCCGCAAGGGAGACCATGTTGAAGAGTCTCCGGTGACCATTGGGAGTATTCTAGGGATAGAAATGGCGATGCGCGGTGGTGGAGCAGGTAGTGGAGGTGAAGGCAAAAAGATTTGCTGCAGCGGTGTCGTGTGAGGTGGATCTCAGTGCCCTCAAGCGAAGAGAACTTTAAAATTTTAGTGTATTCTTGGCGACTTTGCAAACCTTACAAGGCTTACATACATATTGGGTGTATGGAGGGCTGCAGACACTGGTTGGCCTTGGAACTTGACAGCGGGATTCTGTAATGTGGGCAGGCAATTCCCATTTCTATTGTATGGATGGTCTCCTCCAGTACTTACGGCGGACCTTCGGCGCGGCCAACACACCATATACATGTATCCACTCATTGGACAAACATGATGTCAGACCACGACATGCGCGGCCTCCTTGATCGCAATTCGCAATATGGAGAAAACATCCAAACCCTTCGCGCTACCTCTAAGCTGATCTGTTCATTGAGAACTAATCGACGAGCATGACTGGGCATGACAAAGAACAGAGGGCAGTGTCGCAATGGACGCTTCCCGAGACCAAAGGAATCCAGTCTCTGGTACTGATCCCGAACACTACGCTAGACTCATTGGCGCCAGATGAAGTCAGAGTGAAGTTGTATGCAGCGAGCTTGAACTATCGGGATTTGGTCATCGCCAAGGTTGGTTCCCCTGAAGAGAAGATTATAGACGAAGCAGACTCTAACGAAACATAGGGTGGTGTGCCAGGAAATATCAGTACAGGTGTCGTTCCAGGCTCAGACGGTGCAGGCATTGTGGAGGCTGTCGGCATCAGCATCACCAAGTTTAAGCCTGGGGACAGAGTCGTGACACATTTGAGTCCCTTCCTTCCAGATGATTTGGCCCCAACGATGAAGGACATCTCAGCTGGTCTCGGCCAATTCGTCAATGGGACTCTACGTGAATGTGGAAACTTCCATGAGTCTGCTCTGCTTTTGGCACCTCGGAATCTCAACTTCGCAGAAGCTTCGAGCCTAACTTGCAGTGGGCTGACAGCTTGGAACGCGATATTTGGGCTCAAGGGTCGAGAGGTGCATGCTGGTTCCTGGGTTCTCACTCAAGGTACTGGGGGAGTCAGTATCGCCGCGCTACAGTTTGCTGTCGCAGTCGGAGCCAACGTTGTCGCTACGACTTCAAATGCCGAAAAGGCGAGACTGCTAGAGAGTCTGGGCGCGACGCATGTTGTCAATTATCGCGAACATCGGCAATGGAGTGCAATAGCTAGAAGCTTCACGCCAGATGAACGCGGCTTCGATGTGATTGTCGATGTGGGAGGAGACAGCACATTGCCAGAATCGCTGGAAGCTGTCCGAACTGATGGTATTGTGGTCCTGACGGGACTACTGGGAGGAGGCCAACAGCCAGTTGCGATGCTGTCGGCACTGCGATACGCTTGCACTGTTCGAGGCATCTTACTGGGCTCGCGAAAGCAGTTCCAGGATATGGTGAAGTTCGTGGAAGAGCGCAATTTACATCCTGTATTGGACTTTCGGACGTGGGCTCTGCAGGATGTGAGAAGAGCATATGACTGGCTGGACAACCAGAAGCATTTCTCAAAGGTCGTGATCAGAATGGGCTAGACACCTGATGTATGTATGTAGGCTAGCAGATGCCAAGAAGAACGTTGGCTACCATGGCAACCAAACGGGGGTTTCGTACTACTGACCGCGATACGACTCGCTGGTGCATCGTATTTGTCCCTTGCATCGCAACTCGTCAACACACTGCATTGCTTCGACACGACATTGAACGCAGACAACATCAGTACCAAAAGCAAGACCGCAGATTCATTGATACAATGGTACGTACCTACCTGCCTACTTGACTTTCCCGAACCATATGAGCTTGGCGCATTCTGGTTGGACAGACAGCAAAAGCGAGCGTGCGAGCGGAAAGAGGGGCGGTTAGAGAAGGAAGCGGCGACGACGACTAGGACGACAACAATAATAACAAGGACAACAACAACAACTCTCACCAGATGATTACATCTCTCCACACAGCGACATCCATCCCGAAAAACACAAACAGCGCACGCAACTAACACAACCATGTCTGAACAGGCGCAATCTACCAACTTCAAGGAGGCCTTCTCCCTCTTCGACAAGCGCGGCACTGGACGTGTTCAGATCGACTCTTTGGGCGATCTCCTCCGCGCCTGTGGTCAGAACCCAACATTGGCCGAGATCAAGGACCTCGAGCATCAAGTCGGTGGAGACTGTAAGCCTCTTCCCTGCAGTCCCAACCGCGCGCACCGCTGACTTCTCTCCTTTTCTCAGTCGACTTCGACTCCTTCACACGCGTCCTCAACCGCCCCGGCGGCTTCCGCGATCCTGGCGAGCCCGAAGAGTATTGCAGAGGTTTCCAGGTCTTCGACAAGGACTTGACGGGCTTCATTGGTGTTGGACAGTTCCGATACATCCTCACAAACCTCGGAGAGAAGATGAGTGATGACGAAGTGGATGAACTATTGAAGGCCGTGGATACGAGTAGTGGGGAGTTGAACTACGTTGATATGGTGAAGATGATATTGCAGAATTGAGGGGGCAAAGCAGAGCCAGAAACGTGAAAGTGGAGGGTTGGGAGACGACACGAGAGACGTCCATCTTGTGACTTGGCTCGGCAGAGGAAGACACAGATCGACTGCGATGCATTACGAGCGAGGCTGAAAGGCGTTTAAGTGGAATAATGGGGTTTGGGCAACCGGGGCATTCTGACGCGCGAGGATAATGGGTTCCGACATGTAAAGATGCGCACATGAGAGGACTGCTCTGTGCTCTGGTAGCAATTTGTGCAAAGCCCTTCGATACATGTCTAAAGTACACCAAGAGAACTCTTCTCGGCTTTCAATCTATTCTACCTATGCTGCCTTGACAGGGATCACGCCACTGAACAATCATCCAAGAGGAGAGTGTTCACCGAATAAGCAGTCTTGCGTTTTCGCTCTCATTTACATGAACTTCGCGGGCCATCAACGAAACCATCTTCTCTGGCACCACCAGTATCAGTACCTTAATGTTACCTTGAGTAATGGCCTCCTCAAACGGTAGATCCTGTCTATTCTGCTGCTCCCTCTTCCAGTCCAAAAGAGCTCTTAGAAGAGGAGTCGTCATGCTCCCTCCGCCTTGGAATTCCTCTTTAGCAGCTTTGGTCTTATGGAAAACGCATACTAATTTGACTAAGTTGCGCGCAGGTTTCATCATCCAGCGACACCGGATTCATCCTTCAGAGTTAAAGTCAACTAGGGAAAGAATTTCTATTGCCGTCAAGACTGAGAGTGGTCTGAACGGGTAGCCAGAAGGGCGGCTACCTATGTTAGACGGCCCAAGCAGCCCACTTGCGGCAAAAATGGACTCCATAGGTACGAGCTTGGACCAACATCAAGGGTGAAGATGCAGTGAGGTGAGCGTAAACAGTGTGGCGACCTTTGTGTTCGAGTTCAGCGAATACAAAGTGGTAGGCTTATGGAGCATGCGGACCACCTCTAGCTGCTATGTGGTAGCTATTACCTTAGTGTCTACCCATTTTCTGGCATGACATGGAATGTCGCTGATTTTGCCCGACTCACGCTCAAAGCTCCGGTATCCGGTGTCTGTCTCGAATGCGTCGACTTCCGATGCATGTGCCAGCGCATTTGCTGTATATTCACTCGGCACAATCGTTTGGACCACTAGGATTCAACCACTCATGGTAAGGAATAGAAGCTTATGCGGTTGCCTCGCTTGGAGTCCAGGCAGATTGCCTTCTAGTAGCTTGGGCCCTTGGTTATAATGCTGGAGAGGATGTCTCGTCCTTCGCGATCTCTGCTTTGAGCCATCTGGCTTCTTCGTCCATCTCCTCCTTCGTTCGCGGCTTCCGTTCGTCATCCTTTGCCCACTCTGCCGCCCGTCTCGTCTCCGCTTCTTTCTGGTGCCCTCCCACATTACCCTCCTCTCCCTCCAGCCACTCATGCACCTTATCACCCTCGCCCGGGTCGCCCTTCACTCTCGGGATAACATGACAGTGCACATGTGGAACGCTCTGGCCCGCCGCAGCACCGTCTTGCACAGCTATGTTGAAAGCTTCGGCCTTGTAAACTCGTTTCAACGTCTTCTGGATGCGTGTGACTGTGTTGAAGAGGTCGCTGATTTCTTCCTGGGTTAAGTCTGATAGGTGAGGCTTGATTCGGAGAGGCGAGACGAGGATGTGACCAGGCAGCAGTGGCTTGAGGTTGACAATGGCGAAGGATAGGGGAGTGGTATGGAAGACCTTTTCTTTACTTAGCCTGTATCAATTCTTACTACCTCAGGGTATGGTCAATGTACTTGAGAGGTGACGTTGAAGGAAGCGAACTTGATGACCTGCTTTGCCATGCTGGAGGCGTTGTCGTCGTCCATTGGTGCATGTGTGTGAGTAGAGAAGAGCGTTATGGTGGTGCGCAAAGGAGTACATGTCATACCTTACTAGGTATCACCAAATGCCTCGGTCGAGCACGCGTCCATGCTGTCACGTCATCTGCACCAGCATCTACTCATATCATGCCTCACCTTTATTTTTATGTACATGTGCTTCTTCCTAGAATACGTGCTTCACCAGTATTGATATCGACATGGCCAAAGCTATTGACATGCGCGCAGCTGCCGCCAAATTCTTCTCCGCCTCGCATTTCGCTGTCGCGGGCGCTTCATCGACTCCGTCCAAGTTTGGTCATCGCATCTTCGCCTGGTACTTGCAGCACGATCTGCCCGCAATTCCTCTGAACCCGACCTCGCCGAGCATCACCTGCCAGAGTCAGACTTTCGACACCGTTCCTTCGCCCTCTGCCGTCTCGCATCCCGCCAGCACCAGCCTGAGTGTCATCACGCCTCCGCCTGTGACTGCAAAGCTTCTACGAGAAGCGAAAGAAGCCGGCATCTTATCCGTGTGGTTGCAGCCAGGCAGCTTCACCGACAATGAGCTCGACTATGCCATTGAGCACTGGCCCAATGCTGCTGTCGGAGGCTATGCAGACGGCACAGTGGGCGGCGAAGGCTGGTGCGTGCTCGTAGATGGAGACACCGCGATGGCAGCTGCTAAGAAGTTATCTGTCACGGAGAATCGTGATCATGCCAGTAAAAAACGGCAAGTGCAGCTTGAAGTCAAGGTGAGATCGATGGACTAACGTGTGCAGTAAAGGAGGACATCGCGTCTCTAAACGACCTCTCCACACAGAACCTGTCATCGGGAGAAAGGCCAGAGTCAAGAAGCATGTTATGGACCGCGTTGGCAGAACTGAGAACATACGAATCAGAAGAGTACTGGCCAATCTGGAAGGATAGAATCGCAGATCAAGGCCGAAGTCAACAGGCATGGCTTCCGCGCAAGCACAGTACAGCGTGAATGCTGGTGTATCCCTATAGGACTATACCTTACCTCTGTCACAAGGCAGGCCGCTGCTCTAGCAGAGCCATAGTGCTACGCCGAATCCAGGGATGGGCATGCTGCTAGAAGGAGCGAGACGAGACGTTGTCGCTCATTCGGGACAATCACTGCCGATGGATAGTACTCGACCCCTCAGTCGATGAGTGGCCAAGGAGAACCATTCCTTGAAGGAACGATCGAGAAAATAGGGCTTCGCCACTAGCGCGACGCAGGACTCCAAGAGACCCTAGGACTGGGAAGTTGGAACTGCATACTGCAGTGAATCACTTACAGGCATTATGGAGTCCAAGGATCAGCTGCCAAGCAAAACAATGTATCCAAAGACGCAAGACGGCATACCTACATGTACCTTACGTATCTCCCCCTTCTTGAAAGCCTTCGTATTGCCGAGCGACCAGCCAACCCGAGAGATGCGCAACAGGCTTGTCTCGTCCTCACCTAATCAGAATCGCATTTTTGACTTCACGGATCGCCCATCCCAGTCCCGATCAAGTCAGTGATACGACCGTAGTATACGTCCGAACATGCCGACTACAACGCCGACAGCGGAAGCTCGCTCTTTTTCTTCCTTTCGTATTTCCTCCTTGCTCTGTGAGTGTCCGATAGCCGACTCTCGAATTTCCAAGACTGCGCCCACCAGCCACGGAGCCAAGAGTAAAACATACACACGCCGACCACAATGTCAAGCGATATTGTCATATGGTATTATTATCAGATTCCCTCTCCCATCTTGTATCAGGACGCATCCGACGCGTGTTGATGAATCATTTAGCTACGTTGCGTCAGATCAAGCACTGCAAAACTACAGATAGGTAATGTTGCGCCAAATAACTCACCTTTGCATGCCCAAACTTGTCCAGGTCTTCCCACGTTGCTACACCTGCCTCTGCATTTGGCGTTGTTGGAACTTTCGACGAAGTAGCATGCTTCAGTGCATTTCTGGGCTTTTCAATAGAAGAAAGTAACGGGTCAGTTTCATGCTGCTCGATGGGGTATGGTGGTATGTATCTGATGTATGCATGAATATAAACTTACCGCTATCCCAAGTCTTACTTGGTGGGCCTCGCACACCGTTGACGCAATATGGTTCCAATCTTTTCTCGACCTGAGGTGTAGGAAATGGCTGCGCAGTTTTTGCGCAGGCGAATCCGATGAGCGGTAGGCCGAAGAGGATGGTCGTGAGCAGCATCTTGTCTCGGATAGTGTGGTTCGTCAGACAGTGCGTGCGTTCTCTTTGGATGGAGGGATGAGGAATCAGATCAGTTGCTCACTACCGGCTGCTACAGACTTTAGTATATGCGATTCCACGTGGGCGAGCTAAACGCGCTGACAGCCGCTGTCAGGCTTTTCATCATATGCCATTCGCCAATTCAAGATCCGCGTCTCTCACTGGTACAGCAGGCCAAAGGGCGCGGTCAAGCTAGTGGCAGAGACACCACAAGTCTACATTTTAGCATTTCGGTTTCATTTGGCTGGAGGCTGGAGCGCACCACACTTGAGACCTTCCCCAGGGTCCTAGTCGTCGGTCCAGGCGCAAAACCTTTCATGGCCGACGATCATGCGAGGGCTATATCTCGTTACTTTTTTTTTCTTCCTAGGACAAGGCGATGCACTCCTACGAGAGTACCTAACGAGACTAGTAAACATACCAGGAACGGTTTACTAAAAAGTACCGAACGTCGAACGAGGCCTTCCAGCAGGGTTCGTCCACGTGAAGTCGGCATTCGGCTAATAAGATGTAGCAAAGTAGTAACCAGGTATGTAGGCTGCAGGCCAAGAAGTACCGCCAGTCAGGTCGAGGGAACTACATCGGTGGCATATGCGGACTATGACAGTAAGCAGTAAGCACACAGCGTCCATGTATCGAGTTTTCGATTCTCGTTTCAAGTCGATGCCGAGAGCTCATTCCACTGGAAGGTCCCGCGGCCAAGTGAGCATCACCTGAACCAGGCCTGCAGCCAGCTAGTGTCATCCAAGTTGGATGAGAACGTGAAAGGTGCTCTCAAGCTACAGGTAGCTAGCAGTCTTGACATTTAATGTGGTGTGCTGTTGGTATCGAGTTGTCCGTCCATAACAGAGGCGTACTTCAGTTATCTCAAATTTGTCAATCTGGATACGCTGGAAATGCCCCGTCTGCTGAGGGCGCCCGCGTTTTTCCTGTTGTACCTACTCTTCTGGGGCCAATATACATTCTCGATAGACCCCAGAGTCTTGACATTGATGCACCAGCCAGAGTGAACCTTTGCCTGATAGCATATATACCTAGGTAAGGTGGGTAGGTATTTGTTCCTCGATATTCCAAGCTTCTTTGGACCTCATGTGTACGCAGTGTAGGCGTGATGTCTGCCAGGGACGGCTGCTACTGATCCTGATGGATGCTCGCGCGTGCCTGCGTGTTCGACTGGTTCGGGTTAACATTGCAGACGTGTCACAGCAGTGGTGTGAAGTATGTCCTGTGAAATGGCACGGCTGAGACATGGCGGAGGCGTCTCGTGGTCTGAGGTGACGCAATTTCGGAGCATTTTCTGACGCATAGCGCCGGCTCTAGCAGAGTTGGCAGACTGCATGTCGGGTCTTCGTGCTTCCATCGAATATATAGGGAGGGGGGAGTTCAATATATGCCGGTATATTATCCAACTATGCCCGGTGACGCGGAGCAGCACCGTCTGGAAAGAAAAAAGCAAAGAAGGAAGAGAAGAAAAAAAGCGGTAAGGCATTTCCGCCACTCTGAGCAAGGCGCCTCCCGTCAGTAATGTAATCGTATAGGAAGATACGGTGACCAATTCCTCGAGCACTTGATCACATGTGGTTCCTCAGCCATATTATATGCAGCGGTGTCAACACGAGAACACGTCAATGATGATGCTGAGACGGAAATTGGTCCGAAAGAACGCGCAGTAACATGTCGATGACCAGGAATCGATCACGAGGGAACCCAGGAGCCTGGATCATGGATGCGATATGTAGGTACTGTACATAATAATCATAATTGCTGCCCAAACTCGCAATAGGGCACCGTACACGCGAGCCGCACGCCATCGAATGCCACAAGAGCGAGCCGGAGCCGAACGTGAAGCTTTTTTGCATGGAAGGGCTTGCACGGCGCAGGACTTGATCATATCCGATTGCTCTTGATGAACTCCTTGTCGTGCGGTGATCATTTCTATACTGCGCATGTGCGCGAGCAGGGCCAGCAGGAACGCCACTACTAAACTCTCCTCCATGTCTATCCACGCTTTAGGTATACTAGTACCGTGCAGAAGCTTGTAACCTGTGAGGTTAGTAGGTAACAAAATGTCATCTTGACTTGTTTTCGGTAACGCCACCATAGATCTAACGGCCGTTATAGGTGGTAGCTGTTGTTCCGTCTCCATTTAGGCTGCCATAGATACACCGATCACGATCGAGTGATTGGAATTGTGCTCGTAGTGAGCGCACATGCGAAAAAGATCAACTGAACACTGTCCGATCGTAGCTCCAGTCTTCAGATGAGGCCCGAGCGCCAAGAAACTCAACTACAGCCTCTTCGCGCATCCGAAGGAAGAGAGCCGGACGGGAGATGTGCCAAGAGCCGAAGTGACACTCTCATTCGTCAGATTTCCAAACTCGCCATTTGCCGTCTTTAGCTTGGTCCACTCGGATGTGTGAAGAGGCAGTATTATTTTTCCTCCGCAATGCCGCGCTAGGCGCGTGGGGGTGGTAAATTGTAATGCTTACTCCACAACGAAATGACTTGCGGGCATTGAGGGATTTGTTGCTTGCAAAATCTGGACGGTTCGTACCCAGCATTGAAATCCGGGGAGCGTTTCGATCTGAAGAAACGTGAAGTTCCGGCAGCATCTCACCCTGAACAGCCAATTCCCTGGCTCAATTTGAAGGCATTTCAGAGGGCATGAGTTTTGGTCGGATTCGCAGCGCCTGGTAGCCAGATGTGCAGCTTCTTCGCCAGAGATTCGATAGTGATAGAGGTACTGCTGGTTGCCAACAGTGTGATGGCCTTGTGCTCATGGTAGGAATTCCAACAGCCGCCTGGTGGATGTTCTGACAGGTACATGTACTGTACCTGTACATTAGTTGTGATAATTTGTTACGGCTGGAGAGTTCGGGTTTAGCATCATGCAGCATGCAGGCTGCACAGGACCTGCGCCGATGCTGCTCACTAGCATGCTGCCGCTGCTGAGAACTCAACCATCTGTGACAATGTGCGCCGGAACTAGGAGGTAGGAGGACTAGTTGGACGCGTCGGTGAGCTTGTAATAAGTGGTCTACCGTCGCAGCTCGCCTTGAGTACGTCCTGGTATAAGCCTCCGCCGACCCATTATTATTGGCGCAGAACGCGTTTCGCAAGAACAGGCATGCGGCGGCAGTTCCATCTATTATTGGCGAATCAGATCTCTCTGGCGCCGTGTAGCATAAAGTGTAATAAGAGGCCATTTGACATTTGTAACTTGCTTCCCCGCTGTTGTTCAGCCTATGCAGAGCGGTATGCAAGTCTGCAAGGTGTGACGATGGATGCTTGGATGATGGCTTGCAAAGACCAATGGCAGCGCGCAGAAGTCAGCAGGATGGCCTCGTTGTGTGCGTGACTTCGCTGCGGCCTTCCCCTTGCACAACAGTCCTCCGTCCCTACCGGATCGTTGGCGAGCAATAAAAATAATGGTCCTGCGAGGCGCGTTTCGGCGTCACCCATCAATGCGAAGGAGTAGTGACTTTTTCGATGCCAGAACCCGAACTAGCTAGCAAGGAGGCTACCCCCACGCCTTCCTTTTCCCCACTTGAGTGAACGGCTGAGCCGCCTCATCCATCGCCTTGAAATAATACATGTAGCAAGACAACCAGAACCTCCGCATTCAGCAATATCTTGTACGACCAGGCGTGGATCAAGGCCCGCTGGCTCTCGGATCGCATTGGCAGCCGGTTCTCGCACAGTCATTGGGTCCACCTCCGCATCTGTGTGCCCTCGACATCCTCGCCCGCATTGCGAGGCTGATCTTTGATGTTGTAGTGGTCATCCAGCCATAGGTCATCTCGTGCCTGTCTGCCTGTCTGCCCACTCCGTCATCCATTGCCACCTCGTGACTGCCCGACCGACGCCGTCGTGTCGCTACATACCGCCGCCCGTAGCTGCAGCTGGGAGATGACGAGGGTCGCGAGAGACTGCTATACTAGCGACAGACTGATGCAACGCTACCTAGAGACGCGCGACTCGCGAGCGACGGCGAACCCTTCCTGCGGCGGCAGCAGCAGCAGCACCTACAGCACGCGCATCGCGACCGAAAGCAGCCGGTACAGCACGGCATACACGCGGCGGGACTATGGACGTCGGACCAGCGAAGAACGCGGAGGCAGTGCCGCCGCCGGGGTCGCGGCCCGCCAGTAGCAAAGACGACGACGAGATGGAGATGGAGGACGCGGAACACGAAATGGACGAGGGCCCTTCCAAGAGATCAAAGAAAAAGCGACGGGTCATCAAGATCACGGACAAGAAGTACGAGTGCCCGCAGCCCAGCTGTGGCAAGTCCTACTCTCGCGCCGAGCACCTGTATAGGCATCAGTTGAACCGTTCGTATCTCCCGAAGTCAAACCCAATGGGTTGCGACCCTGATCGCACACGCTGACGATGCCCACCAGATACGCCGAAACAGATATACTACTGCGATTTTCCAGGATGCGACCGCAACTTTGTACGGGCTGATCTGTGCGCGAGACACAAAGAGCGCCACACGGCCAAAGGGTCTCATCTCCAACGCAAGGATGCCTTTATGAACAGCCAACGACAGCAGCATGCGGGCTCCATCACGGCAAACGACTCTGTGATCTCTGGAGCGACGACCAACATTACATCGTCGCCGGTGGACTCGGCGCATCCTGGCCAACAGGCGACATTCCAGGACTCGAACTCTTACAATGCGCCTGTCGCACCACAAAATCAGAGCCCGTATGCCACTGCAGGCGATCAACAGCACTATCCTGACCCATCGCAGCAGACCCAACAGCTTCCTTCGTTGCAGTCGGTGCAGCATGGCGTCGCGCCTGGTGGGGATTCACAGCTGGCTGCCACCGGATCGTACAATGTTTACCAGAACACCTTCACCAACGGACAAGACATGTCATCTCAGTCGTCCAGTGACGGCCGGCGCTACAGCATGGACAACAAGTTCGGCCGCCCTGGGCCGATGACGAATCGCTACACGCAACCACTTCCCATGCATCCACCCCCAGTTCCTGGTCAACAGATTTCATCTGCAATGTACACTCAACAGGCATATCAAGCGCCAGGCCCGGCAACCCATGGTCAACAATATCAGACGAATCTTGCGAAGACACCTCTGCCACCTCTGCCACCATTTGGTATGCCACCGCCAGCAAATGCCATGTCACCATCTTCTGTTCAGTCAGGATACGCATACCAGATGAGCGGCGCTGGACCTAGCAACATGGTTCCAGAATATGATATTATGGGTCAATTCATGGGTAGCTATAATGCCATGCCCGTATTTGGGACAGATGGGTTCAACCGTTCGCCGCAGGCTATAGATGACATGCTGTTTGCGAATTTAATGGAGAGCAGTGGCATGGCATTCGATGTGCCCCCATCGCCGCCTGATGTGCCGTACGGCACGCAAATGCCGGGTGCCCACTTACCAAAGGTAGAGGGCAATGACGCGGCACTAAATCAGTATTCTGCAACGACGCATGTGGACGACACTTCACCCAAGATCTATGCCATGGACTTGAGCATGCGCGAGTGCAGTTTGTCAGAGAAGAAGCAGAACCGACTCATCGCGATGACACGTTCATGGGAGGACATTGAGCGTATGCCTGGGCGCAAGATGAAAGAAGAATTCATGTCTGGCGACATTACGGATCCCAAGCACCCATTGAGCATGGACATGCTCAAGACGTATCTGACCAGCTTCTGGATACACATACATCAGCAGATGCCGATCATGCATCGTCCGTCTTTCAATGCAGACACATGTCCTGATTTGCTTTTGATGGCGATGATGTGTCTAGGTGCATGCTGCCTCGACCGCACGCACACCACCGAGCACATCAGGATCTGTGCGGAGTTGTCGTTTTTCTGCGCCTATCACATCCGGTGGGAGGTGTTCAAGGATGCAGAGTTTAGACCCACGGCGAAACTTTGGACATTTCAAACCATGCTACTTCTCGAATTGTTCGAGAAGATGTACAGCACAAGAGTGCTACACGAAAGGGCACATGTGCATCACGCGACGACCCTCACCGTGATGCGAAGAGGCTCCTCGCTCATCGGCCGGGGTGCCAATGATGAGGCTCTTTCAGATCCGACCAGAACGCCACCGGGACCCGACGGCAGCATCAACACCAGCGGCCAGAACACACCGGACGCGTGGTGGAATCGATGGATCACTGCAGAGGCAACTCGACGCGTTGCATACGCTGCATTTGTCATCGACTCGACCCACGCGACTCTATTTGGGCACTCTGCTATCATGTCTCCGCATGATTTGCGTCTGCCTCTGCCCTGTGATGAGGCACTGTGGGCGGCCGAGAGTGGTGCGGAGGTCCAGCGTGCGGAACAGAGCCTTGCTGCCAATGGTTTCCGCGGGACCACCTTTCTGGAAGGGCTGAAGAAGACGCTCAACGGCCAGAAGGTCCGGACGAACGTATTCGGGCGGGTCATATTGATGGCGGGACTGCTCAACGTGACATGGCACATGAACAATCGAGACTTGCAGGTCACAGCCATCTCCGCGCAAAGCTCCATGGGAAATCCGACCAGGTGGCGCACGAATCTGACGCATGCTTTCGACTTCTGGCGCCGTGACTTTGACGAGGCGTTAGTGAAGCCCGAACCGGCCGAGCAGACGAGCAACAAGTCGACTTGCCACAAGGACCATCGTGACAATGTTTTCGAGTCCCGGACGTGCCTGCATAGTCTCGCGCACATGGCGATGCACGTGGACATTGTGGATTGTGAGATGTTTGCAGGGTCGAAACGTGCGCTGGGACGCGTTGTAATCGAGTCCGATCGGGTCGGCGCGCAGAAACGCATGCGCGAGTGGGCACAGTCTGCACGCGCGCGCGATGCCGTGTATTATGCCTCGCGCTTCCTGATTGAGGTTCTGATGCCTGGTATGAATCCCGCGAAGCTGGAGGAACAGACACCGCATGTAATCACGTTCGCTTACAGCGCGAGGGACGACTACTTGCTGAACCGTCCTTACATCCTGTACTATGCCTGCATGATTGTGTGGGCGTACGGGTATGCGCTGGACGGACCGGTTGTCGCACCGAACTACAGCCTCGTCAGCCCAGAGGCACAAGTGTGGGACATGCAGCAGTATCTGACGCGTATTGGTCGCATTGCAGGGCCCGACGACTTGATGCAGATGAAGGATCGCAATCACATTGTTGGCCTTCTGATATTGATGCGTGATTGTTTTGAGAAACCGCGATGGGAGCTCCTCCACGAATCGAGTATCATGCTCGGGTCATGCATGGAGTTGTTGTGGCCTGGGATTAATCAGGAGCTGGAGCAGTACAAGAATCAACAAGAAAAAAATCTTCGACATCAATATGCATGAGTGAGTGCGTGGGCGGGCGGTACAGCGAGCAAAAAGAAAAAACCAAGGAAAAATCAATGCATTACTGGGACGAGCAGGCAGGCAGGCCTCTTCTTGATCATGATTACGAAACAGGAAAAAAGTAAACAGTGGATGGCTATCTGTGCTTTCGACATGCATCTATGATCTCGGGATGGAGGGATCTGGGGGAAGAAAACACACACACACACACACACACACACACATTCAGAGCGGGGAAATTAATGGCGTACGAATTTTGTGATCCACTTTTTTTTGGGATCTATCTGGGAGGCAATAGTGATACCCTTGCATCGATGCGTATGTATTTGGACGACTTTTTTGGTGTGTTTTGTTGTTGTCGTCTTTGTGTGGCTTTTGGGTCGATTCGGCTGTCCGTCTGGGTGGGTACCTACCTTGGTCAGTTGTGGATGACTTTGGACGACAACAACAACAACACTAGGTAACATTCATTCGATGGTGGTGGGGGATGTAGGTAGTAGTGGTAGCCGATATGTAAATGTACGCAGAGATTTGCCCAGACTTTTGTTTTTTGTACCTTATTTTTTTGCCAAATGTACGAATTCAAGTTGTCGGGTTTCTCGAAAATTCATTAAGTCTTTCTATAGGTAAGCTGCGATCGATCTCGGGCGCCTTTTTTTCTTCTCCGGACCTGACTGATGATGATGATCATTATTTCTCATTGAGGTAGCAGACGATCGGATGGGATGTTTGTCAGTAGAGCCCGACCTAGACTTTTCTAGAACAAAAAAAGTCCAACGTCCCGGAAATAGTAGTCTACTCCTGGCCGCGAGTCATTTGTAGATACAGTGCAAACTCGAGCAGCTGCACGCGACGCGACGAGACTTTGTCATTCATACTTGATCTTGGCATCGGGCAGGTGGAGTGAGTCAGTGTCTGTAGTGGAGCTGCGGTGCTTGGTTGGTCTTGTGAAGGTAGGTATAGACTTTGATATTGTCAACAACAACAACAACAACAACAACAACAAAAGTCGTCATCGAGGACGTAGATGAACCGTCGGTAGTAAAGGGGATCCTGTCTTGAAGCATCTCTCCCAGACCTGGTTACCTAGTGATTATCACTACAATTAGTGTATTCGTATAAATATAATAGACAAACAGTAGCAGCCAGCCAACCAAAGGCATCTCTACCATGTTCGTAGGTCATCATCTACTGTGTGTTACGCGTCTACTGTATAAGGTATACATGGAATTGTGATAGAACTTGATTATATGTAGAAGTATACCGGGATGATGTTGAACACCAAGTCGGCAGACTCGGCAATGTTCATACCTGGTATTTCTCCCCAACTAGGGAGTTCGTTCTCCTGCTGCGCTGCCGACTGTTAGCCGCCTACACAAGAGTGAATAAGACATCCTTGTAACTTGGCCACTGGGATACCTACCTTACGTACATATATACATACTATAGTAGTACAAGCTGCACGTGTGCAGATTAGTTGCATACCTGGTATGATAATAACCCGGTTTTTTTCGTGCAGTTCTCTGCCAGATCGTTCTATGTAGTATGGGATCTGTCCGATCTCAAGTAGTAGAGGACGGGGGAGGATAAGGAGGGGTGTGTTATCAAACCTACCAGGTACAAGGCCAGTCCCTGTTGAAGTGGAGATGACATTGGACATTTGATGACCTCGCGTAGAGTGTGGCATCTACCTTCTCTCCTAACTTCTGGTCTTCTAGGAGGTAGGAGTAGGAGGTACCTCCGAGGAGACTGTGCTCGATTACATTGGAACGCTAGTTCTAGTGTATACGACATGTCCGCAATCGGGGCTGCTTCTTCGGTCACCGGAAGGCATCGGTCATTGCACAGACACACTCACACATTGCATTCACAGACAGTATACATTATTCACACACACATCCACACGTGTGCAGTTGACGGCCAGGCCAGCCTTCCATCAAGCCTTTTTGAACTTTCCACAACCGTGAAACGTGGCGCGCACACGCCGCCCTGCAGCAATCTGCAGCGACCTGCAGTGACCTGCAGTAGTGTGGGATTGATACTAGACCGGGCTGGGAGTTGAGAGAGCGGGCCCTGGCCTTGGCTCTGGGTGGCATCGCATTATTCGCATATTCGGATGATGATCACAACTTGCGAACGAACTCGCAAGAGACCTCGCCTGCCAGCTTGCATGAGTTTGGTGGTGGGAGCAAGGATCCACACGGTACACACAATATCCAGAATCGAATATGGAACTAATCAGCGACCAAGACTGCTGGAAACAGGGCCACTCCCAGCCTCATGTCTGTAACCGGAGTAACATGTAAAAGGTACCTCACCTTCCTGAGCCTTCCTCCTACCTCCTACAGTATCAAGTTTTCATGTTGGGCTTGACCCCTGCAGGTGGAAGCGGCTGTCAGGCCTTGGTGCATTCTGTGCATGTACGAATTGGCTCGTTGGTGAAACGTATGGGCGATCTGCCGAACGCGCCAAGCTATACACACCGTTACACCGACGGTACAGACGGTACAGACGGTTCACTGCTCCATCCTGCACACTGTACTGGACATGGATACGCAGGATTCACACAGAACAAGAAGGGAAATGATGCGATGCCATGATGCTATGCTGGTGCGGATACACGAGCACCATGTTACGCGCGACCATGGTTCGAGTTCTACTATGACCTCCTATCCATCTATGCTGGGGCTCAGGTACAGCAGAGCAGGTACCGTATAGTTCTACCTACTCGTCCGGAGACAGAAAGCCCGTCTTGCTGAGCAGATTCCATTCTGACCAAACCCCCCCGAGTCATGGCTTACCACGCTAATATCACGCCGTGAAGCTTGTTCACTAGAACAATCATGAGACACGAGACAGGATATGGCTAGAATTGCCCTCTCTACTGCTGCTGCCAACTGCCTTCTTCTACCTGCCCTGCCTTTTTACCTTTTTTCCCTTCCCTTGTTTGAGAACGCTCAAGCAGGCACGCTGAATCAACAAAGTCTCGGGCACCAGCAGCACCTTCATGTATCCTGAAACAAAGGCCTACACCACACCTTCTTGTCTGACAATTGTGCATTGCGTGCTGCCGGAGACTGGCGCTTCAAGTCTGCTGTATCTTCCTCCCCCGCGCGCTCTCTCGAACCAGCATCGATTACAGATCAGATCTTAACACCACCAGTATGACTATGGCACTACCGCGATCATCGCCTGTTGTTGGTTCGAGACCGGCCTACTTGGACGGCCTGTACAGAGACACCCACAACACATCATCACCATCAACATCCACATCAACTTCAACTTCATCCTACAGAGATGCACACTACCCATTACATTCCCACTCGAGCAGCTTTTCGACCATTAGCACCGCTTCCTCGTATAGCCTTCGATCACCCCCGAGCGAGAAATGCAACAGCGACACTCTCAGCATTCGAAGCAAAAAGTCCTTGTCCTTCCTCAGTAGTCCCAAGAAGAGGTTTGGATACATCTTACAACGGCATCATCGACATACCTTTCCCCAGACGTCGGATGAATTGCAGCGATCCGCGTCTGTGAGTTCGATATACAGCCAACCACCAAGCTCCTCGAGTCCCTCGACGCCGATACTGGAGGAGAAGGAGGACGAGGAAAAGAAAGAAGAGGCAGTAGAGGAAGAGACTTTTGTAGCGCCTCCAACAACAACACGACCTCCTCGACCAACTCTCCCAAGACTCCAAACGACTTTTGCGCCTCCCAATTTTGGCCCACCAGCCCACGTGTTGGCGTATGAGCGAAAAGCTTTACCGGCAATTCCCAGGACGCAGAAAGCAGGTGCGCCTGTGCGACATGAACGACTTCGACAAGCGTCCCGCTCACAACCACCACCAGCTACGAGACGCTATGCTCCCGCATACGAGGGGAATCATCATGTCCCTGTGCCGACGGATCTGGGCTGTTTGAAATGCTATTACTTTGTTGCGAGGAATTGCAATGGGTATGTATTAGGTGGGAATTCTGGAGATGCTTGCGATACATGCTTGGTAAGACAATTATCTCTTTTTTTTCTTTTGTTTTCTTCTTTTCCTTCTTTGATATAACTCTCGCTCGATCCACCCGCTAACCATTTTTGAAAAATAAAATTATAGTCTGCGGGTTTCTTCGGCACAAACTAAAACCACCCAAGGTGATTCGAGGACATGTTGACGAACTTCTTTTCTTTTGGATTTTAAAACATTCATCATTTATCTTCATACTGATTTGTACATTATGGCATGGCGCTGGAGGGAGTTTTCGGGAACATGGGGGGAAAAGAAAGAGAAAGGGCTTTTTAGGTTTGTTTTGTGGAATAGGGGAAAGAACCCCCAACACGCATGACATGAATATGGAGGGAAGGGAAAGAATATGGAGGGAAAGAAGGAAAGGAAAGAACAAGGGAGAGGAAAGGAAAAGAAATATGCCAAGACTTTCTAGTCTTCTCCCAAGGCTGGCGTACATCAGGTACATGTATGTGTATCTGTATCTGTATCTCAAGAGTCGAAATCACGATTTATTGAAGGAATTGAAGGAATTGGACAGCCGTCACAGCATTATCGAGGGAGCGTCACTGATGCTTAGGTAGCACGCTGAATGGACCCCATTTCGCTTTTTCCAGTAGTTCGATTCGGTTCGGTTCGGTCCAGTCTAGTTACCTAGACTACCTACCTAGGGTAGACAAAAGATAGCAGACAAAAACAAACAGACAGGCAGACAAAGATATTGTGATTATAATTACTCTATGACACGGTACTACCTATACAGTAACCCTTTCCCTAGGATAATCCGCCTTATATTTCAAGTATACAACCTCCCTAAGGTACGATTTCCACTTTCAGAAAATACAGCTTATATAGCGGGGTTCTATAACTTTTGTAGTAGTTATAGTAGTAGTAGTAGTAGTAGTATCTCCTAGTAGCGGTTATCAGGTAGTAGTAAGTGGCTGGACTTTGATTATATATACGCTATCTATCAAATGTTTGATTAAAAGCAGCAGCAGCAGCAGCAGCAGCAGTGTCGAGCAGCAACTAGAGTCTGGAAATGATATTTAAAACAGTTTTAGGCTTGCTGCTGCTGCTGCTGCTACCGCTTGCTGCTGCTGCTGCTGAAAACGCCCGTTTGTCCGCCTCTATATCAATGAATGAATGGATAAGGTATCTGTACCTGTTGCATGTATCAGGTACCAGAGCATGTTTCGACTTCAGTTGTTTACTTGTTTTGTCTACCTCGGTCCCCCAGGTTGTTTTTTCTACTTGTTTACTTGTTTATTTATCTGTTTACTTGTTTTATTCATTTGTTTACTTGTCTACTTGTTTTATTTATTTGTGTAGTTGTTTCTTCATCTGTTTAGTTGTTTTGTTTAGTTGTTTAATTGTTTTGTCTCATCTTGAACGCAGAAACCACACGTTCTGATAAACGAACCTTCTTTACAAGGCGCAGGGTCGTGCGACGGATGCAGTACACGAGAGGAACCCTTCTGTTCCCGGAAGGAAGGCCATACACATCTGCCACACATGAAGATCTGGGTGGAGAAGGTCTGGGTGGAGCATGAACAGAATTTGACTTTTCAAAATCTACATGTTCCGCCATATTCTGAATCGCCAGAGCATACGCATGGTCCTGCGCCGACGATCAATTCTGTACCTCGCGGGCCAGTTGACTGAAAAAGGCAATGCCACATTTTGTGTCTCAGTCGTCCCTCCAATCCTGTATTGGGCAGCCTCTGCGCAGTGACTAGAGTTTCCTTCACTCCCCCAGTCGACTTTGCCTCGGATTCTTCTTGCCAAGCGATACATCACCTTCTGCTCTCCACATGAACAGTGGTGAGTCTTGGGTGGAACCCACGCGACTGGCAGGCTGATAAGTCCGCGGTAGCATGCACCTTTCTCAATGCCGAGTGCAAAATGGAACTCGTTGACCATTTCTCTCCGTTCACGAGCGCTTGACCAGAATCGAGCGGCAACGCGCAATAAGCAACAATAGAAGGGCAAAAATAATTAGCAGGTACGTTGAAGCAGCGGCTCCTCGCTCACACGCCCCTGTGAACATTCGCCTCTCTCAGCCGCCGACATAGTTAGACAGCCGACCCATACTGGTCCGCTTGTCGCTCGTGCTTGCGATACGCATGCCCTTCAACTCGTCCAGCATAGGAGTCACCGGTCGACTGATTTCCTTGTTGTACAGCGCGACACTATCCCTCACGGCCACATAGTCTGAGTCGGCATAACCTATAATATCAGCAATGTCCCTACTCCTATGACCCGCAATCCTCTTGATTTCGATTGCCGAATAATTGACTACTGCCTTGCCCACATCTTCAGCTTCGCTGAGAGGGGCACCCTTGGAAGGTAGCACCATGATGCGGACGCACTCATGTTGGCCGAAGTGACCTTCGACATCAACTACACCCACAGGCAGAAGTCCAGTTTTAGATTGCAAGGCAGAGTGCGCGCCCTGGTCAATGTATACTGTTCCGTGCGGGGCGAGACCGTGCAGGAGCCAGAAGTAGCGATCTCTAATTGGATGTGGATCTGGCAGGAATCGAGTATGCAGCGGTGGCAAACCTGGCTCCTCCAGTCTGTGTGAACCAGTACCGTTTACCACGGGCGTTGTTTGAAGCGCGGGCGTCTTCGCAGCAGCGCTCCTGGGACTCGAGGGAAGTTCACCGCTCTGTTCCAAGCTCCGTGCTGTCTTCTTTTGCGCTTCTACGTATCTCACGATGGCCGTGATATTGCCAGGGTTACTGCTCCTGGTGATGACTGTAGTTACGCCAGCCGCTGTTGCGAGTCTAGCAGCCACAATCTTCGTACTCATTCCGCCCGTTCCTAATGAACTACCTGCGCTGGAGGTATCCGCTGCGAGCTCTGCAATGTCCTCGACTACCTCAATCGCTTTGGCATCTGGATTGTTCCGGGGATTCTTGTCGTACAAGCAGTCCACATCGGTCATCAGGAAGAGGTAATCCGCATGTACCATGCCCGCGGTAATCGCACTCAGAGTGTCGTTATCTCCAAACTTGATCTCCTGTACCGAAAGGGTATCATTCTCGTTGACGATCGGAATGACACCCATGTTGAGTAATTCATGGAAAGTGTTCTGGGCATTGAGATATTGCGATCGATCGGCAATGTCGTTCCTGGTGAGAAGGATCTGCGCGACAGGCTGGCGCATATGCATGAAGAGTTGGTCCCACATGGACATGAGCTTGCACTGTCCTATAGCTGCAAGAGCCTGGATCTGAGGAAGCAGTTTCGGTCGTCGTTCCATGTTCATCTGCCGTAGGGCCATTCCAATGGCTCCTGACGAGCAGATGACCACGCGGTGGCCCTCATGGCGGAGGCTGATTGCGGTTTCGACAATGGTGGATAGGGTGGACAGGAGCGGCTCGTGTGTCTTCTCGTCCACTATGGATGAAGTGCCTAGGCCACCATTAGCACAGTCAATCCCATGCCCCTCGATCCGACCCCTCAGAGCGTTTACTAGTACTATACCAAGCTTGATCACGATTGTGAGATGTTTCTCCTTCATTCTGGCCGTTTCCAATGTACTGCCTCCCTTGACCTCTCCCTGCTCCAGCTTTTGTAAGTCGATGGTGCTCCCATTGACTTGTAGGGCGCTGGGCAGCTCCATCAGAGCAGCCGAGGTGAGTGATCTCAGCGAATGCAACAAGTCATGCAAGTGGAAGCTTGTGAGAATGACGAGTGATCTTCGAGGGATCTTCGAGGGGATCTTCGTGAGCATTTCCGCCAAGGAAGCGATGTCGGTCGTGGCTGCTAAGCGACCTCCGCTACAGGAGCCAATCACAAGCAAGCTCTAGAGCCCCAGGAACGCCACCCAATGGGGAATAGCGTGCCGAAGCAGAGATGAGGACTCGGGACGGAGACTTCCGTAAACCATACAGTCGGGTCGGCTAAAGAAAGCCATTATTTCAACTGAATGGTGGTGATAAATGCAGAGGTACCTAGTACGGAAGCAAGTACCACAGGGCGTACTGTCGACGCATTGACGGAGGCGAGAGTCGAGTTCACCTTGCTCGGTTCATCTCAAACTCTTTGCCTGCCCGGGAATCGACTTGACCATGCTCGATTTTTGCCTCCTGTATCGTGCACAAGACAGCTTCCAATAATGCTATTTGCTCTAAGCTACTTTCATACACTCGTGAGAAGTTGGGTATCTGATATCGTGATCACATAACCGCTCTGACCTTGAGCGAAGAGTCATTTCCGTCTGCGCGCCTGAAGCCACGGTTCCTTCTAGGACTGGAACAATAAGCCGGCCGCGTACTCAACATTGCCATCGCACGCATCCAATGCTGCAACAGCTTGTTGCTGTGAGAATCCCAAATTCTGCAGCTGCTCAATCTTCTCCTTACTGTGCCCCACTGCTGCTGCCGATGATGGTGCACCCGCGCCTGACGCTGCGCCCGGTGCTGCAGAAACTGGCCTCGAGCTGGAAGCACCCGCTCCAAGAGTCTGACCCTGTCCTTGGAAAGAGTCACTGTGCTTTGCAGCCGAAGAAGACGAAGCTGCGGCAGCAGACGTGCCAGCTGGCTGAATGGTGCCACTCTTTGCCCCAATCTCAGTGCCGTTCGGCCCTTTGATCGTCGGCTCAGCAGCCTGTGCGTCCTCAGAGAACTTTGGGAGATCTGCCTCTCCTAGGAACGGGACATCGTTGCCGTCGCCGAAGATGAGCTTGTTCTGCCGCAAGTCGATCACAGCTTGGAACCGCTTCAGCATGTCTAGTCCAAGTAGGAGGTCAACATCTTTGCCTTCCATGACAGTGAAAGAGCAGGACATGGTTTGACTGCCGATCCGTATATCCGCAGAGTGCACACGGCCCAGAATTTGAGCAGTGCCGACGCCCTTGGCGATACCAGAGTAGCGCTTATCGATAAGTCGCATAATGCCACATGCCTCAGCACAGGATGGAGACATGATGGTCGTCTGCGCGCCAGAGTCAACGAAGGCCTTCACAGGCTTCTTGTTGACCTCGACGGGAATGTAGAGCATAGTGACTCTTCCGAATACTGCAAAAGTTAGTTGCTGACCAATGTATGTCGTGTTTGTCCACAATCCTGGCTACAATAGAAGTATGATCAGACCTACCTTCCGGGTTGTGCTCGTACGCAAACTGGAGGTTCTCCTGCACCGACTCTTGCCGAATCATCTCTTCAATTTTCTGTTGGGCTTCAATGTTGAAAGGATCCTCATTCAGCAGCCGCATCTGCTCCTGACGCTCGCGGTCTCGATCGGAGTCCTCTCTCACCATCTCCAGCCATATTTCGCGGAAGCGATTCGGGTCATTGATGGCAGCGTGTAGCGCAGGTCGTTGTTCTCTGATCTGATTGACAGCGCCCGGATTGCTCAAGATGCTGAGGCGCGTGGTCTCAATCTCCTCTGTATTATTTGCTGGACCTCTCCGCGCAGTACCCTGTTGGGGGCCTCGCCTCTGCCCACCCATATTGTTCTGCGGTGGCCGACTCATGAGCATAGCAATCAGATCGCCATCCTTAACGCCGGCGTCGTCTAAGCTTTTGGCGTCGTCTTGTAGGGCTTGATTGTTGAGGAAAAACTGCTGGGCAGTCTGAGGGATTTGAGTCTCAGCAGTCACGAAGCTCTTGAGGTCACCGACGGATAGCTCGGAGGGCAGGTCCAGGTTAAGGAGCTCCTGGTCGAGCTGGTGGTTGGGAGCAATGATTTGTATAGTGATGCGTGTCCTGCCATGATCACACACTGGTCAGCTCGGGTGTACATATTGTCTCTGTGCTTGGTGGTGGTGATGGCGGTGGTGATGTTGTTGCGCAATGGGTGGCACAGGCATGTTTTTGCGGTGAGACCATCGCCAGTGCGGTGTGATCGTATATTGAGGGATGGTGGCTAGTTGTACTCACATGTTGCCGGTGCTTTTGCCTCTGTCGTACTTCCTTGCGAGAGCTCAGATATGCACGTCGCCTGAAGCAGCAGCAGACAGGATGCCGCTGGAATGCCGGCGGCAAGCACAGTCGCACCCGTATGGACGCTTGCCTCTCTCTGTATCTCTCGCGCGCGCTCGCTCGCTCGCTCGTTCCGCTCTCTTTCCTCCCGTATAGCTGGGTGGAGGCTGCTGGAGAATCGCTTGGCTCAGGATAGACACAACGAGAAGGGGAGGTGGGTGGCGGTCGGCGCGGGGGGTGGGATGGTCGATGCTACCACAGTCTCATGACTGGCCAACAAATACAGACACGGATGGTCCGAGAGGGTGGAGGTGGCGGCAGTGAAGGGTCGGGGTCAGGCCAGGCTGCTAGCTCGATGTAATGGCCCGCGTCTCAGAAGCTGCGAGAAGACTGAACGGGACACGGCCGCGTCGAGTTAGTAATGCTGGGAGGTGGTGGTGGTGGTGGTGGTGGTGATGATGATGTAGCAGAAGCAGAAGCAGTAGGCGTACATTTGTAGCTAGAAGTACAAAAGAGCAGGCAGGCAGGCAGGCGACAGGCAGGCAGCTGTAAGCAGCGCAGAAGAACGAACGAGCTTACCGGCGCCGAACAGTACCTAAGGTTGGTTCTTGGGCACTTCACAGGCTCACACACTTCACTTGGCCATGAGATAGGTACTATTATTGCCGCTTCTCACGTGGTCTGGCATGGCATGGCGTGGTGTGGCATGGCATGGCGTCGCATACCTCCTAGTATGGGGAGTGGGACTATGGGCCTGACATGCACTGCTCGTGTCGGTGAGGATGATGGAGCGCTGGCCGTCTCTTGCGTGCGTTGCGTTAGGTAGTGAGGTTCCGTGCGCCTGGATAGCGATACAGAACTGTGTCTCGCGATGCATGCAGACTCGACGCATACCTGTCTGCAGTAGTTTTATTTTATAACATGAGGTAGACACGATTGCTGCCCCTCGCCGAGTGGCGGCTCACTATATGTAACTCAGGTACATGAGGTATCCATGGAACCAAGGGTACACCTACAGGAGAGGAGGTACCTTATGTAACAAGGGAGTTCTACTGCCGTCAAATCCCTGTGTGCCGATCGATCTTGGCTGCTTGTATGCTTTTGAGATAGACTCAGGTACCTTTGGCTGATGACTACTGTACTGCACCTACATACATCCATACCAGGCATTTCATCAGTGTCTATTATATATCCCATCCTTGGCATAAACCATCAGAAGTCGCCACGTCGACTTCATCTTGCTCGTGATCAGCGTAGCGACACTGCATACGCTAGGGTTACTGTGCTACATCCAGTACGCACGACACCTGCAGCACAGCACGCGGGAGGCCACTCAGCACATCGGTCTGTACTGCCAAACACTCGGCTGGTCTTCGCAGAACCTGGTTGCACAGTCGCAGAATTGTCTGTCCTCGCCATACCGGCCCTGCAGTTCCGCCGACAAGCATGCCGCGTGATCTGGCTTCATTGCTCTCGCAGGCCACCGAGGACACTCTCGATAATATGCCTCAACTGTCAAGCCAAAACAAGGAAGCCGGATCTTCACATCTGACTGCCGATCCCGACCACGACTATGACTCCGACTCGACCGAATACATCGACGAGCTGGGCCAGAGCAATGCAAAGCGCGATCCACTCCACCCCTACACCCAGACGCTTTCCCTCTCCGATATTGAAAGCTGTATCCGACTGGAAGACGCCGCCTTTCCGCCCCACGAACGATGCACTCGAGAAAAGGTCAGTCTCTGTCACAAAGCACGCCATACTGCGGCAGTGACATGTTGGTGATACGCTCTCGCGGTATGCGTTGTCTTCTACTTTCGTGGTGTCGTGCTGCTCTTGTCTGAGAGGGATGGCCAAGCCGCTTCCTGATACGAGAGCATTGCTGCAATCCCCTCTCCGTTCTCTTTACAACACGTTCTGTTGGGAGTTGGCTGGCTCCCCCATCTCTTTCTTGCACTTGGGCGTCAATGTCCTTCCAAGCCTCTATTGCGTTCAGAAGCATCCACTTCTGTATCACTTGCACGCGTTTCACATACATAGCCCGCCACCTGCACATTCCTAAAACTGAAAGCCTCCGCACGCACGGCCTTTTGAGGTCTGGGCAGTCTGCATACAGAACGCTCCGAAAGGCCTATTGCTAACTGATTCCCCCAGTTCTACTACCGTCTGAGGCACTGTGGCGAGCTCTCCCTGGGCATATTCACCTCCGAGGAGAATTCCGAAGCCACTACGGCTTCCACAGCGTCCCCAGCATACAGCGGTGCACCCGAGCGCAAATCAGTCCTATTGGGTCACATTGTAGCCACCATGACAACCAACGCAACTGTGACGGACGACGATATGGCCATTCCTACACGGGAGAATCCCGATCCCAAGCTCGGGAACAAATCGCAAGGCCGCACAGTCTGCATACATAGCTTGGCGGTGCTTCCCGAGTATCAGAAACGCAGTTTGGGGAGTACGCTGATGAAGGCATATCTCCATCGACTCAAAACGCAGAGTGTAGCCGATCATGTTGCATTGATTGCGCACGATTACTTGATACCGTATTATGAGCAATTTGGTTTTCGCAGTTTGGGGCCCAGCAAGGCCCAGTTTGGTGGGGGTGGATGGTATGATATGACGATCGATATAAACGCGATCGAGGACGACGAGTAACCCCGACCAATCGAAGATGATGACGTATATGAGATGGAGACATAATGCGGCAAATGCTTGGAATCATAAACGATATGAGTGACTGATTGATAGGATACGAATCTATCATGTTGTACTTTCCTCTCAAAAGAAAAAAGAAAAAAGAAGATAGAGCAAAGAGAAAAGAAAAAGGCCGTGCCCTTGAAATGCCGTGACGACTTACTTACCCTGAACTGACTTACCTGTGAGATGGCGCATCGGCATCGTTGAGACACCAATATGCCTCCTACCAAGAGAAAGACATTTCCAAGACCTTCTCCTCCATTCACATCATCCTTCCATTCCATTCCACTACCTTCCCCACTTTTACATTATGACGGGACCTGCGGGAGTAAAGGGAGTTTTACCTGTTACAACAACCACATGTGCTGCGAGCATATACTATTAAAGCAGGCAAGGTAGGTTTTGTGAAGTGCCCGAGTAAGAGAATAGGTATTCATGAACAGGTGGAATTTCATATTTCGAGTAATTGGGGGGTTTTTCTTTTCCTTTTTCCTCTCTTTTCTTTTTCCTTTTCCCCTTTTTTCAAACCCCCTCACTCCCTCCTCCTTTCTCATCCCTATCCCTATCCCCATCCCCATCCTTTCCTCCCCTCCTCCCCTCTCTCCTCCCTCCCCCTCCCCACCTCCTCACACTACACCAATTATACCCCACCCAAGAAGCCCCCATAACGACGACCATCAACGGCACGGTAATCGCCACAAAAAACAAAAACTTGGCCTCCACCGTAATCACCATATGCCCTCTGGTCGACGCATCGAAATTCAAACCCCCCATTTGCAAAAACCCCGCAGTAAACGTCGGAGGGATAAAAAAGAGGGTGACGAGGGCAATGAGGCGAACGGCGCGAGCTTCGAGAATGGTGCGTTCAGTCATGCGTTCCATGTTGTGCGAGGAGCGGAGTTGGATGAGATTGTGAATCGATGTGAAAGTTTGGGAGAGGCGCGAGGTGATGAGGTGGAGGTGTGTGCGGTGGAATTGGAGAGTGGTGAGAGTTTCGGTGGTGCTGTGGATGAAGGTGGAGAGGTTGTTGTTGTCGGTGTTATGGTTACTCCTGCCATTTCTGGCGGATGAGGAGGAGGAGGAGGAGGAGGAGGAGGAGGAGGAGGAGGCGCGCTGTTGGGCAATTTGAAGGGCGGTTTGGAGAATGGTGATGTTATTGCCGAGGACGTGGTCGGCTTGCTGGAGTCGATCCATGAGCTCGGAACAGGTTTGGAGGGAATGGGAATCTGCTTCGTCGATGCGTGGTTGCCGGGGATCGGTAAAGTATGCGTCGTTGTAGACTTCCTCTACTGCTCGATAGAGTGCTGATGTATATTCCGACCAGTTCGCAGGCAGGCTCTCGAATACGAGCTGTGGGAGCTGCATCCAGTTCTCGTATGGCTTGACGGCGGGCGTGGTGGAAGATTTCTTGTACTGATGTCGTAGGTCGTGAACCAGTTGGATTGATGGGTTGACGAGGAGCGCGGTTTCGAATTGTCGGTCGGCGTGGAATGATTGGTAGAATGCCATTTGCCGTACTGACCAGCGTTGCACTTCGCAGTAGCCCTCGCGGGCTTTCCAGACAGGAGGAGAGGGCCGGCCGTGAGTCTCGACATACTTGAGAAGATAACAGAGTTCGAGCAGTGGATTCTTTGTGGTACTCGAGTGGTGATGGCTGTAATGTGCAGCTGCTTTACCATTCTGAGAATCCATCATGTCTCGATGAAAAGCGCCGAGCACGTTGTGCAGAGCTGGAAAAGCATCAATGTGATCGAGGAGTGCTTTCAGGACGCCAGTCTCGGTATCGATGTGGTCTCGAGAGTGCTGTGATTCGATGCGAAACAGTCGCGTCTCTTGTCGCCTCTGAGGGTCGAAGGCCTCGCTCAGGTAGTCTTCGACATCTGTTGCAGATTTGGGTGGACCGCTGTTGAAAGGTGCTGGAGCGAAGCTCGATGTTGGGCTGATTTCCCAGGCTTTCAGCGTGGTCATTGCGGTGCGTGGTGTTCCCCCTATGGTGTGCTGCGAGAGTCCTGAGCTCATACGCGAGGCCGTCTTCATGGTGTTTGACATTGGTTCTGGCGACGACGACATGATCGGAGAGTAGGTACAGTACAAGTAGGACAGAGAGAGAGAGTAGTAGGTGCAAAACAGCAAGGAGATTCCGTATAATCTATGTCATGTTTGTTCTTGGACTACTTCTGAGCAGCTTCATAAGAACGAGAAGAATGCATCAACATAGCCTCTTTGGTGAGATGTCAGGCGAGACATTCTCTGAGCACAGCCGTCAGCAGCTGAGGGACGGTAGAGGTTACACGAGGGAAGTACCTAGGTACCTAGCTGGTACCTCCTACTTGTTCAAGTGAAGTGTGGCTCAAGTTAATATTCCTACAGCCGAGCTCATGCAAGGCTAGGCCTCTCCTTATTAGCGCGCCATATAGCACAGCACAGCACAGCACAGCGCAGTGCCGCACTAATGTAGTGTATGCATAAGCCATGAGGTCGCCCCCTACCCGTCAGCCATTTATTCTTCTTCACGCACGCCCCCCGTTTCTCATCGTTGTGTACTGTATTCCCCAATCCAATTAACTCCGTTGCATAGGTAAGGTGCCGTATATACCCTTTCGGAGGCGAAAAACAAATTACTTTCACGTGCAATCAATTTCCATCCTTCTAATCTTCATCCTCATCATCATCCTCATACTTGGTCCCCGTATTATTCTTATCTTCGAGTAATTTCACCTCGTCCTGTATCTCTCCAGCTTGGTTAGTGGAATTGCATAAATACTTTCCCAACAAAGCGACCTAGAGATAACGAAAGCTGAAGCAGCAAGCAGCAAGCAGATGATATACCCACATCTCGAAGTAGCCGCGCTGCCCAAACTCGATGCGTGCCATTTGGTCGAGTCTGTATTTCAACCAATTAAAAAAAAATCGAACATGTCGCAAGTCAGCAAAGCGTGATTTGATTAATGATGACAAGTTCAGAAGACACCCAAATAAAAACAAAACAAAAAAAAAGAATAAAAAATAAAAAATAAATTTACATCAACATTATAATTCTGAATATTCTTCTTCCTTCGTGCATCGTACACGGTAGGATATTCTTGTTCCATGTAATCGATAATATCCTGGCGTCTCACATAGTGCTTGATATTCGTCACTACCCAGGTTCGACGCTCGTTGACGAATACCGGAATGGTGGTGGTGGTGGTGGTGGTCACCATGACTGGTATTGCTTGCCTTGCAAGACTGTTTTGCTTGCTTGGGCGAAATCGGTGGTTGGTCAACCGGTCGGTTGGTCAACCGGTCGGTTGGTTGGACAGGAAGAAGAAGAAGAAGGCAGGGCAAGGCAAGGCAATGCAGATCAGGTCAGATCAGATCGGTCGGGAGCGGGAGGATTTCTCTTCTTTTGTTTTTCTTTGGTTGGCAGAGGTTTTCGAGAGGGGGAGAGACTAGGTTGCGAAAAAGAGGAACAGAGGGAGAGGGAGCTGATAAAGCGTTGGCAAGGCGCAGGCAACGCCCTGCCACGTCAATGGTCACGCGAAATGCTCGGCGCAGCGGCTTAGTGAAGAGTCACAGATGGATGCTTTCAAATACAGAGAGACACAGCCACACACACAGACATATGTATGTATATATATGTATGTATGTATACCTACATATTGGGTAATTACGGGTCAGTCCACTATGACTCCCTCCCTCCCTCCCTCCCTCCCTCCCTCCATCATCTCGACTCCAGCGGTATGGGCTGTTCCTGTCTTTGTCGTGGCGGAAAACACGATGAAACCTTCTGCCATAGGTCATGCCAGATACGCACTACAATGTTCGGATCGGTGCCATCAAACACAGTATACAGCAATCGAGGACCCAGACTCCTGCTGTCGAGTGTGATGCTGTTGTAAAACTCATAACTCTCCGTAGGATGCCGGTGCGGGCCCTTGAGCACATCGCACCAGTCGCAAACACGATACGCGTCGTCCGTATCGTCCACCCCATGCAGTTGCTCTTTCATTTCGAAGCCAAAGAAGCGATACAATTTGCGCGCCGTGGTGTACCGCACAAATGCGTACCAGTACATCAGTCCCGCTAACATGATGCCGAGCAGAACGTACAGCAAGCGGCGTCCAGGTGAACTTTTGCAAGCGGCTCCGATCACGACCACGCTGGAAGCAAAGACGGATGAGCCGAGCAGTAAAGGACCACTCCACGGCGCGGAAGCTGGTCTCAGCCATCGGGGGGGATAGCCGTGCTGCGCATCGCCATCTTGCTTCTTGGTATGCCAATTCCAGGCCGGGAAGTACTTGACAGGACCAGTCTGGAATCCAAAATGGCCAATGTTGATGAATAGCAGCGCAATCACCGCTTCCGCCCAAAAGTATCCAAAGACCAAGATCTGATTCGCGAATGCGATCGCATCGCTGAGGCTGTCAAATTTGGCAGTCCCGCATATCCAAATGACAGTCGTGATCCAGTGCAGAATGATGCCTCCTTCAGGTGTTCCAGGCCGGTTCAATGGCCGCTCTTGAAACTTATACTGTAGCTCCGGCTTGCCATGCTCGTCTTTCACCAATTCATAATCGGGCTGTATTCGTCCCTGGCGTCTCCATACATGCGACCACGGGAGGATGTTCGCCCATCCAATACTTTGCTTGACTCTCACACAGGTGTAGGACACACTGAGAATACTCCCGAAAGCAGAGAGCGCAACGCAAACACATGCAGCGACTGCACCGGACCCGCGCAGTGCTCCTTCGGGGTCAGCGCCGAAGTACAGAGCCAAGGGTAGCATGGGCACATTGTCCCGTTTGTCTCCGGGTGCATCGTTCGGTTGCCAGTCGAAACTAGCACACTTTTACTTGTCAGCACGAATGCTTCGCAGCGCGCAAAATCGCCGATGCTCACCACAAGAACCGCCATGGAAATGTAGAGCGATCCAACACCCAGGACAGCTAACAAAAAGCCTGGCGAGCAGATGGATTGAATGTCAGTCAGTGTCGAGAGACAGTAATACATATCATGCGAGATTGGCGTAGCTACCTCGACGAAGAACTTTGAACGATGAGACCTCGCCAGCGACCTGTGCCTGTGTCAGCGAGACTCACCAGGAGCTTCACATGAGACTCACCAGTGTAGCGTTTTCCCTATATCGTTAGAACGGCATCTGTTAGCCCAGGGCTCGAGTCTATGGTCATTATTGATGTGTGCGCATTACCAGCCGTGAAAGCTGAAGAGCACCGTGATGAGCGCCCGCGCCCAGTCGACGGGGGGTGTCGTCGGACTGGTCGCGGTCATCTGCCACTGGTCCAGCGTTCCGCTGAGATACTTTGCAGCTTGCTCCCGAGGTGCGCTCGATGCAGATGCAGCCCGCTGTTTGGCGATATATGCTGCGCCTGCGAAGATGGCGCCCAGTAGCAGGAGGACTTTTGCTCCCGCAGTCGCTTTGTTGACCGACTTGCTTTTCGTGTTTGAGACGTATAACAAGATGGACACCGCGGTGATGGCCACCACCGCCATGAATCTCAGACGAGATTGATGGTCATCGAGTGCTTTGCTCGGCAGGAACGAGAGATCCGATGCTGCGAGCACAAACCGCGCGAAACTCATGCAGTTCGCAGCGGAGGTATACAAGAAGACGAAGTAGAAGACGTAGAGCGTATATCCCAGCAGACGTGGTTTGGGCAAGGCGTCATCCAACTATATCAGGTACCATGTCAGTATGCGTGTCCCCGAGAGGCCGAGAGGAATAGTCCGCCCAAGCATACATAGACCAGCTCGCCACCCGTGAAGGGAAGCTTTCTGGCATACTCGATGTACAAGATCATGCTGTGAATAGACTTAGCTGTGATTCTGCTGAACGCATAGAAGCACCAGAAACCCCAACCTCAACAGCGTGTACACCATACCAAAAGCCCACAGGCCGATTGCGAGGTTCTTGTTGAGTGTGAACTGCAAGACGATGGACGGGCCCGTGAAGATGCCTGAGGTGTCAGACATGTCAGCATTTGCCTTGAGATATGAGGTGGGCAATTCACATGAGCTGGTTAGAGAGATGGACAATTCCGACAGTGCTTACCAGTTCCAATCATCTTGTTTGTTATCAAGGCGGCCACATCCAATGAGGAAAGATTCCGGATTTCTCGAACACGACGATCAACACCCGTATCGTCGACATCGTCGCTGTCCTCTTCAATCACGAATCGAGCAGGCCATTGGTCCTGTTCATGAGTCGCGGACGGCCGTGTGCCCACAGAGGAGCCTTCGTCGACGTCGGCATGGCCTGTCCTGGCCTGGAGACGAGCATTCGGGCTGCCGTTCATGATGGGACCGAAACGAGCCGAGCGAGCAGCAGTAGCAATGGCCGAATTGCCTGGCAGAAGACCGTGACTGGCTTACATATCAAAGTGAAGCTACGAATCTGATCGATATTCATCGCCCTACAAGCGCTCGGTCCCACTCAACCCACCCTTGCCTACGGAACACGATGCTGGCGGCCGCGCTGGACAGGATGGGCGGGACTGTGTGACCTGCAGGCAGAGAAGCATGCGCGTTGAGCTGAGCTCAAAGCGAAAGAGGCTGGAAAGGCTCGCACAGACACAGGAGGCGGAGCGGCTTAGCTTGTGTTCCCGTTCGAGAAGGGAGGCGATACAAACGACTTCGCTTGTAGTGGCTGCAGAGAAGGGCCTTGATTCGCAGAGATGCTCACCGGGCCAAGCGAGGCTGGACTCGGTCTACCAGCGGGCGCTCGCTCTCTGCCCCCCCGCGCGCGCGCTCTTGTAGGCGAGCCCAGCTGTGTGCCTGCATGCGTGCATGCGTGCTGGGATAAGCATCCGCAGCGCAGACGACGAAGCACATCTAGGAGGGACCGGAGTGTAGGAGGGAGTGAGTCCTCACCAAAAGTTCTAGAACTATGGCACCGATATGGCCACCTCGTCGTCCTTGTGTCCTCCCTCCCCTCCCCTCCCCTCCCCGTCCGCCCCATCCACATCTCGCTGATCAGTCCCTTCTCGTGCTTGAGACGCCGCCCTTCTCGTCGTGCTGTATGCGCCGCCCTTCTCGCCGTACTGTAGACCTCCGACGTCTTTCCAATGTCCATGATAATCGCGCGGTACGGAGGCTTTCCTGTGGCGTGTCTCGATGACCACATTCCTCAGCTATGCCTCTTCCCTGGGATGTAAGAACGAAGACGCGCTGGCCCTCATCCGCCGGCACTGTTCCAAGGATAGCAGCATCCGCCGCGAGGGAGAATACCATGACCACGACGACGCCGATCTGTTGCCGACTCCACAACGACTGCGCCAAGCCTTCCCGGCCGACGCCGAGAGCCATATCAGAATCCAAGACTTTCTCCACTGCCTCTGTGTCCTCTGCAAACCACAACATGGCGCCCTCGAGGACGACGACCGCGAGCGCCTTCTCCCACACGAAATCCTGAGCAATGACAAGACGTTGAAGGCCTTTGCCACGCTGATTCTGTCCGGCTGTCTCTTCGCACTGCGCGAGTACGTCAAGAGTGAAGATGACCTCAAAACATTCACCAAGTTCATCGGCAATCCGGGCAGAGCCTTGCGTCGACGACTGTTTCGCTTGGTCGGCACGGACGATGCGCTGTGTCCGCACACCGAGGAGACACGGCCAGCCACCACGTTGTTGTCACAGCAGTGCGTGACCTGTCTTGCCTCGACCTTTCGCGAGTGTGTTGGCCGCAAGTTCCGCCTGCAAACGATCAAGACGCTCCGGAAATCAGACAAGATCGAAGACTACGTTCTGTCCAGGACGAATCTTCCTATTGTGCTGGAGCACGAGGATCAGATCGACAAACCTTCCAGACCAGGCGTGCGCTTTTCTCGTTGCAAGATTGAAGCCACGCACTGTCTGAGCGAAGAGCTGACGGTATGTAGTCGATGGAACATAGCAGCTCATTCGGCGACCTAACAGTCTACCAGCAGCATGAGTTATTCCGCAAGAGGTATCGCCTGTTACCAAGCGATGGACACCACGACCACGAGCCCACTCCCTCCGACTTGGAAACCGTCACACTCGAAGAGAAAGAGGCTTCCATTGCTTTGGCGCTTGGCAGTCTTGATCACGCGAACATCGCCAAGGTGATCCTCGTCTTTCGAGAAGATGCTGATGATCCCCACTTGAGTCTCCTATTCAAGCGCGAGCAACACAATCTCGAAGAGTATCTACAGGAATTCACTTCTGCAAATCTGCTTGGTGGGTTCGTCAGTCGCGTCTGGGAACATACCATCCTGCTCGACCATGGCCTTTGGCGAAATCTCCTGGGAATCGTGGACGCTGTCGCCACCATACACGAGGTAGCCGAAGGGGGAAAGCAACCCCGACGGCTTGGTCCGCCTATCTTCGGTCATTTCGATATCAAACCTGCAAACATTCTCGTCAGTGATGGCGGAACTCTGCTTCTCACCGACTTCGGCCAGGCAGCATCTCGCACCGTCGGGACAAGTGACTACGCGCCACCGGAGCACGAGCTCAGCAATCGTGTAGAGCTGGTCCCTAGCTACGATGTGTGGTCCATGGCTTGCGTCTTGCTTCAAGCCTTGGTCTTTATACGTTCCGCGGCCGAGGGCGGCGAGCAAGAAGGCAAAAACGCTGTGCATACCTTCTACTCACAACGCCTGCACGAGACTGAACACAATCAAGCAGGTGCCTTTTGGATCAAGAATCACCATGGTCCGGGCTCATCCCTGAGGAAGGCGGTGGACAATGAGCTGACACAGCTCGCAACCCGCCGGCACCCCAAGACGAAGGTCGTCGTCAACCAATTACGGCAAATGCTGTCTGTCAATCCCGTACGCAGACCAACTATTCGAGAATGTCTGAAAGTGTTCGGCTCCTCCGGATTAGGTCGAGACATATTCCGCACACCTGGAGACATTAATGTAGAGCCCGAGCTCGCAAACTGGTAAGCATGTCAGATGCCCTTGTGTGTGTGTGTTCATCACCAAGTTAACGCCTTGGTCTAGGATCACTTCTTTCAGCACTGAAGTCCAACGAGAGCCTGTGCCTTGCCGACTTCAGCTGTATCGAGCACTACAATCACGGCGAGGGCCACCAGAAGTCAACCTCACTTTGGAGTATGAAGGCGAGCCCTCTACGCACTCTCGGACAGACATGAGTGAGTGACGCCTGGTAACAAGTATCGGCAGAGACTGACCAACTTCAGGATCTGTGCACGAAGTAGCACTCGTCCCTATTGCTCTCTTCAATACCAACATCGTCGCTGGTCGCAGCTTTAGTCAAAGCTCTCAAACCAGTCGCGATGGCACCACCTTGAGACTTGGCTTCATGAATTTCTTTCGCGGAGTGACCCTGCACTTCCTTGCTCCTGCTACTTACCTGGAATTCATGACTTTGATGACACACCAGATGATCCTGCCGGATGCCCGCACAGACCACCATGATACGAAGGGGGCCGGCGTGCGCTTCAAGTCTTGTAAAGTGGTAGAACGTCGAGACTGGCCACACCGGAACAGAGAGCATGAATTTACCGACGGCATTGTCCAGGTCTGGGAAGCTCTGAGTCCCGAGGCATACGAAAGCCGCTATCCGCACGTTGATTCGACTCTCACTCACGAACCGCTTCGTCGCGCGCCTCCTGTCACTTATGATACCGTTCAACGCCTTCCCGTACCTCCACCGGCGCAGATCAGCAGGTATAAGATGGCGCTATTTGGCCTCGAGAAAGCAAGTCGCTTGCGATGTTGTCTGATTGCCGATGGTAAGGCGAGCTCCCCACCACCATTGGAGTCGAGATGTACTAACACATGCATTCTCAGTCGGTACGGACAGCTACACCTTGGAGAGCAAAGCTTCTGCGCACTCATTGGAATTCATCGAAAAGAGTGAAGCCAAGTTCCGATCTGTTGTGTATCGCTCCCAGAGTCCGGAAAGCTATCCCGGATTCCCCATCTCACCGGATGTTCTTACGACACAGATCAAAGACTTGGGAATCAGGACATCGAGTATCCTACTAGAAATGGAGCGCGACTGCAGTAAGAAGGCCTACTTCTGATATTCCTTTTCGCCGCTCTGAGCTGACACTCTGAGCAGACCACCACAGAGATCTTCGACGACTGATTGCCGGGGGACCAGGGACACCCATCAAGCCAGTATAATGTTTATGATGTTGTTCAATCCATGATACCCACTCCTGCTTTATCACTCTAGCATGTACGCGTGCATGTATACCTATATATATATCAGATTCCCCACCATTACTTCTTGCTCTTGATCAAAACGACACGACCTTCCCACGGCATCAACACGTTCTCTTGCGGCTCCTCCACACTACAGACCAAAACCTCCCTCTCGCCCGCCATCTCATAATGCGGAAGGGGTTGCGTCTCCCCCGTGAAATTACACAACACCAACGCCACAAGATCCCCCGACAACGACTTCTTCACAAACGCCATCACCTTCTCATTATTCCTCTCCTGCTCCAACAACTCCATCTCCCCAAACACAAACACCTCTTTCCTCTCCGCCCGCATCCGCAACATCCTCTTCCAAAACTCCAACACCGAGCCTTCCACCCCTTCTTGACAAGCAACATTAATCCTCTCCTTGGTCGCCGCGCCATCATTCACTCGCATCCACGGTTTGACGTGTTCGCCGGTGAATCTGGCGTTGGGGAGATCTGGTGTCCATTGCATCGGGGTGCGGGAATTGTCGCGTGCGAGATGTTGCATGGAGAGGATTCCGAGGGCGAGTTTGGAGGGGTCTTTGTGGCTGGCAAATTGTTGGTGGAGAAAGTCGTACCAGCGTTGGGATTCGATGTCTTTGTATTCGGAGGGAATGGGCCAGGTGAGGGGGATGTTTATCATGCCGATTTCTTGACCTGTTTGGTTTTTTTTTCGTCAGTGGATGTTTTTTTTTGGTTGATGAAGGAGGGTATTCTTCTTTTCCTCACCTTGATAAATATACATGGTCCCCGACAACGTCGCCTGCATCACCGCCAACATTTTCCCCGAAGCACTCCACGCCTCCGGGGTACTATCATCTCCAAACCGCGAAATACTCCTCGCCATATCATGATTTTCAAAAAACGTCGTCGTCCACCCATCCGTGCCCAAAAAGACGCGCTGCGTCGTCTCAATCGCACCCATCAACGTCGGAAGATCCCACGAGCGCGGCGGCACCGTATACCGATTCGGTCTCCCATGTCCCACATTGACAACATCAAACAAAAACACACTACTCAACTCCCTTTCCTTCGCAGAAACATATTTCAACGTATGTTCCACCTCGCCCGCATTCCCACACTCTCCCACCGTCATGGCATCATATCGCGAAATAATCTCTCCCATTTCCTTCATGAATTCATGAATTCGCGCTCCATGATTCACCGTTGCACCCGCATGTTGAAATTCCTCTGCAGGGTCACGAATGGGCGCATCAGGGAAATTTTGATTTTTACTATACAACGAACAAGTATCGACGCGAAAACCATCGACGCCTAAATTCAACCAGAATTCAATCGAATCGGCATATAACGCTTTTCGCGCTTCGGCGGTTTCGAAATTGAAATCGGGCTGTTCTTTGGCGAAGAGATGGAGATAGTATTCTTGTGTCAAGTCGTCCCATTCCCACGTACTGCCGCCGAAATATGATCCCCAGTTGTTGGGTGGGTGCCGGTTTCCTTGCGCGTCGTAGCGTGCGGGTTTCCAAATGTACCAGTCGCGTTTGGGCGAGGTCCGCGAGGAGCGTGATTCGCGGAACCAGGCGTGTTCGTTGGAGGTGTGGTTGATGACGAGGTCGAGGAGGACTTTGAGACCGAGGGAGTGCGCGGTCGAGAGGAGAGTGGTCATATCGGAGATGTTGCCGTAGGGTTCGTAGACTTTTTTGTAGTCGCGGATGTCGTAGCCTGTGGCGTTGTGCTTCCAGTCAGTGAAATTTCCTATTTTCTTTTTCTCTTTTTTTCCTTTTTTTGGTGATGTTCTAATGAAAGAGGAAGAAGGAAAGAAAAGAAAAAAGCAAAAGCTGCATACCCATATCATGCTGTGGACTATCATACATGGGACAAATCCAAATGATGGTAGCGCCGAGATCTTTGATATATTGCAAACGTTGCGTGATGCCCTGAAGATCTCCTATTCCATCATCGTTGGAGTCTTGGAAACTTGCTGGATAGATTTGGTACACCACGCCAGATTTCCACCAGCTGTCCGAGGAGGAGGAGGAGGTGTCGGACATGTTGTTGGTCGGTGTAGAGAGAAAGGGGGAAGAGAGGGATGCGGAAACGATCTTTGGGCAGAATCGAGGAGGACTGAGCAGAAACAAGCGCCGTCAAAGATGCCGTGTGGTGTAACTGATAGCAGAATCCATTGTATAAATAGTACTTTTGACCAGTCGGTCGGTCGGTGGTGTTGATAGCGGTTGGGTAGTAGTCGAAAACAGCCCCTAGATATATTAAAAAAGGCAGAATAATCAACCGGGCGGTTAAACTGCTTCTTTGCTCGCTTGCCTATTATTCATCCCCCCTGAGAGTCTTCTTCTTTTTGCTTCTTCTTCTTCCACTCCCCCCCATTCTCCATCTTAAGCGAGGAAACCAAAGACAAAACAAAGTTAGCTTTCAGATCTTCTTACCCCAAAAATCTCGGGGTCAATTCCCCCTTTCTCATCTTCATTCATCTGACAAGCAAGCATATATGTAGAACACGCCCTGAACAGGACAGTTACGCCGACGTGCTTGGGAGGGGGGGATGCGGAGAACCCAGTAGTTAAAAGAAAGTGTATCTTTCTTCTTTAGCGAGCGCCGAGCCCTTCATACACGTTGCTTGAACTCAGCCTTGAAGAGAGAAAGAGAGATTCTTGAGAGCCCTGGTACCCGGTAAAGCCTGTGTGGGTATATGATCCCTGAGGGGTTTGGGGTCAGAAAGTCAAAAATATGAACACCGGTCTCAACGGTGAATCCTCCCCCATGGGGAATCCCTGATCGTCTCATCTATTGCCAACATCTCGTGCTCGGGGTAATGAGGGGGGTGCCCCCCCTTACCCCTTGCCTCCCCCCCTTCTCTCTCTCGTGTTCAATTGTTGAAATAGGCAATTGTCGAGGCAATATTCTTAAAATATTTTCTTCGGGGATAGCCGAAGATGTGCTGCGCTGACTGGTGTGTTGAATATAAGTCGGAAATATGTGCAGTTGAATTGATCAGGCTATCAGCTAGGTATGCATCGAATAAGCTGGCTTGAAGATCTGATAGTAGAACGAACATATATCGAGTAAAAATGATCGGATGATGTATCCTATCATCCTAACGGCAAGTTGTTATTTTACGGGGCTGTGTAGAAGGATAGGACCCTTCTCCTCCACAAAGAGTAAGCCAACCATCATAATTATGATTATTGCTGAATCCTAGGGCGTGTGGTTTCATGCCACATGGTCGGGTGACACCGTGGCCGTGGCATAGAGGTCTGGTCCTGGCATACATACCAACAACCTGGGTACAACCGTACAGGTACATTTCCTGATAGAACAAGTAGTCTTTGGAACTTCCGCTTCGTCCTTGTGTCCTTGTCCTACTCCCAGCTCCTCCTCATTCTCAATTGGCTTATTAGCAGCCACGCGCCGTTGCCGACCTTTCGTCGGGCGCTTCATTTTGCTTCTTCTTCTTCACCCATTCTCCATTCCGCGAATCCCTCAGGATATATATACATCCTTCCTTACATACCCGCTATGGCGTCGATCGAGAGCCACATCGAACGACGTGACGGGATGCAGAGCGGTGCAACGCCCAAGAATGTTGCACACAATGCTTCTCGCGCTACCGATGCTGAGCATAGCATGAGTTTCTGGCAGAGCATCAAGAAGTATCCCAAAGCAGTCGGTTGGTCGGTCCTGCTCAGCACGGCGCTCGTCATGGAAGGCTACGACGTGACTCTCCTGGGCAACCTCTTCAGCCAGCCGGCGTTTCAAAAGCGATTCGGAGTGTCTGATGGGAAAGGGGGCTATCAGGTCACTGCCCCGTGGCAATCGGGCTTGTCGAACACTTTCAATGTGGGATCTATTATGGGTCTGCTGATTGCGGGCACGTGCGCGGAACGATTCGGGTACCGTAGGACGATGATGGGCGCTCTCACGATGATTATTGGCGCCATCTTTGTCGTCTTCTTTGCGAATGGGCTGCTCATGCTACTCTTTGGAGAGATCTTGTGCTCCATGTGCTGGGGCATCTTTCAAACTATCACGGTAACATATGCGTCCGAGGTGTGCCCCCTGACTTTGCGGGCATATCTTACCACATATGTCAATCTGTACGTTGTTTTCCCTCTTGCACCACATCTTTTTCGATTGATTGATTGATTGATTGATTCTGACCGATTGCTGACAATGTACGACGCATAGATGCTGGGTCATCGGACAATTCATTGGCGCCGGTGTGTTGAGGGCCGTGGTCGATCGAACGGACCAGTGGGCGTACAGGATTCCCTTTGCGATTCAATGGATCTGGCCCATTCCTCTGATCACTGGCATCTTCTTCGCTCCAGAATCGCCCTGGTGGCTCGTCCGCAAGGGACGCAATGCAGAGGCGGAGAAGGCGTTGCGGCGATTGACATCGGTGGACCCCTTGGACGAGTCCTCCACCAACGACACTTTGAGTCTGATCATCTATACTACCGAACTAGAGAAGAGTCAGCAAGAAGGAACCTCCTACTGGGACTGCTTCCGAGGCATCGATCTACGCCGAACTGAGATTGTCTGCTGCGTGTATGCCATCCAGGTTACGTGCGGCTGTCCCATTATGGGCTACTCGGTCTACTTTATGGAGCAAGCCGGCTTTAGCCCACGGAACGCCTTTTCCATGTCGATTGGCCAGTCCGGAATTGGAGCCATCGGTACCATCAGCTCGTGGTTCCTGATGGCACACGTGGGCCGAAGGACACTTTATCTGGCGGGAGCGGTACTCATGGCACTCGTGCTGCTCATCATTGGCTTCATTGGCCTGGCACCCAAGTCGAATACCGGTGCTCAATGGGGAATTGGCACGCTCTTGCTCGTGTTGACCTTTGTGTACGATATCACGATTGGCCCCGTCTGCTATTCCCTGACGCCCGAGCTGTCGTCCACTCGGCTGCGCAACAAAAGTGTCGTCCTGGCCCGAGTGGCATACAACATTGCCGGTATCCTTGCCAACGTGCTTCAACCATATATGCTCAATCCGACCTCCTGGAACTGGGGAGCCAAGTCGGCATTCTTTTGGGTCGCCACTTGCGCCATCAGTGTGGCGTGGATCTTCTGGCGTTTGCCGGAGCCCAAGGACCGCACATATGCAGAGTTGGACGTGCTGTTCCGAAACCGTACGCCGGCTCGCAAGTTCAAGACTACGACTGTAGATGCATTCATCTATGCTGAAGAAATTGAAGGGAAACTCGCCAAGCATGAAAAGGACACTACTGCTGTGCACATTGAAGAGCTGTAGTTAGGGATGAGAGGATCAGGGGTAACGAGAAAGGGGCGTGCGTGTCAATCAATTGATGATGGCAAAGTTATTCATCTCAGTCAAGTTGTCGAGATGTATACCAATTCCTCGAGTTGTTTGATGGTTTGATATTGTAGGTTGTTTGTGTAGAAAAAAGCTCACGACTTGGCATCACGCTAGGGGCGAATAGTTCTAGTGTGAGCCCGTTCACCTTTGCCCACAGCTAATAAGGAGGCACTACGCTCCACCATCATTTGACTTCACTTTTCATCTTTGCACGTGTTTTGTCTGCTGCTGCGATATTTCGTTAACGGTTACCCCGAGGCTATTCAATCCAACAGCGGAGTCGCCTCGTATCACACGCCTCGTGCGAACATGGATGCCCACATGCTAGCACAGGTATCAACTATGGCTATCCGTGCTACAAGCAGAGCCCCTGGCCACCGGCACTTACTCACTTCTTACACCCCAGTTGGCCCCGCCAGGATAATCCTTCATACGCCTTTGACAGGCTCCAGCAGCTCAGGATGCACCATCAGACAGCAGTGGTAATGGGTATAGTGGTCTCTAGTCCTACAAGTGCAGCACATATGCTCATAAAGTCCTCCTCAACAGAAGATAGACAGCTTGCAAATACAGATTACAATGGCCACGACTCACACTCTGTTTTACGAGTCTCCAGCAAACCTGTGGGAAGATGGCTTGCCGATTGGAAACGGTCGACTCGGAGCCATGATCCGTGGAACGACGAATGTAGAACGACTCTGGCTCAACGAAGACTCTGTGTGGTATGGCGGACCGCAGAACCGAGTGAATCCCGCGGCTCATAAAAACCTGGAACTCGTCCGAGAGCTCATCGATCAAAACAAGATTGCCGAAGCCGAAAATATCATGTCCCGGACCTTCACAGGTATGCCAGAAAGCATGCGGCACTACGAGCCATTGGGAGACGTGTTCATGCACTTTGGCCACGGCGTGGACCCTCCCGGACATCATCAGCACGTCGTAGGCATACCACAATTCGACAACCAGCGCTTCTCCGGACGAGGCGGTGCAGCTGTGCAATCCTATCGGAGAGCACTGGACTTGCAGACTGGGCTCGCCACTGTCAGCTATGCATGTCAAGGGGGAAATTTCCAGCGAGAGGTCTTCAGCAGTACTGTGGCAGAAGTCATATGCATGAGAATTTCTTCCGACCAGTGCTTGTCTTTCTTATTGACGCTCAATCGAGGCGACGATAATGATGCCCATCGCCAGTTCGACAGGGCTTTTGATACCTTGACCAATACTGACGATGGCCTCGTGTTGACGGCTGTCATGGGGGGTCGGAATGCCGTCGAGCTCGCCATTGGTGTCAAGATTGTGTGCGACGACGGCGTGAAGGTGGACTCTTGCGGCATTGACGTCGAGGTATCGATGCAGAAAGGAAGCGTGCTGATTCTCATTGCTGGAGAGACTACGTTCCGCAACACCAATGCAGTCGACGCTGTCCAGCAAAGACTTGAAGAGGCTGCGAAGTCTACTTGGGACCAACTACTGTCAGCACACGTCGCCCACTTTGGCCGTCTCTATAACCGTGTTGAACTACACCTCGACCAAGAACTCAATGTCGATCACGTTTCAACAGACCAGCGGCTAGAACAGGCCAGACAGCATCCTGGACAAGACAACGAATTGACCGCGTTGCTGTTCCACTACGGTCGATACCTATTGATCAGCTCATCCCTTTCCGGACTTCCCGCAAATCTCCAAGGCATCTGGAACTGCGATGCGAAGCCCGTCTGGGGATCCAAGTACACGGCGAACATCAACCTCGAAATGAACTACTGGCCTGCAGAAGTGACCAACCTCCCCGAATGCCACCAAGTGCTCTTCAATTTCCTCGAGCGTCTCGCCGAACGAGGCACGCAAACCGCCCAGCAAATGTACGGATGCCGTGGCTGGACCTGCCATCACAACACCGACATCTGGGCAGACACGGCTCCCCAAGACCGATCGATTTGCGCAACATATTGGAATTTGACCGGAGCCTGGCTCAGCACTCACATCTGGGAGCATTACCTCTTCACTCTCGACTTGGATTTCTTACAACGTTATTTCCCCATCATGCGCGGCTCCGCACAATTCTTCCAAGACTTTCTCATCGAACGAGATGGACATCTCGTCACTTCTCCCAGCATCTCCGCCGAAAACTCCTATTTCCTCCCCAACAGTAACAGCAATAACAACAAACCCGTCGTCGGCTCCATCTGCGCCGGACCAACCTGGGACTCTCAAATCCTCCGCGAGCTCTTCCACGCTTGCATACAAGCCGGCAACCTCCTCCACGAGCCCGTCGCCGAGTACGAACACGTATTGAACAAATTACCCCCTACCCAAATCGGAAAACACGGCCAAATCATGGAATGGCTTCACGATGTCGATGAAGTCGAAATTGGTCATCGCCATATTAGTCACTTGTGGGGTTTGTATCCTGGAACATCCCTTTCTTCTTCTTCTTCTTCCTTTTCTTCCGGAGGAGAAAAAGAAAAAGAAAACGAAAAAGAAAAAGAATCCCAACTCCACCTCGCCGCCAAACGCACCCTCGAACGTCGCTTATCCGGAGGAAGTGGCCATACAAGTTGGAGTTTGGCATGGATTCTATGTTTGTATGCACGACTTGGCAACGAAGAAGAGGACGAAAAAGAAAAAGAAAAACAAAAGACCATGGATGGTGGTGGTGGTGGTGGTGATATGGCACAAAAAATGTTACGAAAAATGTCTCATGCGGTTTTACAGAATTGTCTGGCCAATCATCCTCCGTTTCAAATTGATGGGAATTTTGGTTTTACTGCTGCTGTGGCTGAGATGTTGTTGCAAAGTCATCGTTATTGTCATGATGATAATGATGATGACAACAATAATGACGAAGCAGGAGCAGCAAAAGGGACAACAATAATCAATCTATTGCCATGTTTGCTAGCGGACTGGGAGCGTGGAGGAAGTGTGCGAGGACTACGTGCAAGGGGCGATGTACTTGTGGATCTTGAATGGCGAGAGGGGAAATTAGAGCGCGCAGTACTGCTGTCTGCGAGACGACGGCAGACGCGGACGTGTAGGATTGCAGCGAAGAGGTTGAAGAGTGGAAAAAAGGGGGAGATGAAGGTAGAATTGGTTCCGGGAAAGGCGGTGGAGTTGACGGGATATTGGGAGGACTAAAATGAATGTAGCGACGGGTCTTCTATATAATAAATTGTCATTTATTACAATAACTCCTCGCTATGCAGCCTCCTGATGAGTTGTGGCTGAATCTTCCCTATTAGCACCTTCAATGGGCACTATGTATTTCTTGAATTGCTTCGTGGGGACGTTGTGTGAGAAAAGGTAGTCCAGCTCTTCGTATCCACGGTCTTTGGTCTACGCAGGAATTCGCTTGGTCAGCCAAACAAACATTACCCCCAAAAGAAGAACGTCGGTAGTCTTTCTTTGTTTTTCAAGAATCCATCAGGGCAAAGTAAAAAAATATTTCACAACTCACCTCAGGCAACCGAAAATAACTCCAAATGAGCGAAAAGACCGAAATTCCAGCAAACAAAAATTCCATCTTCGCTCCCGCATTAATCGCTCCCGGATTCAGGAGATAGGGTCCCAAGATCGTCTGCACGAGATATGTCATTCCCTGAAACGTCGCCGTCAGAGACAAAGTCTTGGCTCGAAGTTTCGTCGAAGGCAAATCCGACGAGATGATGAAGCCCAGGGGACCAATGGTCAACGCATACGTCAGCTGCATCGAAATGAGGAGTCCCGATTGTGCCCACGCATAGGATGCATTGGTTTTGTAGTCGGGTGTGAAACACAAGGGAGCTACGATCCAGAGGATGACCTGCGCGTAGCAGAGGCTGAAAATCCAACAGGTTCGTCGGCCGAACCAGGTCAGGGGGAAGACGCAGAGGAGGGATCCGATCAGGTTCATGCTCATGAGACCGATGGACATGTTGAAAGCGTTTTCGGGCGACAGACCCACTTGTTCGAAGAGGTAGGTGGCGAAACCGACGGGGTTCCCAGAGAAGTTTTGGATGATGAAGAGCATGGAGCAGATTTCGAGACGTCGTCGATTTCCATTGTGTGCGGAGAAGCAATCCCAGTAGGTGGCTCCGGTTTCTAATTCTTGTTCGTAGAGATCGGTCTGGACCATCATGGCGATGGTATTCTCGTTGTCTTTCCACATGTCTGGACTCGTGAGACCGTCCAGTGCCTTTTTGGCGTCGTCGAGTCGACCCTTGCGAATGAGCCACCAGGGACTCTCGGGACACCAGATGAGTCCGAAGAGCAGAATCGCAGGCCATGCCCACTGGATCATGTAAGGGGTGCGCCAGGCCCAGTCACTGTCCCAATTGACAAAGGCGCGAGTGATGCCCGTCTGCAAGAGCTGGCCAATCACATATGACAAATTTGCAGTGCCCGTCATGAAATATCGCAGGCGTAGAGGCAAGACCTCACTCGCGTAGGCGGGTGCCATGACATGATATCCGCCCCATATGATACCTTGCAAGTACATGGAAGCCGTCAAGATTGTTCGGTTCGGCGCGAATACTTGCATGAAAACGAGTCCAGAAGTGATGAGGAGATACATCGATAAGGTCTTTTTGCGTCCAAAGCGGTCCATGGGAATAGCGCAAGCCCAGGCGCCAACAACTTGGCCTACGATCGCTCCCATTCCCATTCCCACTTGCCATTGAGCGGGAACTTGGAAGCCCGCCTTGTAGGGTTCTCCAAAGCGCTTTTGGAACGCTGGGAGAGCAAAAAAGTTGCCGGTGATTTCAATATCGTAGGCTCGCATAACGACGCAGAGAGAAACGAACATGGACCATGCTGATGCTTTCCAGTATTTTCGTAGAGCTTGAAGAAGAGGCATTTCGTGCTCGAGCAATGTAGCTTGTGCTGCCTTTCGTGCGTTGACTGCTTCGGCTTTGTGAAGGTTGTCGCCATCGTGAATATCTCCTGCTTTGACTTCGACAAACTGCACCTCTGGCTTCTTCTTCTTCTCGCCGTCGTCGCTTGGGCGGTGCTCCGACTTTTCCATAGCTGGCTTGCTTTCACCGTTTCACGCAACAAGTTGCAGGATTCCCGATGCATCGTCTTGCAGAAGCACCGTCTGAGAGCCGACTATATGCATTCCCTGTGCAGTGGGGAACCCCAGCCTGAATTGACTTTGTGGAGTAGACCATACATCCCCGGACTTTCCCACGAGGTTGTCTGCCGCGCTTCGAGGAGCGACCACGATCACCTTTGCCGAAGTATCATAGCTTGCCTGCCCTGGTGCATGGAATGTATATTCAGCATGCAAATTGCGCCCTCGCTGTTGATATATACCGAAGAAAGTCGGTTGACCCACCAATCGCAGTTGCTTCTATTTCGTCCGTTGCATGCTATCGGGCACATGTCGACAGTGCACAAGCTAGAGACCAATTAATTCCCTCGTCAGCTGAGACAGTATCATAATGGTCGTTGCACGTTCTGCAAGGTAGGGGGGTTCAGGTCAAATGAGTGCAAGACAGCATGAAAGAATCTACCCAAATCTGTGGAGATGGTAACATTTGTCGGTCTGCTAGATGAGTAACATGCCCTTCGTATATCGATGGGGGCTCAGAGTAGTAACGAATCGCTTCAAGCCCCGACGGCCTCGCCGTGTAGGTGTCCTTCCTCATACCTCATCTATGAGCCAAGATTGAGATCCCATGCCCAGGTATCACATTATCAGGATTTGTCGCATCGAGCCTGCGTTGGAGTCATAATGATGCGTGTAAAACGAGTCCAGCCGCTGCGCAAATCATGTAAAGGCAGTGCGTGCACGAGGCGGCAGTCAGGTGCGCTGTAGTCGATGCCCGGACTGTTCCATGTGGCTTCAAGAGACCTGCGAACGACGAGCTGGGCACTCCTCGAGCACTGCAGGTCTTTCTAAGTCACGTTACGATCCAGTAGACAGATCACGTCACCAGACTGAAGAGATGATGCAGCGGGATTGGTCAGAGATTGACGCAGGTCTCGACGGACCACCAATAGCTCCTGAAAGGTCAAGAGGAGTGCGACTTTTGATGTTTCGATTCCCAGCAAAGTACACTCTGCTTCAGAGAGATTGTGCTCAAGCCATTCGCCGGCGGCAAGAGACCTGTTTGGGATCCGGCTTGGAACACCATGCAGCCCATGTTGTTCGTTGCCTGATTGCCTCGGCATGACTTGATATGCAGCCACGCTGAGTATGCAGACGGTGCATGTGGCGTGAATCATACAGTTCCAGCAGTCAAGCCGTAGTCCAGTGCCTGTCTCGGGTCCTTTATATAATCGATGCTGGATATGCTTAGTTCCCTCGTCTCATATTGAACGGACAGGATCCTGCCGCCAAGTTAACATAGCTCGTTCCTGTAACATCCTTCACGTCTTTGGATTCCATGTGATGGCGCTCAAATCTGGACTCTTTGAGGTCATCCGCGCGAGGTCAGTCAGCAATCTAAGCTGATTTTCCCTTTCCACATATCACATCTCCCCTCTCAGTCGACCTCAAAGACATCCGTCAGATCTTCAATAATGGGAAGAATCGGAGCCAACTTATTCACGTCTCGAAACGCCTCGGGCACATTTTCCCTCATACCCTTCAACTTTTCCGCCACCACCTCATATTTCTCCTCCTTGCTCGTATACTGCCGGATAATCTTCTTCGTGCTGTGTTCTACGTAGACTCTCGTATCTCTGATGCGAACAATCACGCCATCCAACCTCAAGAAATACCGACTCAGTATCAAAAGTCGCTCCGGCATCATCCGAACTTTGATGTTGAGTAGGGCAATCCCGTTATCTGCCAACTCGTCTTCATACAGATCCACCGTGTCAAAGAACTGGATTGGGTCCTGGCGTGATAGCAGATCTGTTCGAATAGGATCTGTTTGCTGGTCGCTCTCCTTCCAGGCAATGACCGCAGCATCTTCCACTTGTCCTTTGCCCTGATGCGGATGACCATAAGAGCTCGTCCCCTTGTAGTCGGTACTATAACTCCAGTCAAACGGTTTCACCACCTCCTTGACCTCGTCGGCCTGGTTCTTCCTCGTCTCCTTCCACTCGTCTGCTACGGCGACCTGCAACATGCCCTCTTCGGTTTTGCTGACGCGGTCCATTGCATCGCGGGCGTTGAAGGAGAGGGTGAAGTGGGAGGGATTGTGAGTGAGAGAGACGAAGTTGTCGCCAAATATCATTTCGGGAATGGGAATGCCGATGTCCTGGTGGAGTTGTTCGATAGGGCCGGCTTTGAGGATGGGTTGTTTGCGGGTGCTGAGGGTCCAGACGCCGTTGGGGGAGGTGGAAGAGAAGGTGCCGTAGTTGGGGGCCATGTTGCCCTTTTGCCCCGTCTCTTTTGTCTCTCTCTTCGAAAGCTTCGTTGGCGTCGCGGTGGAGGTGAGAGGCGGTGATTGTCCGACGAGGCTGAAGTGGAAAGTCTTGGCAGATATTCTTGTAGATCAGTCATGGTATCGCCGGTAAAGCCGGTTGCCATGCTGGCCAATCGCTTGTTTGGATGTGTTGATCTGGCTTCGTACTGCAATACGACCTGGCCCATCATATTCTGTCTCTCAGAGAACATTCATTGACGACATCGTCACAGCACACCACATACATACCTACTCACATACTCACGCTATTGAAAACAATGGCGGACATACTGGAGAAGCGGCTCGAGGCCATCTCCATCCAAGAAGAGAACCGCGATCCCAATGCGCCTTTTCAGCACAAGTCCAAGGTACATACCTAGACCTACCACTGCCACTCATATGCTATGGCATCGTCTCGTCTCTGACACGGCATACAGCAGAGCGCACTCTCCTCCTCACTTACCCTCACGAGCCTCAGTGCCGCCGCTCAACAGGCCCGCATGAAACTGCCTCTCCAAAAACTACAGTCCAACGCCGCCAGCCAACAAAAACCCTCGCTCCAGCCCATCCACAATACCAAAATCACTCTCCCTTCACAGTCCGCCCAGCGCGTATCCGCCGAGTCACGCCCCTCCGACCCCGAGCCTCTCTCCGTACCCATCGTCGAGCCCTCCCGACCCAAACAATTCCACCTCGGCATGTTCGAAATCGGCAAACCGCTAGGAAAAGGCAAATTCGGCCGTGTATACCTCGCGCGCGAGCGCACCACAGGCTTCGTATGTGCGCTCAAAGTCCTCCACAAATCCGAACTCTCGGCGGGCAAGGTGGAAAAACAGGTGCGGCGAGAGATCGAAATCCAATCCAATCTCGCCCACCCCAACATCCTCCGCTTGTACGGCCACTTCCACGACACCAAACGCATCTTCCTCATTTTGGAATTCGCCGGCAAGGGAGAATTGTACAAACATTTGAGAAAAGCGCAGAGGTTTCCCGAATGGCAGGCCGCACAGTATATTGCGCAAATGGCGAGTGCCTTGAAATATTTGCATAAAAAACATGTCATGCATCGGGATATTAAGCCCGAGAATATTCTCGTGGGCTTGCATGGGGAGATCAAAATCAGTGATTTTGGCTGGAGTGTGCATGCGCCGAATAACCGGAGGAAGACAATGTGTGGGACGTTGGATTACTTGCCTCCGGAGATGATCAAGCCCGGGAGAGACGAGAATTGGTATGATGAGAAAGTGGATCTGTGGAGTTTGGGCGTTCTCACATATGAGTTTTTGGTGGGAGAAGCACCGTTTGAGGATACACCTGTCATGACCCAGAGGAGGATTGCGAGGTGTGAGATGACCGTTCCGGGGTTTGTATCTGCCGAGGCCAAGGATTTGATCAAGCGGTTACTGGTGCTCGATCCGGATAAGAGGATCGGTTTAGAGGAAGTGGAACAACATCCGTGGATATTGAAGCATTGCGTCAAGGGTGAGAGACATTATCAGAGGACGAGTGGTGGGAGGAAGGATTGATATCAGATGGTTAATGGAAGTGGAAAGATAAATGATACACGACAGTTTCTCACATGCGTGCTTTGGGATTAATTGAGATGATGGCGCCTATGCATGGGACAGATGGATCTGATATAATGAGCACCAGCACCGGCGTTGGGAGGCATAGCACCAAATTCGACTGCTTCGATTATGCATCCAATGTAGGTATATTGTGTTGAATGCTTAGGTATGCAAAAATTTCTTTGCAATCAGAGGACTCGAGCTTCATCTCTGGCCGTCCCGTCTGCATATGTCTGTCGTCTTCCACCAATAAGAGCATTTCGCCGCAGCAGCTTATTCGGATGACCTATGAAGAGGTAGCGAGGCACCATGAGATGCAGAGCTTTCTTGCCGTTCACCTCAGACATTAGAATAAAGACTGATCCCAAGCGATTTGGCTCGTAGGTAGTACCTTAGCATCTTCTTGGCGACTCGGCGTGGGATTCCTCGGGAGCGGGCCGACCTCCGAACTGCGAGGTGAAGTGAAGCTCGACTTCCAAACTTTCGTTTACCTACCTCCTACTCTATAACCATACCTTGTAATTGAGGACAAGCTATTCTGATCCTCCCAAGTCGCCCGCCATGACATCTTCATCAGCAACAATGCCCATCAACCCCGCCCCCTCCTCCGCCTCCTCCTCATCCCCCTCCACCGAAGACAAACAAACCTATCTCACATGGTCCAACTTCTTCTCCATCCTCACCAACACCTCCACGCCCGAAGTCCGCTCCGCCTACTTCGCCGAACGCGACCTCCGCAACGAATCCCGCGACATCGCGCGCGCCGAAGCAGACGTCAAATGGCTCTTCAAAGCCTCCCCAATCATCACCTTTCTCCAACACCAAATCAACCTCCTCGGCCCCGCCAACGGCGCCGCAGCCATCGGGCCCCACAACGTCCGATGCAGACGCTGCACGACCCAACAATCCGGCGGCTTCAGCATCGACCACGGGATTTTATTATGCGCCAACCATTTCCGCAATCGCGGACATTTGGAAGACACGCTCGCGCACGAAATGGTACACGCGTACGATCATTTGCGCTTTAAACTCGATCCCTTGGATTTGCGACATGCGGCGTGCATGGAAATTCGCGCGAGCATGTTGAGTGGGGAGTGTCGGTTCACGAGAGAGTTTCTCACGAGGCATCAGTGGGGGAATTTTACGCAGCAGTTGCAGGAATGTGTGCGGAGGAGGGCCGCGTTGAGTGTGGCGGCGAGGCCGGCGTGTAAGGATGATGTGCAGGCGGTGAGGGTGGTGAATGAGGTGTGGGATAGTTGTTTCAATGATACGAGGCCGTTTGATGAGATTTATAAGTGAGGGAGAGGAGGAGGAGGAAGAAGAGGGAATGAGTTCCTGAATAGGAGGAGATGTGGGATTCAGAATCTGCGTATGATATACACTCTACAGGATTGAGAGGTCATCACATGGGGGGAATGTGCTCAACGCGCGTGCTCAAATTGGCACATCATCCTGCGGGAGTAGCAGCCAGTCCGGCAGTAAAGACAACTGTGAACCACCCTGCGAGCACGCAGTCTGTAAGGCGCGATACTTTTCTGCAGTGGCCAGATGTGAACAAGGCTAGCGATGAAGCAAGCCATGCTATGGACAACCCCAGTCTCACGAGTCGAGGTCTAGATTTCGGGACAAGCCTAACTACATACTCTCCACGAAACTGTAGAGGCAGAATCTGTGGTAGACGTATGCGTAGAGAGAAAGAAGTCGAAAGTGTACCTGTAAGGCACAAGGAGCGTTGAAGAATTGAAGAAGGCAGAATTAGGGAGTTAGGGGTCAGGTAGCAATAGACGGACAAACAGACGGACGGACAGACAGACAACTAGAACGCTGAGCTAGCCTACTATACAGCCCAACCCCCAAGCCTACCTATCTACCTGACCTTGTGTACCGTTCATATATATGCCGACCAGCATTCAAATAAGATGAGAAAAAAAAAGCTATAGCCCAAAACCCATTAGTACACAAGCATGAAGAAGACGATCCAAAGGTACCTATACCTAGGTACTGTAGGTATAGAAGCAACACGATGAGGTACTTGGTATAGGTAGGTAGTTGAGATAATGGCCTATCTTTTCCTTCCCCCGGCCTACTTGCATAAGGTATGAATGATATGCCTATGCCTATGCCTATGCAGCTCATCCCATCCATTGGCATCCATCCATTTCATCTACAGTATCTATCGTTGAACGCACACACCCCTGCAAGGATCAAACCCCCCCAGCGCCCGCACCCAACCAGGCAATCCGATCATCCATGTAATGGTTACTGATATCTAACCCTAGATAAGGCCATGAAAGCTCAGCAATTCACAGTTGCTCCAAAGAAATCTTACAGTATACGATCAACTCTATCTATCTTTGCGAAGAAACCGCCTACGGCCGTCGGCGTAGGCATTAGGCATTAATACAACTTGACTTTTCCCGGATACCTGGTTACAGTCATTGAAGAGATAGACAGATGTTGTTATGATTATAATTATAATGTTTGCATTTTGCGGCTGGCATTCACGGCATTCATCCATCTACCTACCCTTCCATTAAACACCCTTTCTCCCCTCTCTATCTCGTGCTTGACCAGTCCAAACTGTTCCCACCACCATCCCCGCCAACCATGGCACCTCCATACACAGCAGACGTCGTCCCCGGCACAGTTCACCTGGTCGACCTAGGCGATCACGAAAGTCATGGAAGACACGCCGGAAACCGACCCGACATCGTTCTCGTTCCCCAACCCAGCAAAGACCCCGAGGATCCCTTGAATTGGTCACAAAAGAGGAAGTTCTGGTCGTTGGCCATGGTGCTAGTCTATACACTGGGAGTCGGCATTCCCACCACATTACACTACTCCGTCATCGCCGACATCACGCGCGATACGGGGATTTCGACGGCAGATCTGGTGCAGGGCAATGGAGTCATGTTTCTGTTCTTGGGCTGGGCCTGTCTCTTTTGGCAGGCGATTGCGACGGGATATGGCAGACGGGGCATCTATTTGGTTTCCGTCTTGTTTACCATCCCCATAATGGTGTGGACTGCACACTCGACGTCGGCGGGAACGTGGTATGCGCACCGTGTCATCATTGGAATTGTCTGCGCGCCCATCGAGGCGTTGCCGGAAATTTCAATCTCAGATGTCTTCTTCGCGCATGACAGAGGCACCTGGATGTCGACCTACGTCCTAACTCTGTTTGGATCCAACTTCATCGCGCCATTGATCGCAGGATGGATGGACGACGGTCTTGGCTGGCGGCCGACCATGTACGCGGGTGCGATCATTGCTTCAGTAGCATTGGTCATTCTCTTCTTTGGAATGGAGGAGACGATGTATTTCCGCAACACGGTCGAGGGCGTTGAGGTGCAGTCCCCCGCTGACAGTGTTCCTGACTTGGCCCTGAGCAGCGAGGAGAAGGCCAATCATGTACAATCTACGATCACGACGCCTAGCAATGCGTCAGAGAAGGAACATGGATCTCCACCAACCTTCCCAGAACCACGATCTTATGTATCGAAGCTAGTCTGGTTCCGAAGGGTGCCTGGGAGTCCCTCTTGGAAGCAGATGTTCGTCATGATGTACCGACCGCTCCTCATCATCGTCCGCTTTCCCAACGTTGCCTGGGCAGGATTTATCTACGGCATCAACTTGTCCTGGTACAATGTGCTGAATGGTACAGCCAGTCCAGTACTCAGTGCGAGCCCTTATAATTGGCGAGCTGCTCTCGTTGGATGCATTTACGTGGGACCATTGATAGGCGCCATCTTCGGCTGCTTGTGGTCTGGTTTCTTTTCTGACCGGGTGGCGCTCTATTTCGCAAGGCGAAACAATGGAATTCGAGAGCCCGAGCATCGACTATATCCTCTAGCCATGGCTGGTGTGTTCTCTGCAGCGGGTCTGATCACTTGGGGTGTCGGCGCCGCCCATGGCATCCACTGGAGCGGACTGGCATTCGGACTTGGCATGATGGTGTTCGGCGTGGTCGTTGGAGGTGGCATCGGTCTTTCTTATGCCATTGATTGCTTCAAAGAGATCAGCCTCGAAAGCATGGCCAGTGTCATCATCATCCGCAACACTATTGGATTCGGCTTCAGCTACGCAATTACTCCATGGTATACCAGTAAGTTCATCATGTATCCGATCCGGTCTGAAAGATATGCTGACTTCTGCCATCAGACATGGGCCTTCAGAACTGCTTCATACTCGCTGGGTTTCTGGCACTGATTTGTATGGGTACGTTTGTCTTGTTGGTTTGGAAAGGCAAAGATCTGCGGCGAGGTTCTGCGAAGACGTACTGGAAGTACGTCGAGTCCAGTGTCGGCGGCCACTAGGACTCATCCACTCAGTGCCAAAGTCAGTCTGTCCTTCTGGTAGCCAGCGACGACAACCACGAATAAATTTCTTCAAAGCAGCGCCATTCTTTCGATTCTAGCTAGCAGTGCATCAGCACGATATTATCTCGTTGCGTGCCCTAGAAATCGCCGGTCACTCCACGTCGGTCATATACTGATTGCCTTGCCAATCGACTCATGAGCTATACTCTGTCAGCATTTGGACGTGTCCATGGAAGACTACAGTGCGTGCAAGTGGAACACTACGGTTGCTCGGTATCAGAGAGAAGATTAGACTGTCGACAGTAGCCAGTGCGAGTCCGACAGCGGATAAGTACCGAAGCCAAATCCAGAATAGGTAATCCGCCCAGCTTTCAGTCTAAGGATGACTGGTTTTCTCATCATGTGAAGGGGCTGTGCAAGTTGGAGAATGATGAGCACGTACCACTGGCATTGACGAATACTTCAATGCTTCTTTCCCGGTCAATGGTCAATAGTCCAGCTCGACGGTCTCTTCCTGCTGGTTGTCCATTTCCCGTGCCAAGCGGCGGTGCGTGACCGATCCTTCGATGGGGTCATGATCGTGAATGTAGCCTTCCCATTGGCGCTTGTGTCGTTGGTCATACGGCACTTCTTGGGCCCGCTTGCGCTTCTTTGGGTCGCTCGAGATTGAATTTGTTTCGCTTCGACCGCTGTGTGAAGGTTTTCGCTCTATTCGCTCTATTGGTACAGTCGGTGCTGATGCATGTATTTGCTGCTTACGCTGCACAGTGGCATATTGCAGCAGCTCGTCTTCAAGACTGGAAACGTCTGAAGCCGGCGATGCCGCACCGGCGCTCTGTCCTTCGAGGTCTTCTTGGTACTGCGACTCCTGATCTCGCTTCATCTGCCACAATTCCTTGCGTCGAAAGACAGCAATCTGCTCATCGGTGAGAGTGCGCTTGACGCCATCATCATAGTATCCCAGACCATCGTCCTCTTGCTCATATTCCGGCTCGAAATTGAGCGCCTGGTCACGATCCACAAACCACTCATTCGGCTTCGTGTCATCGCCAAAGTGGGCGAGCTGGAAAGACAGGAGATGATGCTTACCTGCAGTCAGTACCTACCTGTCGCTTCTTCATCATGGAGGAAACTCGTATTACCTCTGTGATTTGGGGCAGCGTCTTGATGAGTTTGTTGCGTGCCTTTCTTGCGCGCTTTCTCTCGTTGATGACGGCCTTCCGGGCAGCCTTTTCTGCAGCTGATGCCCGCGAGTTTATACCGTGCGGCATGTTGTTGAGGCTGTGGTGCAGTGAGAGCAGTGGAGGATGGAAGGTGGAAGGTGGCAGGTGGAAGGTGGAAGTTGTTGTTCGAGGGGTGCGCCTGGGCGGTAGCGCGAGTCATGTGTCTCTATCTGCCAAGCCTTCACAGTAGGCTAGTCCTACTCTATGACGACGCTGGCTTTTGCTACACGTCCCTCTAGAGAATGCTTTGTACTATAATACACCGACCGCCTCCTGCTGTCGGGCTTTGGGGCCTCTGGTGTCCCCGTTAGATTTCCAATAACAAAAGTAGTACTTCTGGTACTTTACAGTAGTTTCATCTACACAGGAATCAGGAAAAGGGACAGCAGTCCAAAAGGGATTCGCCAATATGCCCACTCACGCAGCAGTCCACGTGTTGGACAACTACTACCTGGCCATCACTCTCCTCGTCACCGTGGCCTACCAGCTCATCGGCTTCGCTTTTGCATTCTCCTTCAAGTTCGACAAGCTCACCGACTTCATGGGCGGCAGCAACTTCGTCCTCCTGGGAATTCTCACCTTGGCACTGTCCGGCACCACCAATGCTCGTCAAATCATCACAAGTTTAATGCTCATGCTCTGGGCCACACGACTCTCGGGCTTCCTCCTCTTCCGCATCTTGAAGACGGGGAAAGATGACCGATTCGACGACAAGCGGGACAAGTTTTTCTCCTTTTTGGGCTTCTGGGTGTTTCAGATGATCTGGGTCTGGACGGTGTCGATGCCCGTCACGATTTTGAACAGCCCGAACGTACGGCAGTATCCGCAGCCGAGCTTTGGCAAGGCGACGGATATCTTTGCCATTATCTGGTTTGTGCTGCATTTCGGTCTCGAGGCTGTGAGTGATGTCCAGAAGTACCGATTCAAGCAAGGGCCTGGCAAAGAGCCGGGTGCAGTGTGCGACACTGGTTTTTGGAAATACAGTCGTCATCCCAATTACTTTGCAGAGATTATGGTGCAAGTGTGTAAGTTTGTTCTGCCGCTCAACAATGCCGCATTGAAAAATACGCTAACACGCACACAGCCATCTACATCATCGCCGTGACTCCAGCATCTTACGGCACGATTCCCTCTGGCTCCGGTGCATATGCCGCTCTGTACGCTTCCTGCGTGGGTTTCATTCTCCTCACCGTCTTACTCATGTTCGTCTCGGGCCTTACTCTCCAGGAGCGGCCTGGCGCGAAGAAGCGTTATGAGAAGGGAACGGGATGGCACGCGTATGAGAAGTACCTCCACGACACCAGCATCATGTTCCCCATGCCTCCGGCGATCTGGAGAAAATTACCCGTCTTCGTCAAGAGAACCGTCGGCCTCGAATTTCCTATATATGTGTTTGACCCTGCGAAGCATGCGGACAAAGATGCCGTCAGGGAGAGTCAAGCCGAGGAGGGACGATCCGAGAGCAATGGCGGTGGCGGTGGAGGAAATAGACAAAGTACTGAGCCGCTGAACTGAACTGGAAAAGGCCTAACGAAAGCTATGACATTTGAGCGTTGTATCATGCATGACCTGGACGCGATTGTCCATATAGATTTGATGATATATTGTACGATCAGGGAAGAATTTACCTCTAATACCACACCATTAATCACTCACATCAAGTATGATCATCGCTATATTATGGGAAAGAGGGAGAAAAAAGAATTACTTCACATCACGGATGCAACAGCAAGATGTCAAACGAGCGTTCAATTATTTCAGCACATCTCCATACTAGAAAGAAGTACCTAGTACATCCCTCTCCATCCGGTAGGGTTCAAAACCTAAACCTCGCAACCGCAAGGACTTGCAACGCGTCCAGTCCCAACTCCTCCAACTCCTTCAATTCCCTCCTCTGAGCCTGCCTGGCCTCAAAAATTCCCGTACAGAGGTGTCCAAAGACACTGGACCCACACACGCAGGTCCACATCATAGTTCCCGACGGGCTGCTGCTAGAAACGTCCACCAGAAACCGAATCAACGCTTTGCTTTTGTATGGAACAGGAGATGGGCAAGAGAGGTAGCAAAAGAGAGTAAGGTTGAGCTCACTTCAACTTGTCTTTCAAACTCTCCTTCATCTCCTGCACCATCTGTTCCGACCAAGGCTTGATGGACTTGCCATCTTTGTCCTTGAAAGTGAGAGCACCCTTGTCGAAGCTCAACACATCCACTCCCGCGTCTTTGCGGCCTTTGGCCACGCCGATCGTCTGCAAGAACTTGTGTGCATCGGTATACAGCGATTTGGCGCACTTCTTGGGATCGCCTTCGGAGAAGACTCCGGTTTCGAAGTGGAGACGGACCAGATTCTTGCATTCGGCCAGGAGACTGAGGGCGTTGCGCGCCGAGGACTTTTGGTAGGTTTTTATGTGTATGTTGACGAGGCGCAGGCGGATGGAGGTTTCGATTTGGGCCATGAAATCCATGACTGCTGAGGTGGATTCGAAGCGGATGGGCCGAGAGTAGAATACTGAAACGGCTTCGCTGTAGATCTAAGAAGGAGAGAAGGTTAGGATATATCACGAGTGAGTATGAGTTGGATGTAGGGGGGCGGATACCTCCTTGTTGACACTGAGAAGTCCGACGCGACTCTTGAACTCAGATGAATACGTCTTGGCATAGATGTCGTTCACGAGACCTTTGCGCTTTCCGTCGAGGCTGATTGCGCTGCCAACTATGCCTTGATTGGCAAAGTAGTACTCGAAGATGATGGCACGGGGATTTTTTGGCAGGCCCAGAAAATCGAACGGCTTTGCTGGACGGATGAGAATCACCTGACAGCCCTCATCGGGCCCTTCTGTGAGCATGAACTAGAGATATAATTAGTACCACGAAGTAGTCCGGATTCTTCGAGGTAACTTACGGTCTTCAGCACCTCAAACTTGTTGGCCGAGTCAAGCTTGACAAGTTTCTCAAAGCCGCCGCCCTTCTTCTTCGCCTCTGCTTGTTGCTCTTCGTTGCCGACACTCACGTCAACTATCGGAGTTTCGGCAGCTTCGTCGCCTTCGTTGAATTTTCCAAGCAGCGCAAACTCGATGGTTTGCGACCGTGGCTTCTGCCGGCTCCTAGGTGTTTTCACCGGCGACTTCATGGGTGTTGCCAATGGCGTCTTTCTCGAAGGAGTCTCATGCTCCTCCTCGTCACCCTCCTCATCTTCGGACTCTGACTCCGATTCTGAAACAGACCTTGCCTGGACCTTCGCCTTTGGCCTCGTTGGCGTCGTTGGGACAGTTTTTCGAGCGGCCGCCTTGGCCTTCTGTTTCCTAGTAAGCGACATTTTGAAGTCAGGACTCAGGAGTGGCGCCAGGACATACCTGTTGGGCACCTTTGGGCGGCATGTTTTCAACGAGTGGTACGTTGGTCGCTAGCAGCAGAAGTCAAGCGCGCGGTAAGAACGAGCGAAAATGTGTTGAAGACGCGCGGAGAATGCTGAAGGCGAAGTGTCTTGTGTGTAGAGGGGAAGACGAAGCTGGAAGCGGCCGTAAACACGTAGAAAACCAGTCACGGAAGCTCAATCCGGAACTAGCCGTAGCATTTTGGCGCATGACGAATCATAGCAACGTTCTCACTGCTGTTTCCCAACGGAGCGGAGCAAGCAAGCCTTCTAGAAGATTACTCCGGTGAAGCAGTATTGACTATGTATTCGCACATAGACAACGTCTCTGCTCACGAAATCGAACGGGCCGCAGACTGCCGAATCTCAGTGCTCTCCTCACAGAAAATCACGTAGCTGACCATTTTTGCAACTCACCGGACTGAAAAGGCATTGTGCTCCAGTTTCCCCATTGTACTTCGTGATACCTACCAAGACTGCATTGAAAGCAGAACAGGAGCATGATCCAAGGCGTTCTGACTCTACATAAATCCGTACGACGGCCGTCTCCACGGTGTTATATCACCATTCTGCTGCTTGGGGTGAAGACCAGAGCATTCTGGTGGATGGCAGTCCAATCAAACCGAGCGGGCTCTTGAATGAGCAACGCGCTTGTGGGAAACGGACCAGCGTGATGATCTTCATCTTCATACGAGTGCTCTTCTTGGTCTTGAAGTGTTTCTTTGCTCGTGATGGCCTCATCCTGCCGCTGCTGTCGAAGCCGTGCGCTTTCTTGTGCTCCGGACTGCCCCTTGCCGTTGGATGCTTTTCATTCACTTGCTCGAGCGACTACGGCTTATTCTCTCGCTTGAGCAATCATAGCTCATTCACTGCCGCAAGCCTTACGCTGTAGCAGCATAAAAGTGTTTACATTGTTATATGCAGAAGAGAGCGTCTAGAAGGCGGGAGAAGTCGTTTGAAAAGTGGGGACTGGCTCTTGGCGCGCTTCCTGGGCTTCACTTTCGAGATGCAGCGCGACGCGTCTACGCTACTTCGACGACCAACACACCACACATCCATCCGCTGCTCACAATGGCTGATCCCGACACCAACGGCACGCCCGTCGTCAACGGCGACGTCGACATGAAAGAGGAGCTGCCCGCAGAAGTATGTCTTACCAACCTCAATTCCGCTTCCATCGTCTAACCACTCCACAGACCACTTTGAATAGCATACAGCAAGTGGCGGACCCGACAGATCCCAATCCCCCTCCACAGTCCATATCAGACAATCCAGCGCCACTGGGCATGTCCGAACACCTTTCGATCATCGCGCCTGGCGTCGCAACTCCTCCCACAGGCGCGACAGCTCGACCAAGCTCAATGCCTCCTCAACCTCTAGCACGACCCGAGAAGCCCGTCGCCCACGGCGGGCCCACGAGACAGTACCTCAACACCAATGTCACGCCACATCTGCTGGAAGGAATGAAGTATCTGGCCGTCTATGAACCAGAGAAGCCGCTCGAATGGCTGGCTAACTTCTTGAAGGAGAGAAGCAAGGAGGTGGAGGGTTGAAGAGCGACAGCTTAGTTCAGATCACGCGACTGGCATCACACAAAGCGTCTCAACAGGCGGTGATTGCATGGCGCTGGCGCTGCACAAACCCGCCCGGCAACGGGGAAGAGCTGTCTTGCGGCGTAACATCCATTGGCTTACAGTATGCTCAACGAGCATTTGCGAGGAATGCAGTAGACAGAAATTTGGAGAAGTGCTCCGATCCTTGGACTCAGAGCTGGGTCTTGGCGAGGGAACAGATGGCCAATGCGACTGGATATGCTTCGATATTGGGCAACTTTCCACGACTACTTGATTGCACGGCTGTTCTCGGTCAAGCACCCGATGCCAAACTTGAGCGCAAATCAACAATTACTGACTTGGGGAACAGCAGATCATACAAAAATGCTGTCAGAGCCCCGGACTCGCAAAGAGAGAATAGCAGAGTCAATATATCTTGGCATCAATGAAGACGATACCTTGAACGTCAGCTCACGCTCCCGCTAATACTGACAGTACCCTTGCTGTAGGTAGGTGCCCCGTAATCCGCAGTCATCCATGCACGTCTGAACGCTGGAACGAATACAACGCAAGATTTTGTCCATCTACTCTCTCTCTCTCTCTCTCTCTCTCTCGCGTCGTC